CCCGAACCACACTCCGCACCGTCCGCTCAACCTCCAGCCTCGCCTCCACCACCGTCGGACGCATCCACCCCGGCACCACCCCCTCCCCCTCCCGTACCTGCTCAAACGCATTCGCCGGCAGCACCAGCGCCTTTTCGCCCACGTCTAATTGTCTAAACGCCCCCAGCCCAAACACCCATTCCCACAGGCTCCGCGCCGGAAGCCGCACGTCCGTCGGTTTGCCGTGCGCGCTGAGCCCCGCCGTCGTGCCGCCCGTCAGTCGCGGTGCGGCCGGCACGTCGTGCACGTCGCTCAGGGCCGACATGGTCGCTGCAAAGACGGACTTGCCCGCCGTGTTGTACGTGGTGCGCCGCTTCAGGTAGATCGACTGGTTGCCGCTGCGGAACTTGGCGCGCAGCAGCTCGTTGGCCGTCAGGTCGAGCGTGACGGTCCAGTGGTCGGGGCTCTGCACCGTGACGGTGGTCAGCGTGGTGAGTTCGGGCAGCAGGCATGGCGCCATGGCCGTGCGCGTCTCGCCCGATTTCAGCGTCAGCGACACCGGTATCTGCATCGCGCGTCCCGTCTCGAGGTCCCGGGGGATCAGGCACCGCGGCTCTGCGGCCAGCACCCACAGGTGCCGGAACGCTTGTAGGTGGCACTTGTTGTCCAGCACCGTCGTCGGGAAGAGTGGGTAAAACGCACACAGCAACGATGCCACCGCAATGTCTGATGTTCCCAGTGTATACGTCCCCCCGCCCAGGAACAACATCCCAATCGCCATGTGCGCCGCCATGTGGCTGCCATATGGAATGTCCGCGTCCACCCGGCCATGCAGCGAGCGCAGCCGCCGGAACACCGCCACGTCGCCCGCCCCGGCCATCACAACCGCCGCCGACAGTGCAACGATGTCCTGGCAGTTGCGGATCGAGTTCCGAGTCACCTTTGCATCGTAGTTGATCGCCGGAAGGCGGCTGATCCGGATAAACTCGTCAAGGTAGGATACAAGCAGGTCTCGCGCTTCGGCAGACGTAGATCCAGCGTATCGGAGTCCCACCGCGAAGCAGAGGCCGGCGATGATGTTGAACAGAGGCATGTCGTCGGTGCTCAGCCGCCGGATGGTGACTAGGCGGGACTTTCTCCTGTACGCCCTTGGAAGCGCCCTCTGAATCCAGTCGTGACTCGGCTTGATCGAATCCCACATAATCAAATGGCGAGCCAGCGTCCGCAGTAGGAATATATCAGGCCGCACATAGTCAAACTGAGCTATCGTGTCCGGAATGTCAATCTGCTTGGCCAAAGACAAGTCGTTTGACTTCATCGAGATAATCGCCAGCGCAATAGTCGCCGCCGCCGTCGACTTGTCCAGGATATGGACCATGTCAACTTTCTTCGTGCCAACCACAAGCGTCAGAAGCCGTTCCACGATGCGCATGTCCCGAAGCCCTCGCAGGTCCCTCCCTTTTGCCAGATTGATGAAGCCCAGCGCGAAACCCGCCGCCAACCGGTACCCTTCGTCCCTCAGCATCTCTTGCGAGACCAGAGTGTCTTCCGCATCCACATTCTCGATCTCTGAGAGCATGATCTCGCTCATCCGCCGGTGCTGCGAATTGCAGTAGAGTAGTCCAATTCCCATAATCCCCGTCGTCTGCGTCAATGGCGACAGATTCAACTCTGCCGCGCCCGGTGGGAGCATCCGCGTGATGTGCACAGAGAGCAGGCGCGTTATCAACGTGTCCATTGTCCCCAGATAGGATGCCGAAAGCCCTAACAGGAGACCAATCGATGTCATCGTATGCTTTGGCGTCAAGTATTTGAACGCGACCCATTTGGCTAGCGATTTGAGATGGCCATTCAAGCCGAGTGCTAGTAAGAAACCAGCGTGTCTGTTTGTTAGTTCTCCCGGTTTGTTGTATAATATCCACGACGTGTCAAGTCCCCTTGCAGCTTTGGAGATGGCGAGTCCAGTTGATGCACCATTGTGGAAAAACGCCCAGCACACTTTCTCTTCCGTGAATGCCGTTCTTTCAGCGCTGATCGTGATATTAGACGGTTTGACAACGCACTGCAAAGAGAACGACGGGATCGGAAGCTTCTCAGTCGAAAGGGGAACCCGGCTGCTGAAATACAGCAGGCCCCGGCCACTAGGAATGGACAGCGTCCGCAGAGTCACAAGCTGCACGAGCTCCTTTTGCGCTTCCAGCAGGTCAGCCTCAGACCAGTCTGGCTCCGGTTGGCATTCCACCACCGGCGCTCTCATCTGGCTCAGTATCTTGACCGCTTCAAAGTACCGCCTATCTTCGCGGAAAATGAGCTTTGTGATCGAAAGCCGGTCAGCTTCGGCGGAAACTTCAAAGGAATTCACTCCACTGCCATCCAGAACTGAGCAGCCAATATGGTGCACGTCGCGGGAGGCGTCGTGTGATTGAAGGATCTGTAATCGCGGCATCGGAGGAGTAAGGTGTTCGTTCGCCATGGTCATGGAGAGGTCGTTCCTATCAATCAGACGTAGGAGCGACGGGCCGCAGCCAGAGGGGGCATTGCTCCGGCATTGAACGATTGCTTCATGCAGTGGAGCGCTGATACCAATAGGCAGAGTGTCAATGACCGAAGGCGTTAGACCCCAGCGAAGCAGCAATGCTGTTCTCTCAACTATCGACGATTGCAGGTCGACTTCTGAGAAAAAACCGGAGAGAGCCAACGTTCTCGGGGTAAGACTCAACGCCTGCTCCCATATCTTTCCGCTCCCTCGCTTCGCACCCGAGTTTGGTGTCATGTCAATAAGCGTCATAAAACTCGACGGTTTGCGGCGCAGGAAATCTTCCACGAACTGAAATATTGAAGGCGGAGGAAACGGCTCCGATGGCACTTCCAGCATCGATATCTGCGATTCTTCAAAGAGCCACCCATCCATACTTGCGCTTTCCGTGCCGTAGTATGCATCTTCTTTCCACGTCCACGATTGCCATCCTAACCACGCCCCCAGCTGGGCCAATACAGGCACCATCTGCCCCGAATCACAGTTTGACAAGTCAGCGTCGACGGTTGACAATTTCAGTTCCTCGCGCAGCAGGTGGAGAGAAACCAATATCGTACCCAGAGCCGTCCTTCGCGTCTCGGGGCTTCTGGAGATGGCTGTGGGCAAGTAACCTTCAGCACCGCAGGCGGCTTCTCCTTGAGGGGAAGATATAAATTCACGCGCGAGCGAGGCACATCGAAGAATATAACCATTCCTTCTTGTCGCTGCCTGGCAAGTTGCAAACAGGTTAGACTGCTGTTCGGATCGGGCTGGGTTGTCACTGCGCCCTTCCTCTTCGCGAATCCATCCCCAGGCTGGGGTCATCATCCAAGAAGGACTGATTCCTGAGGCGCCGGCCTGCTTTTCTAACATGGCATCCCAGCTGTCCAGATCCACATAGTTTCCGCTGCTTGAACGTAGTAACGGGCCAGTTCTTCGCTTTGGCTTGACAACCGGTTTCGTAAAGTTGCCCTCAATGAAGTAAACTGCCATGGAAAAAAGCGCTGTGACCAGCGCTGTCCATTCGAGATCGTCCTCGGTCTCTCCTTTAGACTGTAGCCATCTCAGTACTTCCCACCAAGCCACCAGAACTCCATCACCGGCATTTTCAGCGTGCCTCAATGCAAACCTGCAGACAGACAGTATGCGTTTGACAAGGAAATTGCGTGGCTCCAATTGAATCTGAAGCCTATGCTTTCTATTCTGGCCATCAATTATATCAACCTTGCCGCCGCCGCTGGGGTGCTCGAGAGCGGATAAGATCAAATTGCTGCTGTCCAGCACTCGTCGCAGGCCAGCTTCTCGCGGATAAATAGAGGAGCGTGCGAGTGAAATGCCATAAGGCTCGTGCAATGCGAGACTGGACGGGAGTTCAAGTTTCACAAGTGTGCTCCAAGGTGCCTGTAGAGTCAACTCACCACGACCGTCTATCGTCGTCGATAGCACAAGCATCCGGGAGATATCTCCGTCTGCTAGTTTGCGGCAGTCAATCACGCCTGAACCTTGCCGCACATCCTTGAGCTGGACGGTATGCAATGGAATTCGCGTACCCTCCCCAGCCTTTACCTTCTTTCCGGTTGACGGCGGACGTTGCGATATCTTGACTTGGAGGTTGAGGACTACTAAGTTTCTCGAATGCTTGTTCAGGATGCAAACGGCCAATGGACTCGAATCGGGTTCGTTTAAATGAGACTCGTAAAAGGACGACAAGGTAAAAACTTCAAATTTTCGGCGTTTCTCAGCTGCTGAAAGTCCATGTGCAGTCGAGAATCCTGACGAGTAGCTGCCCACTCTCGACAGAATGACTTCTTTGGGCAATCCTGATACACTCTCTCCAAGACCCATGCTTTCAAATCCATCAAAGTGGCCTCCCTTGTTCAGGCTCTCCAGGAACTTATCCACGGGGGCGTCCAGAAAGCTACTCGCATTGCTAAGTACGGATGTATTCCCTGGCGGCAACGAACTCCTGCGGCGATACCCGAAGCTCCCCCGGGCACTTCCAGCAAAGGACTCTCCCTTCCGGGGCAGTGGAGCATTGGGCTGAGTCCCCGTTGCCAGGTCCGAAAATGTACTCCGGTCAGGGTTTCCCCCCAAGTCACTTCGCGCCAATAAGGAACTAACTCGTCTCGAGGCTTTCCAAGAAGTCCCTATATCGCCAAACTCATGGCCCAATTGCGAGGCTAAATCATCTGTGCCTTCCGGCCGGGCCTCTGCATTTTGAGAGCTCATGGTTTGCGACGCGTTTCGGTTTTGGTTTAGCATGCCAAAGCTTTCCCTTAGTGTATTGGATCCACGGCCTGCTGGAGTTGTAGTGCTGGCAGCCATGTCAAAATAGGAGCTCCTCCGTTTGGTGTGCGTCCCGCCAGACGATCTTCTCTTTTGACGGTGGCGGATTGCAGAGCCCTTGGCCCTCTGCTGGGCTGTCCAGATGGTGTAAAGGCCAGCCTTTTCGTTCAGTGTTACTACCAATATCAAAGGCGTATCTAGTTGCGCTGCAGACGCGAGCTCTCGTATTTCATTCGTAGAAGATACGTAAAGAACTTCCTCCGAAGCACTCAACGCTTCGAGGGTTTTGGTAGTCAGGGCCTCTGGGCCGCTGGAAGACACGGCGACCAGACCCATTTCGGAATGAGGATCCAACAGCGAAAATGTCCTGGGATGAGAGGATTCTGGTTCCGGCTTCAAATTCCATTTTGCAGGGTGCGAGGGGGAAAGGGTTATGGAGAACCTGGCGCTGCTACGAGCGGATGCGGTAAACGACCCTGATGTCCTTGGTCTCCCGTGCAGCGCCTGCGATGAAACAAATGAATTCGGAGGCACCGTTGGTACCGGCGCAGTGTTCTCTTCAATGGCCTTTCGTTGAAAGAGCAGCCCGCAGGGAGTCGCCCAAACCGAGTCCACTTCAAATGGCAACGGGATAACATGGGTGTCGCCGGAGAGGAAGAAGACGTGTATCTGGGACTGCAGTACAACCACCAGCGCCCTTGCAACCGACCTCTTCGCACGGTCATCTGGAACGGAGAGGCCAGAGATGCCATTGAGGTTGAGGGTCTCTTCAATCGTAACCTGCTTTCCCTGTCTCCCGCCCGGTGCTCGGGACTCTGCCGTGGTCGAAACGGGGCCGCGAGCCGTTGGAGCTCGATCCTGCGCATCCCTGGACCCTTTTGTAGTTGTATTTATCCGTTCGCTATCCGCAAAATACGCGAAAAGCGCGTGGACGACCTTCTCGTTCTCGACATCAAACCGGAATGACCGCACGACGACCCCTCCGCGAGACCAAACAACGCAGTGGTCGGTTGAGAACAGCTCCTCTTCGACGGGGCCATTGTCCTCGTTTTCATAGTGGTAGGTCCTCCATATCAGCCCGTCGGCAGCTGTATGCGGTGGAATGATCGACTCCGCGACGAGATAAGGCACGGCCGAGGGCTCGTGGAGGCCGAGAGAGCGGATGGCAGCCATGGTCGAAGTGCATGCACGTTGGATATCAGCCTGGCTTCGTCGCCAGAGTCGCAGTCATGTCCATCACCAGCAATTAGCGTGAATCGAAGAGAGAGAGAGCATGGTGTTCAGAGTGCGGTTCAAGTGCTGCGAGAAACAAAGTCACGTTGAGCGGAATCGAAATCTCAACTTCAGCGCGTTTCTCTCTCAAACAACAACACTCGATCACACTCCAGCTATTCCCAAGCTGTTCCCATCCGTTATTAACTAGGTTGCAATGTTGTGAAGTGCAGGCTACTCTGCAACGCCTACATTATTGAGCTTCAACCATGGAGGAGCTTGAACCGATTGTCCACTCTAGAGACGACGGCTTGCAGCTCAGGTACAGCCGCCTGGTCTCTCCACAGTCGATTCTGCGCGTATCTAACACTCTGCTACAGCTACACGTTCCCACATCGCGTCTACGATGCCAAAGTCTACCCCATCCAGGCCCCCAACGGGTCGGCCATCATACTCTACGCCCACGAAACCGGAGTGCGCATTCTGTGGAGAGGCGGCAGGCGGGCCAAACCGTACGAGGATAATGGCGCGGATACCGAAGAAGACGAGCCTAAGGCGAACGGCAAGGGCGATGATGTGGTCATGATAATCGATTCAGATGAGGAAGACAACCCGCCCGCTGAGCCAAAAGAAGTCATTCCCACCGTTCAATACGAGGAAGAAGAAGATGAAATCGATCCTCGACGCCCCTTTCTGAATATAATTGAGAGCTTCAATATCCGGTTTGGGGTGAAGGTGTTGAAGTTGTCCATTCCGAGCATTCTTCCCGACGCGATTCGATCCCCCGATTCAGTGCCGCCAGCACTGTCGAGAATGATAATCTTCAGCGCGGCCTGTGCCGATTCGTCTGTTCGACTCATCGCCGCACCACTGGCACCACCTCCTCCTGCCAACGGTCCATATCTCTGGGATTTTCAGACTCTTACCATTCCAACCCAGAGCGTGGAAGTCATTCCACCCTTGGTGTCGATGACCTTTACATGCGAAAAGTCCGATAACGATACTGAGACGCAGGGCAGAAGTCGTAGACAGGAGAGCACTCCCCCGGGAGTGACCGAAACCTGGAAACTTCTTCTCGCTGTCCACTCCATGGAGGCCCGGGGGAAACTGTCGTTATATCAAATTGGGGTTGAGCCTCAGCCCATCCAAGCGCCATACCCACACAAACTCTCTGAGCAAGATCTCCAGCCGGCCCAGCAGATCTACCTATCGGCACGTGCGAAAAGCATCTCGTTTCATCCAAGCCAGTATCCCTCAGACCGGCACGCACATCTACTCCTGGTATTTGAACGTGGAAATGTGGACCTCTATTCAGTTTTGCCTCCAAAGCCTCGGAATATATCCTTGTCAGACAGGCGGAGGTCTGAAGCGGAAGCCAAGTCAAAACACGTCCATGTGAATCACTTCTTCACATTGCATACTGACTTCGACCCGTCGTCACCAGATATTTTGAGCCGCAAGAATATAGTCGACGCAAAATGGGCCCTCGGTGGCCGGGCAATCATAGTTCTAACAACCGACGGCGAATGGGGGCTATGGGATATCGACGCATCTGGCCCGGACCAGCAAAGTCCGGCCAATGTTTCCACCTTCTCAGCGAGCCTGCTGAACTCCTTTGTTCTAAAAGGCCGCATTAGATCACCGGAAGTCTCATCTAAATCTCAGCCAGGCGATTCCACGTCCACGGCCGGGCAAAATAAAACTAAATTCGCACCCATGACTCCCTCTACACGCCGTATGCGCGAGGAAGCATTGTTAAAAGGAGCCCCTCCACGCCCATACGTTTCAGGCCATTCCTACCGGGGTGGCATCTCCGTTATCCCAGCCAGCCAAGGCTGGGATAAACCGATCGACGAGTCCATCATCCTATGGCACGAAGATAAGAATATGCAGATTCCCAGCCTATTAACCCTGTGGAAAAGCCACGCCAAACCATCGGAGGTTATCCTTGAATCGTCCAGCTCGTACAAACCTGCCCTCATTCAGAATATCAATCTGCTCGGAGAATTGGAGAATGCGATATGCTACATTCCATCCCATTTCCAGTCCGGCAAGCCCGCGCAAGGGTCACGGCCCGATATCCTCATTACCGCCGAACGTCGTTTGCTCATCTTGGCGTCTAAACTTCAACTGCCAGAAGAGGAGAAGAACGACGAGGAGACCTTGGAGCATAACTCCACTGACGACCGCGATCAAACGATGCTGCAACGGGGAGAGTTGGATCTTGACGGCATGGATCGCGTGATGGCGGGAATGGCGAATAACACGCATCCCAATAGGCCGAATCTTCTACGGAGCTCGCAGAATACCTTTTTTTCTTGAAAGGGGTCAAGGGAGCTGGTGGAATTAGGATCCTGTTGTTTATCACGCATTGAAGAAAAATGATTAATTGGAACTCAGCAAAATAAAGGCCTGATTCTTTACAAACCCCTTTATTGCCGAAATGAAGACCTAGCTCAATACAAACCCATGCTAACACGGAATCCTAGTCCATATTTCCCCAACAACGTCCGCCCCTTCGCGACGCAAGGTGGAGCACAAGGCGAGTTTCAATGCCTTGAAAATCCCCTCCTCTCTTTCCCTTACCCCCCAGCGGGTTTGGAAGACGTGGGGATTAACGCTCTGTATTCGACGCGATACATCAAAATGAACGCACTGCATTGGCTTTCCCTGGCCTCCTCTCCGCCTAACCACGGAGAGGAGGAAGGGGAAAGGCCACGTAGAACTGCAGCGCGATTCAACAATTTCTAGTCCTGCTCTTTTCCGGCCTTTTTTTCGCCCATTGTTCAAGTGAGGAAGGGTCTGGGAGGAGTGTAGTTGAAGGGAGATGCGGCTCAGGGGCCTATGCTGAAGATGGGAAAGGGGATTTCGATCCTCTTGTTTCCCCCGTTGCTTTTGGCGTGGGTTCTTTGGCGGGCTGCGGGTTTCTCACTTCCTTTGGTGGATTGGACGGGAAATACATCCATATCATTCATTCATTCTCGTGAATTTCAGATGTCACAAGCACTCCATAGAAGTAACCGTAATGGAGGATGGCTATGGAGCATAATAACCTTGATTCAAGTCTATGTTCTCTTGTATCTATTCCATATCGATGCACCCGGCATGCTAGGTATGCGTAAATGTAGAAATACATACTTCAAAAAGAAAGCAAAGAAAAGGCACACCCTGGAGTCAAAAAATATCAATTCCGCCGCCCATGCTGAGAAAGAAAAAACTTAAGCAGGCAAAAGCAGGAAGAATAACAGCAGCGCTTGGAACCGGAATAGAATAAAACAATAGGAGAGGGAGAAGAGTCAGAACTTGCACTGTGCATACGTACTCATCTACCGCCTAATATCTCAGTATCATCGTCACCGTCCCGGCTCAAAAAATTACCGCAGAAACCTGAACACAAAAAAAAAGTTACAAAGGAAAAGACTGGGGAAAGGAAATGTGGTTGCGCCTTGTTTAGGCTGTGGGATATCAAAGGAAATAGCATACACTGCAAGGCGCCCTGTCGGCTGAGTGGGTAAGCCAAAACACCCATTCGCCTACACGCCCTTGCGGCAATGCTGTGTAGTAGGAAAATCGAGAGACACAAATGATAGTGGCATGTTCTGCATGTAGGAGAAAACGGTAAAGAGACTGTAGTCCGGATCTTGTCCATCGAATCCATCTTAGAAATCCATACATCATCAGATAGCAAAAAGAAAAAGGCTCCCCGTGCTGCGCACAATGACAATAAAGATATGAGACAGTCAAGACTGAGATGAGCTCGCATAAACAGCAAATCCAAACATGCCATGCTCACATCTAATCGAGTGAGCTGCTCAAACTTGCACTTTTCGTTTCTTTTCAAAAAGGAGAAGGGAGTATCACTTAGGCTAGAATACTATGCAGCTTCAAAATGCTACATAGAAAACAAGGTGCTAGGCCGACAAAAAGCATTGGCAACTAATGCATATGATGCACGCTATAAGCAAGATGAGCACACAAGGAGAGATACAAAGGAAAATATGATTTGATCCATGGTATGAGTAGATCTAGTGCTTCCAATGAGGTAGGCACAACTGAAATACCGGCCTCTATCTTGGATGGACATAAACATTGGAGGGACGGAGATCGTTAGGATTCAAAAGGTTTGGTGAAGGAGATCGATGAGAATCGAAAGGAAGCATGGGTAACTCTTTATCTCGTGACGGAGGGCTGTCTCTCATCGCAGCCTTTCCCTTGTGACGCGAAGGAGAAGAATCCACTTTTGGCGGAGGCGGTGGCCGGTCAGGCGGAGGGCCAGGAGGTGTTAACGCGGTACGAAATGTCCACCGACGCGGATCAGAGGCTAATATGCCGTTTGGCGCAAACTCCTGTGGTTCATCATTCTGGTAGCCGCTCTGCCCGCTTCTGCCGCCAGTGCTACTTCCCTCTCCAACCTCTTCAACGACCGGTAGCTGGGTTGAAGGCGTGGCCGAGCTTGCTAAGTCGCCATCGGGCGTTCGAACGGTTGTTAAAACGCGATCACGGGGTTCTGGCTGTTTCTCCAGGGTTTTTGACGACTTCACAGCTTCCTTCGCCGCTTGATCCATCGCTCGCTCAGCAGGCGAGCGGTCAGCGGTTCGGTCGATATCTCCTTTATCCATTACTGGCTGATCCTGGGCGTTCTCTTGATTCACCAAGTCTCGTTCGACTTCTTCCTTTGATTTGGTAATTAGCGACACAAAGTTGATAAACCGGTCGCCATACGCAACGGGAGGTATAGGCGAAATTTGGGTCTTGTTATGAGAAAGGCCTTTCCAAAAGTGCTCCATCTTCTTGATCATACCATACTGTGGCCATAAAGTCAGTATTGCAAACAGAACCCGAAGAGTTAAGCGACTTACATGTGTCAAGCAATCAATCACACCGAGATAATAGATCTCCTCTCCAGGGTTTCCATTTTCATGCGTCGACATGAGTCCGCCCTCATCTGAATAGAAAACATGGTTTTTCCGCTCGTCAAGGATTTCATCGGGCATTCTTGCCGTGGTTTGCTCCATTGGAATTGGTTTCTCGCGTTTGATGATTTCCCGCAACTCCCTCGCTTTCCGAGCATTTTCGAGCCGCGAGGGCGTGCGCATCAACACATTCGCTTGCTGTTCTTCGCTTCCTTCTCCACCGGGCTGGAAAACCTGCAACGTCTTGTCTCGCAATTTCTCCTCATTGCCTTTTGCTGCATCGTGGATTCCGATGAGTAGTGAATAATCCATGATTTTTAGCCGCTGGAGAAGAGCCACGTCTCTCCGCAGTTGTGCTAGGAATATATCTCGTTTCATTGGACCCAACTCAAGATGTCGAGTTCTCCGCAGCCAATTTAGATCCTTCAAGGTCGCTCTCGGATTGCTCACCAGATCCTCTTCTCGGAAATCTCTTCCGATGGTAGACCCTTTAAGATCAAACATCTGGTGGATATCTCGATGCGGAGGAAACAAGTTATTCATGACGACAAAATGAATCTTGCGACCATACGCCATCTTGACGCGGTGCAAACCGTAGAATTGTGATATCAGCGTATTCGGGTTATTTTCAATATGCTCATAATAATCCCTGAGTATTCTGCGAAGCAATTTATGCTCGGCGTGGTGAATGGTTTTGATGATGTATTTGTAATCGCGAGAGAAGTAGAAAAAGCTTCCGCTCTTGCCCGGCGAACCCAATTCCGACAAAATGTATTTACTTGTGAGCGACATCAAGTAATCAGCCGGGTCGAGTCGAAATTTGGCCCGCAGGCGCCGAAACACCCACGGGGCATAATCTTTGAACTTGAAATCATATTTGGCGGAAGGCGTCAATTCGTTACCAGTTCTGCGTGCGAGTTAGTATCAGCCCTAGTGAAAGGGGGCGGATGCGGGAATCATACATATCGAAAGAGAACTTGTGTTTAGCTTCAAAATCAGCGTCCGTGAGCTCACGGTCCAGCTTTGCGTTCGTCCTTGAGACCGTAAAGCGGATACCAGTCAACATGTTATATGCTGTCACATAGTTGACATGGTTTTGATCCACTTTGGTTCCAACGATAACGCGGTCTTCATCCTCCTCATCTCTCCTTCTCCGCTTGCTTGCCCGTCTATGCTTGATTGCTTCCGTCCACCGTGCAGCTTCCTCATCTTGTGGAGTACCATCGTCCAGATGAAGATCTGACTGGACGGACCTTGGGGTTCGGCGCGCCAGGCTGAGAGATCCCCTTCGAAAACCGGACACGGAAGAAAATCGATCACTCGAGGCCAAATTATCCTCGGATGGGCTTGGGGCAAATGTTTCGCGGACGCTTCTCCTTCCAGACGTTGTCCTGGGGACCTGGAGGGTATGCCGATGAGCGAGACGCGGGCTACGAGGGCTAGGTGGTGAAGTCGACTGTTCAAGGTCTGTTTGCAGCGTAGATGGAGGCGAGGAATGTCGATTTACTGTCTGCGATGACTGTCGAGACGGAGCAAGTCCAGTGTGCTCAGCGATGGGCGAAGGAACGACGGTGGTTGGGGGAGTGTGTTCGGTCGATAATCCATCAGTCGATGACGGATCGCCATTCACCACAGGTCTCGCGGCCACTGGATGAGGCAGACCATGAGCGCCGTTTGGCAAACCAACGCCGTGCGGCCCATCCACCTGGGCATCAATCCCGTTTGCCAGTGAATGTCTTGCATGTTCCTTGTCCTTCAACGACCCCGCACCCACGGACAGCAAACTCCCATTCCGCGAATGCGATCTCTCGCGTCCATGCGAAGAAACCACGGACTTGTTGGTGTGAGGCAGCGACTGGAAACTGCCAGCCTTGAAGTTTGTCATGAAGAACTCGGAGGGCGGATCGACGTGGCCGTGCTCGCCATTGGCTTCACTGGCCCAGACAAAGGCATTACTCAGCGACGATCGATCGTGGGATTTCCGAGGCGTGTGGTGGTGGTTGAAGAGAGGCGGAGGGGAGGTGGTGCGTGGGCGGAGTTGGGCTTGGGGTTCTTGGGTGGTAGTAAGGGCGGGCATGATGGCTCACAACCCGCTTCAGTTCCGAGTTGTGAGGAGTAGCCAGACCATCCACCGGGAGGCCAGGTCAACTCCCAGGAGATGAAAAGTCAATTGAGCAAACCGTTTGTCTCACTCCCGGCGCTTGGTGACCTTTTGTCTCGCCAACCGAGACAGCCGGGGCTCCTTAGACGTGCTGAAGCCCTTCCCTCCAGGACACAGTGCAGGCAGGACCAGACGGCGATGAGGTGCCTGGCACCATAGTAGACGGGGGAGCGAGAAGAACAGGCTGATGGTAGAGCAATGCGCTGAAGAAGCAAAGAAATAGATACTGTGAAAAAAGGGGACTTGACAGAAATTCGTTGGAAATTGCCTGAGTGCTGCTTGCGCTGTTGTTGCCAGGGTTGGAGGTGAACAGTCAGCCCAGCAGGTTCCAAAAGGCTCGCAGGGGACGGTCTGCCAAGCCACTAGCGCAAACACTCTGGCGACTCCAGCCACAATTCCACGCTTAAATAGAAGGGAACATTGTCATTTCACCAGCATCCGAATTCAGTTGGTCAAATTTTTTACGGAGTGCTCCATAATCACTTTGTCCGCGGGCTTGCTGGGTTTAATCTCCGGGAAGACTCGACAAGTCCTTGCGGAAGACCGCTGCGGCGACTGCCTGGCTGTTCGCTGTTCAGGACCGGCAGCCTGATTGAGTTGGCTAGTGCCTGCACAGCCTCATCGCTGTGGCTCCGGGCTGGTTGTGCATGCATAATTAACTCCTTCCCGGGAATAGGGGCACCTCGATTTGGACAAGAAGCCGCGGTGCGCATCAAAGAAGACGCATATCCTCACACTTCCGGGCGGCACAACAATGGACTGATCCAGGCTTACAAGATAAACAGCTTCATTTTGCAACAGACCAGAGCTGACCTTTGACCCAGCTCCCAACATAGACTCGGCACTCAAAATGTAGTAGAAACCATATTCCCAATAAAACAACAAGGACAAAAAGAAGATAATATCAATCAAAAAAAAAAGGCATAATTGAACAACCCATCCATCCTGAATCCCACCTCGACGCCAGTTCATTTCCCATTGACAGAGACACACACACAAAAGAACCTCTTCCTGGACGGGCGCATCGGGGGCGGAGAAAGGATATTCATAGTCGAAAACAAGAAACAAGAAGCCGATGCGATCGTATTGTCAATGCCCAAGGAACAAAACGCCGGGGAAACACCAGAAGAAATTAGCCAAAAACAACAAGCTCTCAAATGCGCTTATGCTTCTGGTTTCTTCGGCGTTGCCGTCTTTCGCTTCTTGGGAGGAGCTCGCTTCGTCGTGGGTGCAGGTGCGGGTGCGGACTTGGCCGTCGTCTTGGTTATGCGTCCCGACTTGGTCTTGCCAATCACCTTGGGAACATCGACAATTGCGGGGGCCTGCAGATAGTGTGTTAGACCAGAGCCCGTCGTTGGGTGAGGGAGAATACATACAGCAGCAGGAGCCTTGCGCTGTTTGGAGACATTGGCCTTGGTCTTGCCAGTCGCGGTCTTCTTGGCAGCAGCTTTCTTCGTGGTGGTCTTCTCGGGCTTCTCTGCCTTTTCAGCCTTCTCAGCCTTCTCAGCGGCCTTCTTGGTGGCAGGCTTCTTTGTCGTAGTCTTGGCAGGAGCAGCAGGCTTCTAGTATGAATAAGTCAGTAAATGTGACGGAAAGCAGGAGACAGTGACCTCGCTCGCAATGAGCAACCTACCTTGGGAGCAGGTTTGGCGGCAGGCTTAGTGGCTTCCTTCTTAGCAAGCTTCACGGGACCAGAGGGGCCTGTTCAAAAAAGACGCGTCAGCAGAGTCGTTCCGCGAATTGGTGAGAAACGGCGAGATGGCCAAAGTGCAAACAAGCAGGTCCATCAACAGCACAAGAGGGAAAAGATAAAAAAAAAGTAAATAGGTGGGTGGAGGCAGAGAGCATACCCTTTGGCTGCAAGAACTCGCCCTTCTCAACTCCCGCCTTCAAGGCACGGTTGAACTGAACATCAAAAGCGGTTGCGGAGGCATTGATGTTGTTATTGTTGCGCACATATTTCTTGAGTGCTTGACGGCTATCGAGAAAACAATCAATTAGCTTCTAGACCATTTCATCGTGAGACACGTTGACACGTCACGGTCGGACCAGCTGCCAGCAGGGGGGCGCCGGCGACAACGCAAGTCGAGGAACAACAAACAGCGACATACCTGCTTCCAGTGCGGTCTTTGAGCTGCAGACGGGGCTCAGTTAGCGAAAAACGCGCAAAAGAAAATAACGCGACGCTGGAATGGTGGCGGTAGACTTGGAGCAAAGTCGCCGAACCGGGCCAATCCGGAAGTCGCTCGCACCGTGCAACAGGCGCGAAGCTGATCTACTCACATTGATGATGGCATCCTTGATCATATCTATATCAAACGAGTCAGCAAAGGCACGCGATCACATATATCCAGCAAAAAACTCGATAGGACGTGGTTGTGGTGGAGGATCAATGGGACAAAGCGGACTGACCTTTGTAGGAGGCATGAGTGGCGGCGGGCTTGGAGGCTGGAGCGGCAGCGGCAGCGGCCTTCTTGGGAGGCATGGCGACGAATTGATTTTTGTGGGAGACTGGAGAATATCGATGAGAGAGAGACGAACACGTTCGAGTAGAGATGAAATCGGGATGAGGGTGGTGTTGTTGTTGTGGACGAAGAGACGGAGATGGCGAGGGAAGGGGTGGGCAGAGCGCGGCAGCGGGGCACGGGGCCCTCTTTATAGGAACGCCAGCGCTGCCACAAGATCAACCCCCGTTGGGCCAAATATTTTCGTTATTTATTTTCTGGACGCGTTCTGGGCGGCCTAAGCGAAGATTTGCCTTCTTGCTGTTTGGGGCTAGAATGCACTCGGTTTGGATCCAGGATCGGGATGTTGCTGTTGTTCGCATCAGTCCTCGATTCCTCGCCCATTGTTTCTGATCCAAAGTCGCGGCAGAGCAATAATGGTCACCTGCCACATTCTCTCTCAGTCTCGTTTGCCTCTGAAACCAAAATACAAAAATTGATGATAGATTATGCGTCTCTTATAATCATCTATCATGTCTTTTAGGGAGATCTCCCTTGCTTGCTGCGGTTGTCGAATGTTTTCGTCTGATGGTGACTCTAGCATGCGATACTGACATGCGCGTTATTCTATACACGATGCATATTCCTCTCAGGGGACAATCAGATCGTGGTGAATGGCAAACTGAACGTAATTCATTCCAACTAGAGTGCTGTGTCGTGCAGCTCCCTGTCGCGTCCCAGCTGCTTATCTCCTAGTTGTCGCGGTGGCGGTTTACTGGCAGCTCTGAGGCTCTGAGCTCCAGGCTGCTGATATTCAATTTGAATTCTATGATTGTTGAATTTGCCTTGATGCTCCCACTTCATGCAGCATTCTTCTTCCCCGCTCTCTGCTATCAAGAATAATCCACAAGAAGCAGCACACAGGAGCTCTCAAGCTCTCCCCAGCTGCAAGTGGGTTTGCTGGTTGATCTAGAATAGCTCCCGCATGTCTTGGCCGGCATCATCCACATCGTTGATTTGCATCATCGCTTCTCGTCCCATCTCAATCCGCGCCAAGACGAGAATCAGCATGTCAACTGCTCTTGATCTCCACGCGCATCGCAGAACAGCCGCCTTTATGTATGTGTTGTATGTCTCTTAGTCCGGATTAACTTTCAATCCCATTCGTTTTGTTCATGTCAACTGAGTGTATCGTGCCAGGACCGCATTCCACCCGAAACCTATGGCTCGGTGATCCTTGGATCGAAGCAGAAGCATCAACGGTAAGGCAAAACCTTCAAATGTGCGGAGTAACTACCCTCCTCCAGCTTCAAGTTGGCGATGGCATTCTCAATGATCGAGACACATCCGATATGTTTACAAAACGTCCTGTCTGTCTGCAAGATCGAAACGGTGGAATCACCCCCCAGAACCCCGATTCTCCTAGATACGCCATATACCCAACAGTTGCCCATTTCAATGTTAGGGTAGAGCCCTTATGAGACCGTTACGGAGTCCTCTTCATGGGATCCTCCAGATTTCTATTTTGATATGCTCCCATCGACACCCTAGACATGGCACTGATAGACGATGTAGGCAACCTCCAGTGTTTGCCAGCCGTTGCATCTCGCCGGTAGTTGAGTTTGCTTCTTGTCGCACGGGATTTTGATCCCTTCTCGCAATCCCTCAAACTGTCTTGATCTCCCTGGCAGCCTGGTCTGAAAGAGGGGCAACGGGAGCGAAGAGGCGCGGAATACCGTCACGTGCAAGCTCCCATTGTTGCCTGATAAAGAGAACCGCCTAATTCGACCTTGACAACACAAACAACTACAGAACAAGATCAGTTGATCACTAGAGATCAGAACGACTGTTTTACACGCTGAAGCATCTCAAGCCATGGCCCCGATGGAGGTGCAAATTCGGTCGGCGATCGCAAACGCCTTTAATGACCTGCAAACCACCTTTTTGGCGCAGCAGTTTCAAGATGCCAACCAGCAGTTCACCATGTTGAGATCAGATATGGACCAACGATTTTTGAAACTAGAAAGCCGCTTGCAAACCATGGAAGTTATGCCTATCCTTAATCCTTATATTTGTTTGTTTGCGAGAAACAGCGTTTTGTGGCCCAATACTTCGCGATTCAAGATATCCATAACTACCTCCTTCATTTAGCCTTCGCCTACCTATCAATGCTCCCCAGGTCATCCCTCAACTCCAGAAGAGGGAATCAAGGGGCACTGAAAAAAACATACAACAGCCGGGATTCGCTGGTGGTCACCCACCCAACTACTAGCCGGCCGGCAAGTGGCTTGAGTACGGCTGAGCGGACGGGAAGCCCTATTTTCCACTTCCTGTGGTCGTATGTGCTAGATCTTCACTTGCATAGGAAGTTGTATCCATTGATGTCTGGCTCCGCATGAACAAAAGTGTGGAAATGATTGCAAAAAAACATACAACAGCTGGGATTCGCTGGTGGTCACCCACCCAACTACTAGCCAGCCGGCAAGTGGTTTAAGTACGGCTGAGCGGACGGGAAGCCCTGTATTCCACTTCCTATGGTCGTATGTGCTGGTAATAGTTTGGAAGCGTTATTTATGGGCTCCTATGTATGCTATATTGAAGTCGCATGAACGGCCGACGACAGGGCCCTTTTTATAGAGTAGGCGTATTCTTAAAGGTAAGAAATATGGTACTATTCCAGTCCATAAAAGCAGAAACTCCTTTCCCCAATGAACTACTAATACATCACGTCCATATACTAAAACGAACCATGCCTATGCAGTCCCTTTCGGCCTCGATTTCGCTTCCCGCTTCGCCTTTGCATCCTCCTTTTTCTTCTTCTTCGCCGCCTCCAGCTTCTCCTCATGCTTCCTTTTCAAACTTGCCTTCTCCTCATCAGTCTTTGCAACCGGCTTGAAAAACCCCTCTAGCCTCGACTGCTGCGCCGTCTTCATATTCTTCTGCAACCTTGCCGCTCCGCTACGCACGCGGTCCTCACTGAACCCTTTTCCTTCAACGAGGAATTTCACCAGGCCCTCCACATCAGGAGCCTCCCATTTGAAATCGCATTCTGGGTGGTCTGCAGGGCGCACGTCGGGTTCAAAGAAGAGATCTCGGGCTTGCTCGTACGGCCAGTCGTCGGGGATGGTGTATTTCTGTTTAGGGTCATTTTTCATTGCTTCGACGACTTTTTCGAGGCTGCCGTGGTCGCGGATCAGTTTAAGTGCGGTGTTGGGCCCGACTTTGGGGATTGGGTCGAGATAGTCACAGCCCAAAAGAATGCATAAATCGACAAACTATACATCGGGTAGTTAGTGACAATCGAATACAATGAGATGCGAATCAAGCTCTTACCGTTTTTCTATCCATCCCCAGCCCCTCTAGAACCCGGTCCAAATGTATCTCAAGAATCGGCTCCTTTCTCTGCTCGCTGAACGTAAGATGCCTTAATAAAATCGGCGAATCGAAACACAATGTATCCATATCCTCCGACGCGGCCGCGTATACTTTTCCCGCCCTCGCCAAAACCGCGCATTGCGCCTCAGCCTCCGTCGGCGCATTGATATACGGTATCCCCATCAGCTTCAACAGCTTTTTACACTCCTCATTATGTTCTCTCGTCACTCGCACCGTACGTCTCGAAAACTTCTCCACGTCTTCCGTCGTCCCCGTCTCCTTGGCCTCCTCGTGCTGCTCCGCAGCCTCCTGTTTCCGCGCAATTCGCTTCGCCAGTTCGCCGGATTTCAGCTTTGGAGGAGCGCCGTCGAAGACGTAGAGGGGCTTTATCCCATTGTCGACCATGCGGAGAGTTCGGTAGAAGAGACCCATGAGATGAGAGGTTGTTTCGCCGCTTTCGTTCATGAGTTGCTGGCCGTCGGAACGGACGGCGATGAGGAAGCTATATATGCTCATGGAGCTTTACTGATTGTTAGGATAGGACTGTATATTAACGTCAGACGAGGGGGGTACCGTACGCATCCTAAATTGCTCGCCCACCTTATGTTAGATTCTAAGGTATCGCGGATGTAATCAGTCTGAGGAAACATACTATGGCAACTTTTCTCCCAAATTGGTTTTTGATCTCCCCAGATTTAACCGCATCCGGTGCATTCTCGGATATTATCTGATAGAGATCTAGAATCCAACTTTAGTACATTCTCCGAGCGTTGCGACATTTGTCTTGCAAATCGGTGTAAACGCACGTTTGATACCCATGGTCAATTGAGTCTCCGTGATTATAATATCAAACTCGCAGGGGTTAGTGTAGAGCAGCGCATCTGAATGAGTAAATAGTGCTGTTCACAGAATCGAATGCCGGAATATCGCAGCAAATGATCTACTTGCAGGTATGACGCGACGGCAACGCGAGTCAATTTTGCCCGATTCAGTTTAGCGTCTTCCGAAGCTCACTCCAACCTCAAAGTCAAGTCAAGCTTCTCCTTCGCGATTCGAATGATGGGAATCGAACACTGAGTGCTGACTGAAAAAATAGACCCTACAGTTACCTGCAGAACTCAAATGCAGCTGCTATTGAAACGGTCAAGCATCATCTGAGCTCAGTTTATTCGTGAGACAACTATGCTAATACGCTTTAGAAAGCAGTTGCTGGACGCGCAGCGAATTCCACAGCTTGCTAAGCTCAGCGTGCTTTTTGAGCTTCATCTACTTCTACATCAGTTGTAGAAACTGTTCTTCTTTGCTTTCATTGGCCAACAGCTTCAGAGTTCTTTCGCTCGGTTTCCTGATCCAGACGATCTTGGAGCGGGGAAATATGCCGAGGATCTTTCTCACGGATGTCTCGTACCCCGGATTCAACAATTTGATGAGTCGCTCTTCACCACTATACATACAGAAATTCAAATGAATAGACGGATCCGGTTTCTATAAGACTAGCATCAAACATAATGTCTTGCAACAGTGGACAGTCAACCGGGCCGATGCCAACACGCCTACGGCAGATAGCACTTGTTGTCCAGGACCTTGACCGGGCAGAGCATTTACTGGTATGGGTGGGATCAAAATTCAGCTCATCGATGGAGTTCACTGATGTTTTGTTTGGAAAAGACCACTGTCCTCGGGACAGAAGTCATTTTCGTTGATCCCGGGGTAGCGAAATGGGGTTTGAGGAACATTTTGGGTGAGCGATGAACCAGAAGCAAAGATGATATACCCTTACTGAATGCTAGCTCAAATATCAGTTGCGATCGGTGGCGATGTCATCGAGGTAGGGTCTCAGAGAAGCATATTAAGCTCAATGCTCTGATCTCATAGCAGGTCGTTTCGCCAACTACGCCAGGCACGACTGCCGGCAGGCTTCTGTCAAAACGAGGGGATGGAGGCTACATGATCATAATGCAGACACTCGACGCCAATCGACGACGTGCATTCATCGAGACAAATGGCCTCGCAAAGGTCATCTATAGCCACGGGTCGCCCGATAGTGTCTGTATTCAGTATCATCCAAAGGGAATCAAAGGTTAGAATTCTGTGGTTTTCACCCACGTCAAATTCTCGTTGGCTACAATTGCACAGCTGATGCTTCCGACGACAAGGTGGTGTAATACCTGAACTTGACTCCCACCGTGCGACACCCGCGAATCCGAAACCGCTGATGTCTCGTTTCTCTCCGTGGCACGCATGTGGATCAGATTATGCTTCCTATTCTGCTGGAATGAGACGACGTTCGCATCTTCAGCTAGTTGAGGCAACTTGCCGCCTAGCACCAGGGGATTCCGATACAGAAGCGGCGTTGCACCAGTGGGAGAGGATTTTCGGCGTTCCAAGAACTCAAGAACATTTGCAATTCACTAATGCGAAGATGAGCTTCGTCAAAGGCACAGAAGGGAAAAGTGATGGATTAATGTCAATCACGATCGCGGTTCAGGGAAAAGAGTATCTCGACCGCATATTTTCCACGGCGCGGTCCTTAGGCCTTGACATAGGGGACGGCTGGATTGATATGCTGGGTTTGCGATGGCATCTTGTTGCTTCCAGGGACGCGAACGCTATGAGTCTGTTGTAGATATATTCGCGGCCATCTCAGTCTCGGCCCATAAAGCACGGAGTGGAAACACCCGCTGAGAAACTGTCCGTCGGTTCACTTCATTTGGTCCACTTGAAGGATCGGTCAGCGCCCACAATAACATTTAGTGTGACCGGCGTAATACACCGATGCCATGGCATGACTTTTGCAGATAGCTCGTCGAAGCATCAGAGAACTTCCCAAACGCGCACATTATACAATATGCCAAAAATATTATTTACAGCTCGAGGATCCAATTTCAACGGCCTTTCTCCCCGTGTAGGATCTGTTCGTGCGCGTCTCGCTCACCCGGATGCTGAGCTCAATGATGTAATAAATCCGCTCGATATTACGCCGTGGTAATCAAAATTACCCGAAATACGGAACTATCCCGCGGCTTGTTCTAGTCAGAGCACTCCACGCAGTGCTCTTCGGGTTCACAACGCCTACGTGCAATGCCTGCTATTTAAATAGTTGTCAAGACCGGAAGAGGCGATTTCATTCTTAAACTTGCTAAAAGATAATTTCCTAGGTGAGCAATTCTGTCACAGTTGTCGGCTCGAAGACAATTGATTGCTATATAAAGCTCACCCGTTCCCTTCTAAATAGTTTCTCTCTCCACTCTTTTTCCACACGATTCACAATGAATTCCTCCATTTTAAGGCACACCGCGCGAGGTGCCCTCAATGCATCCAGAGCTACCTCCAGCAACATCACCAAACGCTGTGCGTCGTCGTCTGCGGCCAGGTTTGACTGGCAAGATCCGCTAAATGCGGCGAACCTTTATACTGCTGATGAATTGGCCATTGCGGAAACGGCTCGACAATACTGTCAGGAGCGTTTGATGCCAAGGGTACTAGGTATGTGCGGCCCGACAGGTGTGCTTGAAGTGGGCAGCTAATCGTGCATTGGGGATGTAGAGGCGTACCGAAAGGAAGATTATGACAAGACGATGCTTCAAGAGATGGGAGAGCTGGGATTACTGGGAGCTACAATTGACGGATATGGCTGCGCTGGCGTGAGCACCGTCGCCTCGGGACTAATCACGAAGGAGGTGGAGCGCGTAGATTCCGGCTTCAGATCGGGCATGTCTGTGCAGAGCTCCCTAGCCATGACCGGTATCCATGAGTTTGGTACAAAAGAGCAGAAGGAGAAATATCTCCCCGAGCTTGCAAAGGGGAAATTGATTGGCTGCTTCGGTCTCACTGAGCCCAACCATGGCTCTGACCCTGGATCAATGGAGACTGTTGCCAGGCCGCATCCCACCAAGAAAGGTTACCTCTCTCTGACGGGTGCTAAGACGTGGATCACCAACTCGCCCATATCCGACCTCTTCCTTGTATGGGCCAAACTAGAAGCCACCGGCAAAATCAAGGGCTTCATCATCCAGCGCGACCAATGCCCGACGGGCACGCTTGAAACCCCTACAATCAAAAACAAAACCGCCCTCCGCGCCTCGATCACAGGCATGATCCAACTTGACAACTGTCCCGTTCCTGAAGAAAACATGCTCCCTGATGTCGAAGGCCTCGTGGGCCCCTTTACATGTCTCAACAGTGCTAGACTGGGAATTGCGTTTGGCACGATGGGTGCGTTGGAAGACTGCATCGACCGGGCGCGGACCTATTCCTTGGAGCGCAAGCAGTTCAAGGGCAATCCGCTCGCCAAGTACCAGCTTATCCAGAAGAAGCTTGCCGATGCTGCTACGGATGCGGCATATGGCACCTTGGCCGCTGTCCAGGTGGCGAGACTGAAAGATGAGGGCAAATGCACGCCGGAGATGATTTCGATGATCAAGAGGCAGAACTGCGACCGAGCGCTTGTGGGTGCGAGAACGTAGGTTCTTCCTCTACAGGGCCCTGGTTCCGTTTCGAGCACAGGCTAACAGGAGTGTGTTCTATATATAGGCTTCAAGAAGTGTTCGGCGGGAATGCCGCGAGTGACGAATACCACATTGGCCGCCATGTCGCGAATCTCTTCGTGGCCCAGACGTACGAAGGACAAAGCGACATCCACAGTAAGGATTTCCGTCCAGGCTCCCTTGGGCTAGAGTTGCTAACCGCCGTGTCTAGGTTTGATTCTCGGAAGGGCCATCACTGGCGTCCAGGCCTTTTGTTAGATAGACTGTACATAAACACTACCATTGTATAATTCCAAATTTAGCCTCTGCATAGTAAATATCCACATCCCAATGGCCAAACACCCAGATGCTGGCGCTTCGCAAAACAGTGAATGCAACAGTCTATATATAGCCAGTGATCCCAATACGCGCCGGGAGTCACTCCTTCCCTTATTGGCTGTCCCGGCACACTGGCGAACGTGTATTGTCGGTAATACCGCGTACTAGTATGTAATACACGCAGCCTTATCTGATCCATGCTGAGTCAGCTGTGGCGAGGGGTGCGGCGCAGCTTCGGGGCGACTTTTCTCCGGGACAAAACAGGCTTAGCTTACCACTAGTACCGTACTGACACGCCCGAGCCCCGCATTCCGTGGCTGACTCAGCGCAATACCAGCCTGATACAGGCGGTTCCGTTTTCTTTTCTTTTCTCTCGCTGTCCATCTTTCCTGAACCGCCTCTCTTTCTCATCTCGCTGGAATTCACATCTACACCTCACCCTGCTTAACGCCCTGCTCAGTCACTCTTCCGCTACCTGACACTGTAAGTGTTCTCCCTGTCTGCCCAGTGCATATTTAACCCTTCTCCTTCCACTACCTCCAACTTGCAAAGACACTGCTAACTGCATCCTTGACAAGGCTCTCTTCTGCCTTTGCCAACCTGAACCAGGAACACCACTTGTCCCTCCTCAAAGCCTCCCTCACCTTCGCTCACACTACTCCTCCTCTTCATACATACATCCTTCCAGATGGCTCTCAAGCGAATCAACAAGGAACTCTCAGATCTTGGGCGGTAGGTGCTCTTCAGTTTTTGTTGTTGGGTGCGCCTTGGGCTGAACACCAACCCCACCTGCGGGGCATCAAAATACACTGCCTTTCCCCCTGCAACAGCCAGGCCTGCCCGATCAAAGCTAGAATGCCATTTTTCTATACAGAGAACTAACTGAAACTGTAGTGACCCTCCTTCATCATGCTCCGCAGGTCCAGTTGGAGATGATTTGGTATGTTCCTGAACCGCCAGCCCCCTTGTGGGTGTCGCGTGTCGAAAGTGTTTCAGCATATCAGTCCAACAACACAACCGGCCCGGCCCGCCGCATAACTTGTTCAAAGAGATAATCAGGGCTAACCTCACTCTAGTTTCACTGGCAAGCTACTATCATGGGACCTGTAAGTTACTCCTGTTATGAAACAACCAGGACAGTAGTCCTGTTTTCAGGGTATGCCACTTTGAGACATACAATCAAGCCTAACAGTTGCTTCTACAAACAGGGTGACAGCCCATACTCTGGTGGTGTCTTCTTCCTAGCTATCCACTTCCCCACCGATTATCCTTTCAAGCCACCGAAGGTCAACTTCACCACCCGCATCTACCACCCTAACATCAACTCAAACGGAAGCATTTGCCTTGATATCTTGAGAGACCAATGGAGCCCCGCTCTTACAATCTCTAAAGGTACAGCCTCCTTTTTCCCTTCACTGTGTTAGCTATTACTAAATGCTATGTTCTAGTTTTATTGTCCATCTGCTCTATGCTTACTGACCCCAACCCGGATGATCCTTTGGTTCCTGAAATTGCTCACGTTTACAAGACGGATCGCCCTCGATATGAAGCTACGGCTCGTGAATGGACACGAAAGTATGCAATCTGATGCGCGATCTTGATAAGTGGAGGGGAGACGAGCGAGCATGTCAGCATGACTACCCTGTAACGGCATGTGGTGCATTTTCCTGGGTTTGATAACTAATGCGACGGGTGTATGACTTGGGTGGTGGTGTTTTTGTGCTGGCCAAAACTGCCCTTTTGGTTTTTTCCAGCGACCTCATTTTAGATCCATCCATGCTCTGTGTTCGCCTTTTACTAACGAAAGCAATATGATGAACACCTTATTTTATGTATGCATACCATCCGTATCATACACTTCCTCGCAAGTTGGTCTTTGACAAACCAGGCTTATGCATCTGCTTGTCGTGCGCACTGTTATTCTCCTGCTGTTGAACAGGCTCTTGTCTGGAAACATTCTACATGGAATCCCTTGAGCCTTCAATCGTACAATCCGGGTGTCCATATTTGATTTCTAAAAAACGAGCAGCTCCTACCATCAACACTCTTTTTTTTAAGGGCGGCCCTCTCTGCATTGGTTCCGTTCTAATGATACCTGTCCTATTCGCTTTCGTATCTTACCTTACATAAACCATAACATATAGCTATAGTGAATTAGATGTGGATTCAGTGAAAGTGATATTTGTGGGATTCACTTGAAAGATTTGTTCAACACCTGTGATTGCTGATCTAAATAGTTCCATGCTGCAAGGCTCCAGTGATATGGCTAGTACAAAATAGTTCCAAGAAAAAGATCAAACACCGCACGGCATGCAGAGATTATGTGTCAAGGGAAAAAAGGAATAGGAGTGAGAACAGATGTTGGATCCTTTGTATTAGACAAATAAAGTGAAAATGAAAAAAAGGGGCAAAATGGAAAAGAACCCTCAAAGGGCAAGAAGAAGATATGCATCCAAACACCATTCCATGAAAAAAAGATCAAACCAAGGTAAAAGAAAAGAGAGAATCACACAGTCCACCATTCTTTCAACAACAAAAACGCTCCATCTCACAAACATTAAATATCCACTCCCCCCCATTACCGGCTTCTTCATCGCTTGCTTCTTCCGCTCCTCCTCGACGCCGTCGAATACGCCGCATTGCTCCCCACCTGACTCACACTATCACTCGGCAACACCGGCTCGTCAAACTTACTACTCCGCAAACTATTCACGCTCACCATCGACCCCCTCCGCGACCCGGACCGCGACCGTCTCCGCGACGCCGTCGACGGCGCATGCGACCCTTTGCGCGAAACCCGACTCGCGCCGTCCGGAAGCACCGTGGGCAGCGTGACGTGGGAGTCAACGTCGACGTCGTCGAGGAAAATGGTGCTGGTGCCGGAGATGCTGGCGGGCAGGGGGACGTGTCTGGCGCTGGAGGCGTGGGAGTGGTGGCTGGCGGTGGCGCTGCTGCGTTTGCTGCGGGCGGTGGTGGAGGCGGAGATGGTGGTGATGGAGCCGCTGGGGAGCGGGATGTTGCGGGCGGAGTGGGTGGAGGAGTAGACGGATGCGGTGGGTTTGCGGGGAGAAGACGAGGAGGTGGTGCTGGAGGAGGACTTGTCATAGATGTCGTTGATGGTGATGATGGAGCGGGAGGAGTGGGAGTGGTGAGAGGAGGCAGGGCGGGAGTGCGTTGATTTCGGGGGTTTGGCGGTGGAGGAGGAGACGATGCTGCTGTGGCCGGAGTAGCTGCTTCGTCGGTCCTCTTCGTAGCGGCGGCGGGGACGCTCAGTGAAGTTGCTGATGAAAGTACTGGGGTTCTTGTTGTAGTAAGATATTTCCGTCGCATGGTCGTCGTAGTCAACCGGAATGCCCTCGATGGCGCGAATGGGGATATCGGCGTTGGATCCAGCGCTGTACACCACGCTGCCGCTTGAAGCACGGCGAGCCTCCATGGGAGGAGCCTGGCTGCTGTTGCCTCCGGCTAGACTGGCTGCTTTGCTGAACAGCTGTGTGCATTGCTCGATGCCTTCGAAGATGGTACTTGCTCTGGGGTTCTTTGAGTAAGTTGTGCGAGCATATGCAGACATGCCATCGTCCATCGACATCGCCCTCTGGGGCGCTGCCTCAATGGCCCTGTATTCCGTCGGGGCCTTTTCCGCCGGGTACGCCATGGGCTCCTCGGTATACTTTGGCGGAGCGGACTCCGCTTGTGATTGCGACTCTCCCTTGACCATGGCATATGCAATCGCTGCTCCGGCTGCTGCACCGAGAAGCGTACCCACGACTGCTTTCGCGCCGTTCAAGTTATCGACGGGTTTTGTCATGGTCTGCGCCTGGACCTGGGTGGGTTGCTGGATGGACGGCTGCATAGTTGATGGCTGATAGGAAGACTGAATTGTCGGTTGTCTTGCAGTTGAAACCGTCGACCTGGGCTTCTGTTCGCTGATCCGCACACTTCCTGCAGAAGACTTTTGCGCAACAGATCCGACCTCTGACCTGGGATACCGGCTCTTTGTCGAGACTGCTCTCGAGACGTAGGACGCATTGTCAACCATGGCCAATGATCTTTCACTCTCCTTCATCTCAACCGCCCGGTTGACGGCTTCGATGCTGTTTCCATCGAAATCGATGACTGCCGCGCTGTAATAACCCTGCTCTGCATCCCGCAAGCATGGCTCTCCGTGAATCTTTCCTCCAGCCTTGAGCGCGGCAATGAAGAATGCACCGACAGCCTCTCGGGACGGAGCGGGGAATGCAATGTGCGCTGCACCAGCTGGAATACTACCAAACCGTGTCAGCGCATGCTTCAAAAACCGGGCCCTGTTATGGGGAAGTATACAAACTCACCCTGGTCTTTCTTCGGCTATCCAAAAGTCCGCTGGCTTTCCCGGCTCAGCACCGAACCCAATGCTGTTTTCATGACGCCCGATAAACCGATAGCCCAAGGGCTGCAGGCACGAAAGAAAGAAGGACGTTGATTGAGGGAGGTTCGAGACCGTCAGGGTGAGATGCGAAACAGGCATATTGAAAGATATTATACACCGTCAAAGGAAATATAAGACAGATCCAAGGCGAAGATATCGTACGAAAGGAAGACGTGCTGTGCTATCTAGCTACGAACTAGATCGGAGCGTAGGTTCGTGGAGACCGGGTATGCGTAGCACAAAGACTTGACAAACGGTCAAAGGGAGCTGCCCGTCAAGCAGATTGTAACAATTGGGCAAACAATTAAAGGTTAGACGGGGGATCCGGTCTGTTGAGTATCTGTGCAACTCCGTACCCGTCAACAGCAGAGTATAGTCTCTCTGGTCTTAAAAGAAGATTCTCTTTTCTGCGCAGGAAAGCAGAAAATATAAGAGCAAGCGGGAAATATAATAACTTAGAGAGGTAGCATCACGAAGCGGGCCGCACTGCTGGCCCGAAACAAATCACCGCCATTCCAGCCGAGAAGCATCACCGTCTCTGGGTCCACGGGGCAGCCATCGGGGTCAGCGACTCAGCGCCAGTGAGTCAGTTAGAGCGAGAGAAGTCCCCGTGGTCCAGCCCAGCATCCGATTCTTTTCTTCTTCTCGCCATGCGTTTCTGCGAGAAGAGCAGGAGGGAGATAGGGCCCTGGTGCGTCGGTACCCAGCAGAAGCAAAGGCAAAGCGTCCTCCCCCGGGGGCCCTGTTCCTTGTCTCAAACCGATTGGCAGCGAGTGGAGAGAGGGACGTGTGCTTTGAGAGGACACCGCATCACTTTTTGCAGGCCGTGATTCGCAGCTTTGTTTTGCGGTGGCAGATGTGGCCGGCGGCGGTCCGATGGAGACCATGCAGCCGGGGGATGTTAGACGCTCGTGCAGATTCAGATGCCAATCAGATGCGGGCTGGGGGCCCATTTGTGCCTGACGGTGTTGTTGGTGATGGACAGAGAGGAGAGAGGAGATGGCGATGAAGTTCAACAGAAGCATCTCGCTCATCGACTGTCGTCGTAGTTACTGCGATAACTACTATCTCTCTCTCTACTCTCTCCCGGCCGAAGCATGTCTTCCAAGACGAGGCGAACAAGACCGAGTTATCTCTCCGTTGGATGCCTCATCCTCGCTCATAGGCCCTGCAGCCTGCATGAGACAGCATCCACTGGCTTCTCCCGCCTCTTTGTCTTCTCGAATGGAAATAGAACGATCGACGAGAGCAGGAGGTTGGGGACCCAAAAGTGAAGCAAAAAAGAGCAGCACATCGCAACATTCGACTGATGGCAATGCCCAAAACGCACTGTTTTGGCTTCCCGTCGTTGGGTGCTCATGCATACATCCTGGTCGAACATACGTGGGAGTGCTATTTCCAGCGATGTTCGTCTGGGCTGGAGATGGAAGATGCACTACGATGGACCACATTGTTCCTGTTACCGGCTACTGATCTTGAGATAATTACCAGTTCTTTTCCCGCCTATGGGCAATCTATCGCAAATACGTAGAAAGGCGGCAGTCGATTGAAGCGCTTATCTATAACGACAGTATTACAGGTAACTATAAGAGATGGAATTTATTAGTCGGACGACGAGATAATAGACATGACGTTAGAAAGCCCCAATATACACTGCTGCACGAGAGAAATTCGCCCGATATACATTGAATCGCCCGTGTTTTGGTTGTAAAAACGGAACATGGTCCAAAGCGGGAGTGTTCACCTCAATGTACAGAAGAAATTATAGAAAGAAATATATAAAACACAGAGAAAGAGAAAGAGAAAAAAGATACACAGTCCAGGTCCGAGGTCACAGGGGACGTTTCGATCGCCTCGGCATTCTATTTTGATTCCGGGTGCCTCTGCCCACGGTCGAAAGATGGGACAGCCAGGTGAGATCTCAAGCCTTGATGTTATGATCGTGAGCCCGGTCTCCAAGGGTTTCCTGTGTTTGCAACGTGTGCCCTGACTGCTTCCCACTCGATCATGCTTGCCATCCATACAAGATCCAGATGTAAAGAGATCCGGGTTGATAGGTGGTAACATGGCGAGTTTTCGACGGACGAAGAGTATAGCACAGAGTTTTGGTTTTGGTTTTTTTTTTCTTTGCTGGAGATGAAAAGAGTCGCTTTCTTTTTTGGGTGGTAAATCCGAGAGAAATCCTGTAATGTTGGAAAATATCGCCTTCCGTCGTCAGTAATGGAAAAGAGAGCTCCTGTCGTTTACCTCGTAAGCGCCGGTAGGAACAAGAGCGCCCACCGCGCGTAGGGGGTTTTGTCTCCCTGGACATGGCCTTCGCTCAGTTACTTATCATACGATGCCCCATGCATCCTCTGCCGCGTGGCAGAACTTGCTACACGCCACGCTGGCGCTCAGGCTGAAATTGCTGATACTGACAGCATCATCCTTGAACGCATCCGCAAAGTCGTCGCGGCCCTTGGCCATGGCACCCACAAACACACAGATACTTTCCTTGGGCCCCAGCGTCCTGATGTAGTCGTTGACCCGCACCACGGGCGCGTCAAAGCTGAGCGTGACCTTGCGGCAATTGGGTGGCAGGTGGTCCGTAATGGGATTCTTGATCACTTTGAGCAGCTTCTCCTGCGAATTGGTGGAGCGGATTGAAAGCCGATGGAGCAATTGCACCATCAGCCCGGCGAACCGCTTGAATGTGCGAGGAATGCGCACCGTCGGGCTGACTTCGATCAAAACACCCTTGGCGGTGTGGATGTAAATCTGGAGTTTCCCGGCTTTGTTGATCGGCGAGTCAAGAAGGGTGAGGAGGCACTATTCATAGTTGAAAAATTCCCCCAGGAATCCGTTGATAAGCATATTGTCACGCAGGGAGTTGAGACTGGCCAAGGGAGTCAAGAATATGCAAACCTGGTGAGTGATATCCGGTCTGGCCTCGCTGATGTCCCTTCCCATCTTCCTCATCACGCCAATGTGTTCGTCGCTGTTCAGGAGCGAGTATTTATCATCTCTGCCATTGACGCCCTTTCCGCCGGCCTTGTAGGTTTCCAGACTCGCGTTCGACAGGACCACGATCAGCCGTTTCGTGTCCTTGTCCTGCGCTGAAATCGGAACGTGCTGTTCGGCGACGAGCTGCGGGAGTTCGGGAGGCGGGCAGGACTGGGTTCCTGGACGATCAATAGACATTGTGCGATTAGTAGCGATCTCAAGGAGGGCGTTCTCGCAACGAAATGATCGAGGGGCACAAGTGAATGTGGGTTGAGCAGAGTGGAAGTGCAGACGCAGAGGGGATTTTCAGCAGAGTTCCAAGCGCGTTGATCAGCTTCTCATCCCATCTGAATAGCCATTAAGAAGGAAGACAAGAGTGCGATCTGTGCCCAAAGACATTCAATGGCCTGCTGTTCACCCCTCTTCTGGCTGCTGTCGCTCTGCAAGTTTCGACATGGATTCTGGCCGCTGATTTGCTCCAATGGGCGTGAAACATTTAAACAAACTTCGAAAGAAAAGGAACTTACGGGGCCGCTTCCGCTTGGACATGTCTGAGGACGCCATGGCGATGGAATCGACGCTGAATGCAGTGAGTCGGAGAGCAGGACAGACTTGAAGAGAGAAACGGGAAGGGAATAATACAATCAAAAAGTCACCGAAAGTCAGCGGAACCGTGAGGCTTTTAGACTTTTTCCGCAGTCGGCAGCAGACGGAGAATCTTCCGGTTGATTTTAAAAGATGATATTGGGATAAAGGGAAGAAGAGATGGAAGACGGTGATCTTGACAGAAGACGAGTTACGTGAGTCATTGCCTATAAATCTACGTCCGTTGCTGTGCGCCATTATCAACACCCAACGGTTGGAATCAGATTCAGCTCGGCTATTCCCCTGCCTTTCCGTGCGAAATATGTGTCTTTTTCGCTTCCTTTTGCTGGGATTGGACTCTACCAAACAAGACATTTCTGTCCTGGACGGCGCAAGCACCCGAATAGCTGGACATTTCAGCTCATATACTCTGTAGAAATAAATAAAAAAATATTGAAAAATCTCATCTGGATTTGCGAGACTCTCTAGAATAACAATCTCCCCCCAGCCATGGACCAAGGAGAGCCCTTAAATCCCCGAGAGTGTGCGTCGAGCACCTGGGGCTTCTTCCGCAGGGTCTTCGCAACCCCTACCACCAACACGGAGAGTGGCCGTGGCAGCTTGCCATGTGCGAGATATCTGCTCTGTTTGCTCGCAAGGATAAACCATCTCTTTGTGGGAAAACATCCGAGAGAAGTCCTCCGTAGGCATGTCAACAAGTCAAGCCCTTCTTTGCAGCGGTTTCATTTTCGAAAAGCCCGTTGCACGGCACAGAGTAGAACGCAGGCTTCCGCCATTGATCAACCGGCGCAGGTCCTTACCGCGCGGCTTAGTGCAGTGCAATATCCTGTCTGACGAAGGGCGAATTCGGAATTCCAGGCACAGTTCTCCCACTCAAGCATGCAGCGTCCCGCCTCCAATTTTCTTTGACTCGCTGGGCCGGGAGACCTCAACATGGAAGATTCCAGGCTTTTTGATGGACGGAGAAGTTGCACTTTGCTACCATCACGCCATGGCTGAGCTTCCCATCGCCCTCGACAGCTTCAAGTCAAGGAGGACAGGTACCACGTCAGTGGATCACTTGCTCACAGAAGACTCATCCCCAAGTTGCAGAGCCAGCAGCCAGACGTGGCAAGCTCGCGCACATCCAGTTCTCACGGTGATTTGCTGGTGGCGACTCCGGCCAACAATGAGAGGCCCGTTTCAAGAATGCAGGGATTGCAAGGAGGACAGTTCTGGCAAGCCTGGGAGGACTAGCCGGACGAAAGATTCGCAAACCAGCCAGCGACTCCGCTCTGAGGATTTCTTGGTTGCCTGTCGTCTTATTCCAGTGGCTGGGGGGAGTTGGCAAGGCACGAATCATCGTAATCACGGTGTCGCAGGGCCGGGAATAACCAGCGGCCACATGATGCAGGAGAACGCGAAGTGAATGCGCTGGAAGGCTGTGAGTCTGGCGCTGGAACCTGTCTTGTCTTCGGCTACTCTTGTCAGACTCCACTGCGGTAGCCAATGCGATGCTGAGACAAAGCAGCGTCTTTTCCCACGATCTGTAGCCTGTAGGCATCCTTGCAGCGAATCATTAATACGGCGTTATGCCCATTTGACTGAAGAATTCAGCCACCGGCCATTGGATCGCTCGCTCTCCAGCGTCACGACCGGCAGGCTGAGCGCAGCGTCAAGTCATCGTCTTGCCGTTCACTCTCAACTCTGCCACTCTTTGTCTTCATCACCAGGCCGATCGTCGACCTGCTCGCCTCTTTAGAGTCTTCTGTTCGCCGCCGTTGCTCGTTGCCGTGACCTCCTTGGCCCAAACAGGCTTAGTGACCGTTCGCGCCAATCAACCCGGCGATAACAAGAAGCCTGCTCGCCCTCGATCAACCAGCAGCATTTCTCGCGACGCAGTGCTGCTAACACACACATGCTGACCCGCATCTAACTGTCTTGTCTGGATATCAGCACCCATGGTCAGTGTGCGAGATATGCCCTATACCGTGACCAACTCGTTCAAGAGGTAAATGCCCTCCTCCCCCTAATTTCAACCCTGCGACGCGCCCTAACAGCCCATCACAATAGGGGTCTCATGATGAAAACCTACAGCAAGCCCATCCGCCAGTTCTGGGACGATGCCTCGCGTCCCGCTGCCAAAAAGAGACGCGTCGATGCCGGCAAGGACCAGAATGGGAGCGAGACCAATCTGGAGTGCGCCATCCGCGAGTCCTCCGCCGCCATTCTCTCCAGCCCGTCGCGTCGCAACTCGGTCAGTTTCTCCGAGGATGTGCTGGACGACCTGTCCACGCCGCCCTCATCGCCGCCAGCCCTGCAATTGACGCCCCCGCCGGCTATTACGCGAAAACCCACGTTTTCCTTCCTCAAGCGGAAGAGGTCGGCCACCAGCGTGTCGGCCGCCGGAACCCCATTGGCAGAGGTGAACTCGAACAGCTTCCTGCCAGCATCATCGGAGCCGCCTAAAAAGAAGCAGCAGACGCACCAGCCACCGGTCCTGAAGCAGATGCAGCTTGACCTGGGCGGTGAGGTTCGCAAGACGTGCCCGGGGTGCGGCATGGAGTACGTGCCGTCCAATCCAGAGGACATGGCCCTGCACAAGAAATTTCACGACATGAACGCCAACGGCATCGATCTCGGCAAGGCATTTGTGCGAGCGAACGCGTGCCGATGGGTGTACGAGGCAACGCGGTTCGAAGAGGGCTACGTGGTGATTGTCGACCGCAAGAGCTCTCCGTCCACCAAAAACCAGGCAAAGCGAGTGCTGGAGGTGGTCAACAAGGAGCTTTCCGCGCCGGAGATTGAGGACGCGATGCTCTGGAGCCAGATTGAAACGCCAAAACAGTTTCGGAAGAACGGGTCAAAGGAGGAAGTGGATCGGTTCAAGGTGTTTCTGCACATGAAGGACAGCAAATGCGTTGGGCTGTGTTTGACGGAGCGGATATGGGAGTCTCACCCCGTCAAGAGGGACAGCAAAAAGACTGCCAGGAACCCGGCTGAGGGACCCGATAGCTCGTCAATCACACCGTCCCCGGAGAAGCACCCGGCCATCGTGGGCATTTCACGAGTCTGGACGTCGTCCTCGTCGCGAAGAAAGGGTATCGCTATGGACCTGCTGGACTGCGTCGTGGGGAATTACTTTTACGGCATCGAGATCCCCAAGTCCAGGGTGGCGTTCAGCCAGCCTACAGAAAGCGGCTGTCGCTTGATGGAAGCGTTCTTTGGCCCTGATGAGCCGTGGCATGTCTACAAGGAGAATTATGCGACCGCCTAAAGTGGTGGGATAAATTGGATTTTCAACATATTATTCTGGATCCGTGAGCAAGGAAGAGCTCGAGATTGATATAGCAAGGAAAAGCTTCATTCGCTTCTTCACTGAATTATTCCCTGGATTGTTATAGGCGTTTGATGGGTGTGATATATGGGGTTTTTCGTAACCTGGAGGGCTGGATTGGATTCCCCTTTTTTTTTCTTCTTTACCAGATTTATATGCTAACGACTTCGATATACCATTAAATTGAATTTTGATTATTTTATAGCATCAATCTCTCTGTCTTTCTCGTAGCCTTCTATCCAGAGCTCCAGGAGTGCCTGCCCGGCTCCTGTCTGTTCTTTCTCGCCTCCTTGCTTTGTCTGCTTGGACCTCCCACCTCTCAGTCTCGGACCATCACCGTCCAACTCACTGCCCGCCCTCTTCTCCCTCTCTCCCACCTCCACTCCCGCTCATGCCCAGCATAGTCCAATTCGTCCGCGATGCCTGGACACAATCCTTTCCGCCGTAAAAAGGCTGCCTCTGACACGCCGGCCCCGCCTGCGCACGCAAGCTCCGACGTTGCTGAGCAAGTTCCAGGCAGCACCATAGCAGCTGCACCCGCAGCGCCATCCGACAATGGTGCGCAATCCCAGCCCCTCTATCTTGTTATATACCCATTTTCGATTACATTTACAAGCTGCTTGGTATCATGTGTGATTGGCAATTGACGTTTTCAACCTAGATCCTCCTCCGACTCAATCCTCAAGGACCAAAACGGTGCGCATCGCGTCCCCGCCAACACTCATTCCACCGGTTCAACCGTTGACTCCTTTATCTGGGAAGAATATTACACCCTTCCAACGCATCTCGATGCATCGCGGTTCTCCCCCTCCTCCCATGCCCGATTCGGATCCGGAATCCCCGGCTGATGAAGGCTCGCTTCCTCTTGATCCCTTTGATAGCCCGGAGATCTCCGGAAGCGACGACTACGAAAGACGGCAATTGGAAGATGATATACTGCGGAGCTCGCCGCTACATACAAACGAAGAAGCGGGGATAGGGCGATATGGACGCCAGGACCAGGGTGGATTGGGAAGACCGATATCGTCTGGGGGAACGGGTTTTGCCTCGCGGGCGCTGGACAATGCTCCTCCAACGCCGGAACAGAGAAAAAGAGCTAAGATGGATGTAGACGCGTTTGCGAGAATGCTTCTTAGGGGAAGTTCGGAATCAAGTCTTGATGGAACACAGCCAGGTTCTCAACCTCAAGATCGGACGGCTCCAGGTGGCGGGAGCAATGCCAACGCACACGGTGCAGAGAAGGCAATCTTACAAACTGCTTCTACTCCCCGACAAGATATTCCAGATGGGCCATCGAAATCGGATCGGGGAGATGAGAATCCACAAGTTGAGAGAAAACCCACAGAAAGGAAGAAGCCACCACCGCCGAAGACGAGGCACGGGAAACCAATCCAAACTGATCCGGATATGGCTTCGATTGGAGCTTCCACTCCTTCCCCAGCGTCTGATAAATATACCAGCCCGTTCAACCGCATTTCACTCTCTTCGCCCTCATATAATGGAGGACGAGTTGTTTCCGACCCTCCAATACCTAGCCGAAGCTCTGATGGCAGTGCCAGAGCATCAATACAGGAGCGACGCTTCGAAAGCCGTTCTGAGCCCTTTTCAAAACCCCTTACCCTGCCAAAAAGGCCGCCAACTCCCCCAGCGCGACGAAACAGTCAGTTAAAAACACACAGGTCTTCTCCTCCAGTAACCCGTTCTAGCTCAACAAGGCTCCCCACGAACACCAATTCCCCCCTTCATATGTCTAGCATACCGCGAACGCCTCCGCCGCCGCCTTCTCGTCGAAGAGACCGAGAATCTTCTACTTCTTCCCCATCTACCCAGTCTCGACTCTCCATTACGCCAGATACAATCGCACCATTGAACGGGGGAGCAGACGATGCTTCAGAAAACACCAGCCTTCAGCGCTCAGAATCTGGTTCAGTACGCTCTGTCAATAGGGCATCGAGGCTTTCAGGTTCCTCCGCGGTTCCGCCACGACCCCCTCCTCCTAGACGGAGCGGCGGTTCTTATGCACACGGCTCAGACGATTCTCGAGCCGCAAGACCAAGATCGTTGGGCTCAGATGAATCGGGTCACCGATTTGAGGAGAAGGAAACAGAAGAGCCGCCCGCTCCTCCGCGTTCGAATGCAGGTAATATCCTTGAAACATTGTCAAAACTGCAGCAGGAGGTCGATGAATTACGAGGAAGATATGAGAGGAAACCTCCCAATTAGAGGCTCCTAACAAACACATCATCTCTGGCGTGGATTCTTGATTGGGATATGATATTTATGTTTTCTCCTTTTGAATGCTAGCATGGGTTGAAGGGGGCGTTGGGTCGGCTTTATAATGGCGACGAAGGTTGTCCATGGATTCTGGGGCTTAATGATTTCGTTATGAAAAGCCGGGGCCGCCCTGGATATGTATGACGGGCAAGGGATTGCTATGATGCTCTTTCTAATGATTAGGATATCTTTACTTGTATTGTATATATTACATTCCACACTGTTTAGCAATTGAATTTGCTTCCTTTACGCAGAGAATGACCTGCACTTCGTGTCATGACGAAATTTTTCATTTGCATACAGAGAATAGCAGTGTACTAATTCATACATTTCAAGGCAGAAAGGAAGAAGTAAGAGAGCACGCCCGTTATCCTCGCATACCAGATTCAAAAATCAGAGAGAAGAAGAAAGGAGATCGCCGACAGTAAAAAAAAAAAAAACTCCCTTCATTTAGTTACCCTAACATTATTTTCTTTTCCATAAATCCGCCCTCCGTCATCCATCTGAAGGTTTGATATCTTCCCGAAATTCCTCGTTATCCGTACAATAATAGGCTGGCCAAGAATACGCATTTCTCATAAACATAAAAAGTCAGAAAAAGAAAGAAAAAAAAAAAAAGCGGTGCTCATGAAGCTCATTGATCAGGTTTGCTGTTCGTACGCGACCGGACGCGGTGGTCTGACGGTCGTATCGACCACGTCTTCATCAAACGTTATGCCGTCAACCATGCGCGCATCGTCAATTGGGTCGTATTCCGGCGCCTGTGGCGTATTCGATCCCGCCGGGGACGGTGAGGACGGTGGAATCTGGCCCGGCTGGGGTAGATGCGTCGCAGTGGAGTTCGCGGTGGATGCGCGATTCCCTCCCACGCCGGAAGACTGGCGACTCGAGACGGTCATTCTGTTGGGTCCGCCGGTGGACACGGGCCCGCTGATAGTGCTGCTTGCGCCCTCGCCGAATCCCACGAGGCTAGCGTTTTCGTCGCTGAAGCCTCCGGTGCTGGAAACCCCGTCGTCGTCGTTGAGCTTGTCGTGATCGAAGATGTCGCTTCCGCTGGCCCAGGTGGTGCGGCCGCCAATGCTACCGGTGGCGCTAGCGCTGCCGACGGTGCTGCGTTCCTTTTGGAGGAGGTGTGCGTATGTGGGATCAAACCAGCTGGGCGGACCACCGCTGGGGAAATTGTTGCCCGGCGTGCCGGTGTCGCGCGGTGTTCTGGTTGCGACTCGTTCTAGCCCAGCGAGACGTGAGATTCGATCTGCGCGTTCGGCAGCGAGGGTATCGGTGGAAGTATCGGAGGCGTCTGAGTGGCGGCGACGGGGCCGATGGCTATGGGGGTAAAGTTTGCCTTGATGGCCGTCCTTGATCGCGGTGGTTGACACACCGGAGAGTGAGGTGGTGCCGGAGTTTGGAGTGCTCCTGTGTTTGGTAAGGGAGCAATGATTAGCATTGTTGGAGAGGCTGGGTCACGATGCAAGGTACTTACGGGCCCATTTCGGATGGAGTGGGTGGCTCTGATGGCGGAGGCGGAAGGTTGATCAGTGTTGGATGTGCCATGTTTAATATCGGGTATGAGAGATTGGGGAATCAGTGATTAGCAACTCCGCTGGACCTCACCCACAAACAAGATCTGAAGGGTGCAGAAACGGCAGGAACAGGTCTTCAAGTAAACAGGCGTTATCTGGCGAATTCTTCCGGTTTGTGATGTCTTCGGGAGGCTGCTTTGTCGAGGGCGGAGGGTAGCGCGTTGTTGCGGTGTAGATCCACGAAGGGTCAGCCCAGGCTAGAATCCGTCAGACAATCTTGCTAAGAGTTTATCCGGCAGTACTGTACAGAGGTGTAACGGCTGGTGATGACGAGGAAACCCGCGGATGGTTGTTCAACATTGACGGAAACAGAGGCGGACAAAGCGGGGAGCTTGCTGCTCATGCCTGGCCTCGGCCAGTTGCACAAGGAGAAACGGCGTCAGACTCGAGCACACACTGCTCTCAAGGAAGAGGCCGGCAATGCGATGCAAAAAGACAATGAAATTGGATCCGCAAGCCAGAGGTTCGTCGAGGGATGGAATTGATTGAATGATTTGATGCTGCTCAGTGTTGCGTTGAACCAAAAGAAGCAAAAGTGAAGCCACGCGGCTGACGTCATCAGGTAGTGCCAGATAGAATTAATTATGTAATCAGTTACTCTTTTTAGGGCCAGTGTGAAATAGCAGGGCTGCCCTCTGCATGAATGAATCATCAATGAGTGCTCAAACTGTGTACTCTGTACTTTTATCTATTGCTCTCTGTTTTCGTCTTGCTTATTCTCCTTTTCCTTCTTCTTATTTCTCTCTTCCCTTCCTCCTTCTGCTTCTTCTCTTCTCTCTCTTTCAGCCACACTCAGCCCTACCAGCCACCAGCCACAACAGTCCCAAAGCAGCCTAGCCCTTACATAAGCCACTCCGAAAATCTCGCGCTTCTTCAACATTGTGCCTCTCTTCAAGGCATTTCTCTCTCTCTCTCTCTCGCTTCACGTTTCCCACCAGATCCTCCCTTCACTCAGCTCCATTCCCGCCGCGCCCTCTTCCGTCTTGTTCCTGCGACCCCTGGGATTTGACTCTGCAAGCCATCGTGCCCTTGCCGACGTGTTGCTAGCCAGTTCCAGCCCGCTGTCCTCTTTGTCGCTTGGCATTGACTTGTCCAGCGCAAGAGACAAAAACAAAGGAGCTCGATCAAACAAAAGGAACGCCTTGTGAAATCCACTAGACTCCCCTCAGTGTTTTTCTCTTTCTTTTCCACTTCCCACACTACGATTCGCCTCCCGTGCTCCGAAGCGCTCTGATCGCATCTCCCGGCCTGCAGATCCCACTGCCCGAGCCGACCCGATCCAGTCACATACAGCCACAGGCTGTTCGCTTACAGAGCCTGCGAAGCCGATAGACGTTCCAGTTGGAAGAGGGTACCATCCGCGGGACCCCGTTTCGATAGAGTATACTCCGGTGTATCGTTGTGTGTGTTGGATCTCTCTGTGGCTTTGAGTAGCCATGGCCGCCCCAACTCAACTCGCTTGTATGTCAGCTTCCCGTTGCCTAGAACAAGTTGATACTGAGACGTAGATAGATCGAACGCTCAAGGGAATTGGCATCCTGGATGCGTCTCCAGTCTATGAGCCGTTGCCAGGTTTCACAAAGTACGAATCCCGCACTCGCAAAGATACCCTGGCCGTTACTGACCCTCTTGTCTAGACCAGAAGGTAATCTACGCTGCTGCGCTTATTCTCCATGTGGCCGATATTTTGCATGGGCTGCTCCTGAAGGGTATGTCCATGTTTTGATCCCCTCTGCCCCATTAAATCCATTGTGCCGCGCAACTAATCCGGCTCTAGAGTTTCCATCATCGACCCATCAGTCGGCCATCTTGTGGCTACGCTTCCAGCAGAGAACGTGTATGAACTTGGATTCTCCCCACTGGGAACGTTCATCATTACCTGGCAGCGGCCGTCGAAAGACGAGAACGGCGATGCAGTAAAGAATCTGAAGGTTTGGAGGGTGGTAGAAGGGCCTCCCAGCGACAATGGCGATGAAGCCTCGCGCGTGCCGATTGGGAATTTCGTGCAAAAGTCGCAAACCGGGTGGAATCTGCAATATACCGCAGACGAAAAGTATTGCGCTCGCGTAGTTACCAACGAGGTGCAGTTCTACCAGAGCGGGAATCTGACAACGGTTTGGAACAAGTTGCGGGTTGAGGGAGTCACAGACTTTGCTCTCTCTCCGGGTCAAAACCACGCCCTCGCAGTGTTTATCCCCGAACGCAAGGTAAGCATCGAGTGACCTTGCCGCCATCTCTTGTTTTTGGACCTGGAACTTACTTTTTGGTTACCACAGGGCCAGCCAGCTGCCGTTAAGGTCTTCAACGTACCGCAGTTCAACGCTCCAATCTCCCAAAAGACCTTCTTCAAGGGAGACAAGGTTCAAATGAAGTGGAATAATTCTGGGACCACCTTGATTGTGTTGGCACAGACAGAAGTTGACAAGACCGGAAAGAGTTATTACGGCGAGACCACGCTCTATATCCTCAGCGCGAATGGATTCGATTCAAGGATCAACCTTGGTAAGTTCTTGCGTGGAGTTTCCTTTCTATCTCGCATATCATCCATACTTACTCTGCATTGTAGACAAGGAGGGCCCGATTCACGATGTTAGCTGGTCTCCTAACTCGAAGGAGTTTGGAGTCATCTATGGCTACATGCCGGCAAAGGCGACAATTTTCAATGCTCGAGGAGTCGCCACGCATTCCTTTCCCCTTGCACCCCGAAACACAATGGTGTTCTCCCCTCATGGCCGATTCGTCGTTGTCGCAGGGTTTGGCAACCTTGCTGGGCAGATGGACATCTACGATTTGGACAAAAACTACGCCAAAGTTACTACCGTCGAGGCGTCCAACGCCAGCGTGTGCGAATGGAGCCCTGATGGTAAACACATTTTGACCGCAACTACAAGTCCTCGACTTCGTGTCGACAACGGAGTTCGAATTTGGCATGTTGGCGGCGGATTGATGTACAACGAGGATATGAACGAGCTTTACGACGTTTGCTGGCGGCCGCAGTCCGCGGTCAACCATCCTCTGGAAAACCCACTGCATCCCATGCCAAATCCCCACCCATCTGCGCTGGCCTACCTTGCGAACAAGAAGACACCTTCGAAACCGGTAGGTGCTTATCGACCACCTGGGGCGCGCGGTCAGAGCACGCCAATGAGTTTCCGTCGTGAAGACGAAGGCGGAGCCGCGTTTGTTCGGGACGACCGCCCAGGGACCTTTGGGCCAAGTGCGAACACATTCGGCAAGCCTCGACGCCGCGTGGTTCCTGGGGCCGAGCCAATGGATGAGTTCCTGCCTCCTGGAGCGGCTCCCGGAGGTGGTGTGGCTCTTCCACCCGGAGCACAGGCGGACGATAAGCTATCCAAGTCTGCGGCGAAGAACAAGAAGAAACGCGAGGCGAAGAAAGCCAAGGAGAATGCGGACAAGGCCCAGAATCTGTCTGTTGAAGGCGCTGGTGCGGATCAGGCTGCGCCCACGAGACCCCACGCGGAGCGCCGTGAAAGGCGAAACCACTCTCGCAGCCGGTCTCGCGGCAATAACCAGAATCTGGACCCCAACACGCATGGCCAGCAGAATCGCAATCGCAGCCGGAGCAGCCACCGCCGCCAGCGCAGCGACGGGAACAACAACAGAGGCAACGGACAGCGTGGTGGCGCGACCGCCAAAGTGAACACTCGTCAGCCGCCAAATGGAACGCCGGTACCTGACGTGACTGTGTCGTCCCCGACTACTGGCAACACATCGTCGCAGGAGAAGAAAGTGCGTGGGTTGTTGAAGAAGATGCGCGCGATTGACGAGCTGAAGATGCGCCTGGCTGGTGGAGAGAAGCTGGAGGACACGCAGATGAAGAAGATCAAGACCGAGGAATCCGTGCGCAAGGAATTGGAGGCCACTGGCTGGAGTGGGTAGTCTGAGGTGATTTTGACAAGTATCTACATAGATTGGACACCGAGATGACTATATAGACATTTGCTCTCTCTAGACGATCAATCATACGAGCCTGTAGAATAAACCGCAGTTCGCTGGGTTATCCTCATCCATTTCAGCATTGCTATCCGGCGACTCCGACATCCCAGCCATCTCAGACCACCTTTCTGCACGATTCTTCAGGGCCTCCACGCCGTCACGCATTTTATCTTTGGTGGCGCCCAACCCCTGGATGCCGCCGCCCAATCACACCGCTGACCTCCCACGTCCCAACCTCGTCTTTGCTCCAAACTGCGACACTCGACGATTCACGGCGGCGGCAATGTGGATTGGCGCTGTCACACCCGGCGACTGGGCTGCCAAAATGGGCCGCCAGCGAGGGTCACACCCGTATCGGGATCGAAATGCTCCAGGGGTATGAGGACTGGTCGAGTTGGTGAGTGAACTATTATCCCATGAGGGCTGCGTGCATAACTTGTCCCCCGCTCATCGACGATGCAGGGAAAATCACAGCTTTGGACTCTCCGTCAAACTAACTAGTTACCCTTTCTAGTTACCAGTCAGTTCGAGGTCGATAACTAGCTCATAGCTCGCAGCCCAGTCCACTTCCTCTCGCCTCGATCCAGTGCAAAACACCGGCTGAGACAACCCCTGTCCCACGTCTGAACCAGAATCGTTTGCAGCAGAGAAGTCAGCGTCGAACCAGCTTTTCTGGGCGGGATAATATGTCTCTGGCTTGCTCGCTGCCGTGATTGCTTTCTCTCCCTCGCACCTTGCTGAAGCGCATTCCGCTGTGGACGAAGACCTGTCCTGATTTCCCCCCCGTGAGCCTCGACGGTAGTTATCGGTGATCTTGTTTGTTTCATTGCATGAGAGCAAGAAGTCTTGCTTTTCGTTATATAATACGGCGCTTATTTTCGAGCTTGATCGTTGCGCGTCTGGGTGATGCAAAGGCTCTCTGTCTGTTTTTAGTGATTGGCCGGGCCGTCGTTGAGAGACCGCATTTTATTCCTCGATTGACGGTGCCTTTTTCTTGTGGTTGCGCTTCATTTGCGCTGATAGGCCTGTCGCAATTTTGGGGACTCGGTTCAACGACTCTGGATATGCATGATTCCAATCCTTGAGCATACTCCGTACCGCTTATCAACATCCAACTACCTTTTTACGTCCGTCACATTTTAATACCCTTGCATAGACTCTACTCTTTCTCTTTCTTCTTACATATTTATTCTACTGCGTGATCACAATGAGTGGAAAAGGATACTCGGACACCTATGTCCAAGGGCCTGAACGAGCAAGATGGCCTCCGCTCACGAGGATGCTGATGTCCGGTGAAATGAGTGGAGAGCCACCAAGGGACATGACGATGAAGGAGAAGTTTGATCGATGGTGCGTCCACCTCTGCAGGCCGTGGAGTACGTTCTTTATCCTATGCTAATGTCTCTCTTGTATAGGATGGTCAATGAGGGCTGGAGAAGACTGTGAGTTTTTTAACCCCAAAGTTGACTCTTGCAGCAAGCTAACTAGTAAAATAGCACCGTGGCCGTATTCAGCTTGGCGCATTTGATGATATTTGCTTTTGGCTTACTGCATTATGGGCTCAAGGCAAGTATCCCAGGTTCTCCCTATTTTCTAGCTGGTGCCTAACAAGACTACAGGACAACCTCCTAGGTTCGAGGGCAACTTTTGGTGTTACCTTTTCAATTGCAAGAGCTGCAGCGCTAGTATTACATTTTGATGTCGCGTTGATCTTATTCCGTATGTTGTATGGCATGAAGTATGCCTTGGAGTATATACTTACAAAGCATAGCTGTCTGCCGCACTCTTATTTCGCTACTGCGACAGACGCCCTTAAACGGTATCATTCAATTTGGTATGGAGACTATCCTTTTCTATACATGCATCGAACCCATGCTAATTTGAATATCTAGATAAAAATATCACTTTCCATAAACGTCTGTCCACCCTGACCCCCAAGCGTAGTCTATACTAACATTGCGACAGTGGTGGCTTGGTCCATCGTCACTTTTTCCTGGGTACACACCGTTGCTCACTGGAGTAACTATGCCCAACTTGCCGCGAAGCAAGGACTTGGGGTTTCCGGTTTCCTCCTAGCCAACGTTGTTACTGGACCCGGCTGGACCGGGTACATAATGTTATTCGCATTAATGGCAATGGTGATAACATCTATTGGGAAATTCCGCCGAGCCAACTTTGAACGGTTCTGGTATACACACCATCTATTCGTCGTCTTCTTCGTTTTCTGGGCTTTCCACGGAGCATTCTGCATGATCAAGCCTGACTTTCCGCCTTTTTGCTCCGGCATCGGTGTGTTTTGGATGTACTGGATCTATGGTGCAGCAATGTATTTGGTGGAGAGGCTGCTGCGTGAGCTACGCGGACGGCATAAGACGTATATCACGAAGGTCGTACAGCACCCAAGTAATGTGGTCGAAATTCAGATGAAGAAGGAGAAAACAAAAACCCGGGCCGGTCAAGTAAGCCTTCTGTGAAGTTGTCTGCCGTTAGGTAGCCGTTTGAGCTAAACATCGTGTGACAGTACATTTTTCCTTTTGTGCCGACGATATCCGTGTGGCAGTACCACCCGTTCACGCTTACAAGCGCCCCTGAGGAAGATTACATTTCCGTGCATATTCGATGCGTTGGAAACTTCACCAAGGAACTCGCTCGGACTCTAGGATGCACCTTCGACGAAGGCAAAGGCGGCAAGGGTGGTGGTAAGGGTGGCAAGGGCAAGACTGGCGTGATCGGCGTCAACAATCAGACGGCATCGGACGATGTCGACCCCAGCATCCGCCGCGTTCTACCCAGAGTCTACATCGACGGGCCATTCGGCAGCGCGTCAGAAGACGTTTTCAAGTACGAGGTTGCGGTTTTGGTAGGCGCTGGCATCGGCGTGACTCCGTTTGCATCCATCTTGAAGAGTATCTGGTACCGGATGAACTACCCGCAGACCAAGACGCGGTTGCGAAAGGTTTATTTCTTCTGGGTATGTCGAGATTTTGGCTCGTTTGAGTGGTTTCAGTCCCTGCTTCTGGCTATCGAAGCGCAGGATAAAGCCAATCACATTGAAATCCATACCGTAAGTCGACTGCTCGTATGAAACATCTCCGTTCCCGGATCTGCTCTAACTTACATAGTATCTCACGGCCAAAATTCGCCCCGACGACGCTACGAACATCATGATCAACGACGCCAACGCCGAACAAGATACCATCACCGGCCTGCGCGCGCCAACCAACTTTGGCCGACCGAACTGGGACATGGTGTTCCGGTCCATTCGAAAGCTGCACACGCCCGCCGAGGCGGGTGTGTTCTTCTGCGGGCCGAAACCGCTGGGGAGCGTGTTGCATGTGAAATGCAATATGTACTCGGAGCCTGGGTTCCATTTTGTGTGGGGAAAGGAGAACTTTTAAAGCACCGCTCTTGAAAGGAAAAAAGAAACACTGTGAAATGACTTGATGTTGCATTGTCCTCGTATGTTTGCTTTTCTATATATGATTTTGTAGTTTAGGATCTTATTGTACAGTACATTTGTGAATAATTTCCGCAGTTGTTCCTTAAGCTCTGATCGCATCGTATTGTTATTTGATGCGTTGTCGCTTGTAATTGCTAAGAGCTGGTGCTCTAGCTTCCATGCAGACAGGCATTCCGGATCAACTTCTATTTCCCCTTCCAGCTTTGCATGTTACCCCCTAAAGCCTTTGGGGGTATTTCTCATCATCAAACTCGTTCGTTACATCGTCACAGCGACACCACACCGACCGTGGCTGCTGTAAACTCTGCAGGGGAAGTGATGTCCCGTGCAGGAATCCGTGGCCAGACAGTAGGCCAAGGCGCGAAAACCCTCCTCTAGAAGAAAAAGAAGAGCTGCTTCTCGCAAGGATGGGCTTTTGGTATCCTCGGCGTATTCGAATCCGAGGAGACTGGGTCATAAAACCCCAGAGATTTTGTAACCGTGTTGTTTGCCATCCTGAAACAAGCTGATTGTGCATAGCATAATAGCCTGATCATATCCTTGGGTGAGATGGATGGCAAACAGCGCAGCACAGTAGCAGCCAAACTGGCTGAGATAAGGAATCGGAATCAGGATGTCAAAAGCATTCCATAATACTTTTGGAACTTTCGTTTAGCGGCAGTTATAGCCTCCTTAACATGGCCAACCTCTTCCGATGAGCCTTTCTGTGTGGTTTCGGGCATGACGGCATGCCTCTATCGGAACGTTGTCAAAGGCGTGATATGTCTACTATGGGTGGCGCCCATAGCAACTCCTCCACGACTAACGACCTAGAGAATGTCTTATTTCCAGGTTTTGCGAATTTGGCATAATATGGATAGGAGTTTAATCGCAACGCGTGATCCGGCCGGAGCAGGACATACCACAGGTAATAGGCCGGGTCTTGACGCATGAGCTGTTGCCCTATGCCATGATACATCACTTGTAACCATCCATAATGTTCACAACCACCCATCAAGTGTTGGTGGTGTAGTCGTAGATACATATTGAACTCCTCCGAGACCATTTGCATAATGGTTGGATGGTTTGCACTTCTTTGATTCCACCAGCCCATGAGACTAGGGAAAATAACAGATCCATCATTTTGCCAGGCTGTTTGAATGTTGTTGCTCGGGATGTCGGTAATCCATGCAAAACATCCGTAATTGAACTCTTTTATCAAAAGTAATGCGTGGGACCTTGGTGGTGTGCTGGTACTTGTAAATACCTAACATATCTTCTGGTTGAGGAGGTCGATTGGCGAGCCGAAACCAATTATAGGTGTTTTCTGCCGTTTTAACGTCACCCAGGTTGTGCCTATGCTGGTACAAATATGGCAGTCGTTGTATGAGCCCCTGAGAGTCGAGCAATCTTGTTTGAAGACCTAGCTTAGATGCTAGGAGCTTAGCATGGTCATAGCACAGTGACGGATTTCCGGTGCTGTACGTGTAGCCGACGGGGGGGCATTGTAAGCTGCTGAACTGTGCCATTGGACCCAGTCTCTAGCCGTTGGCGACGAATCGATTGCGCGTGGACCGGAGTCTTGCTACTGTGTTGGAAACATTGATGTTTTCGGAACGCGTAGCCAAATAGCCTGGTCCCAATGACAAACCGAGCTGTGGAAAATCCGAGTACAGAGCCACGATGCCGACAATAAACTAGGCCTATCGCGAAAATTTTGCAACGACCTTGCTTAGCCAGCTGTGTTTCTTCGGCCTCTGCCGGAATATCCTCATCAGATTCGGGAGGTAAACAGACTCAATATCTTTGGTGTCATCTTCTTGTTGGCGTGCCATGGCTGCGATTCTTTGAGAACATCTGGTGATCCTTGTGGTTGTAGCAGTCCTATTGGGAGGACTTCTGGACATCATTTGCTGTCGAATAGGCATATCACTATGCTGAGAGGTGTTGCTAACATTACGACTGTGCGTTCCGCCGGTTCCACCCATGACAATAGATCGTGGGCTTCCCATGCGGGGACTTGCCATTCGAGGACTTCCAACGGGACTGCCAATTTGGCTACGCGTTGCTTGCGGAGAACGAGGACTGTTCAAGGTTTGGTCAATTGATCTCATTGATGTACTAGAACGGGGCAGGGTAAGTTGCTGCAGGATCTCTTGTGGTCCTGCTTCCAGCCCGTTTCTTCTAATGTCATTTTGACTAGGTACTCCATAGGAATCGTTGTTGACATTGTCGTGTGCAAAATCAACATCTCCTGGTAGAACTGCATGCGTTCTACAATGTCCAGTGCCTTCAGTGGTAATGTGTCGATACATGCTGACATTGATCTGGTGAACAAACATGTTCCAGTTGTTGTAATGATTTAGTGCCCGTCTAGTTTGTTGGGCCATCCACAACGTGTCAACATGCTTCCAAAGAGCATCAATTTGATCATTCCCCCATTTATTCAAGTTTGTCCTTGATATTGGCAATATCTCTTCACTTTTTCTGTACGCGTTGCGCGACTTCCCGAGATGTGTTGAAATCACTTTCAAATCGATACTGACCTACATGGGTCCATGCTTGCGAACGGTTGACATAGTCATAAAAATCAGTGACTATGTCCTCCAACAGATTATGGGCAGACATAAGCCCTTCTACTGGCGAAGACCAGGGGCCATGTTTTGACTTCCTGTAGTAATCAGGATTGGGCCCGACCACCAGCTGTCAAGCAGACGGGATGTTTGTTGCCAGTCATGTTTTGCGGTCTACAGAAATGTTAGCTCGTCGAATGTGAAAAGGAGCTTTTTATCAAAAACAGCCCAAGGTTATGACTCACATTTACGCTGCTCTTAGCAACCAAGCGGTCGACTTAATCCGGCTTCTCGAGCACAAACACCACTGTTTTCTGTCGGATGCTCGGATATAAACAAGCATATACCCTTCGTAATCGGCCCTCTACCAGTGCAGAGTCTTTATTGGCAATGTGGGCTAGCTGACGAAAGCTGCAAAGTCCCGCATGACCTGGAATCCGCCCGGGTACTGTAGCGAACCACGGAATGACCAAGATTGATGCTTGCCGACTGAGCACCAAAGGCATAAACGGTAGCCTTTTATCGGTGAAATGTTCGTATGTGGGCCCCCGGGGGCCCAACCGAGAGTGTTTCTCGCTGAAAGGTAAAAGAAGTCGAGCGAGCCCAATGAGTACGGAGATTCGGCTGGCTGTGGTTGCGTCAACCACAGCCTCAATTGGGGGACCTTGCAGTCCCCAGTATTGAGGAGAGGAAGCGATGGGGTTGAACGGGAGGGCTGGAGCCGGTATTTATAACTACTTCGGCAGAGGGCCCCGCGAGCTTTCAATTGCAGCAGGGCTCGAGAAGATAGTGACAGAACTGCAAATGGACTCAATGAAGCAAAGGTGAAATAAGACATTCATTGAGCCCTCGCCAGGTGTATGGATCTTTCCCACAAAGCCCAGATGAGCAGATAAAGCAATGTGAAATATTAATGGAACTAAGCCAAATTGACAAAAAGACGGAAAAGGGAAGTGTGCACAAAGCAATTCAATAACTGCTAAAGTAGCCATTGACAAGAGGTCAATAAGACGTTCTGTGAATAGTATAGTAGGAAGTTATGAAAGACGCAAACATATGGCGGGATTCGCCTGGGCTGTGAACGAACAAGGACTGATGGAAAGGTAGAAGCCCTTGCCTCACTGCAGTCAAGGCAATTCGACAATCGATCAATGATCATAAAGTGAAGATGAGTGATATATTCATCTTTCGGGTATGATAGCAGCGAATAAAGTACATTTACATACTGAATCGTCAAATGTGGATTCATCAAGAGGTAGGCTGAAAGGATACAGGGCCAAAACGAATCAATGCTGACTCTAGAGCGGATCATCGCTATGCAAGCAAGAAACGACTCGTATGCAAGTGACAAAGCTGAAGTTCTGATATCACTGGGTATCATTTTCAGGTGGCTGAACGACCCGAGGGACCCCAAGCATGTTGCTTGAACTCTGTGGCCTCTCTGTCTGATTCTCCGGCAGTGGTTTATCGTCTTTGCTAACAGTCGCCGACGTATCAGAATCCTTTGCCCTCTCTGCATCCTCTTTGGCTGCTTTTCTCTGAGCACTCCTCTCTCTTGAGCTCGCGGATCTCAATGCCCATTCTTTCCCTTCCCTCCCTAGCTGGCTCAGCCACTGCCAATCTTCCTCCTCTACTAGAATGCCGCTATTTTTACCTGCGCTAGATCCTCGGCTATGGCTGTGGAATGAAAGCCTGCCAAGTCGTCGATGTTCGTCGCTGGGACGCTCCTCCACCGCTGGCACTTGTAGCTGTTTCCGATCTTCCTCAAATACGCGTTCAACCGCTGGGGCCGCAGGTATAGCTAGCAGCTCAGTAGCATTCGCTAGGCCATCTACAACCACGGACTGCGTATCGCTGGCAATGTCCTCCAACGCTGCCTCGCCGCTTTCAAGCCGAAGTGAAGCTTGATCAACACCTTCAGCCCGCGCAATTTGCGAAGTCCAGCGCCATATGAGGCGTCGCTTTAATCTAGCCATCACGCCAAGATCATCTTCCTGTGAGGCTGTACCGGCCCTGATGGTCTTCTCGGGAGCACTCCAGCGTTTGATAAGATACCATTTTATTTTTGCAAGTCGTCCTTGAGGTATGATGTAGTTACGAGGCCCAGTTTGAGACCATAGGCTAGGATTAGCATTGGCTAAGTCATTGAAAAAGTTCTCATATAGGCCACGGCGATATGGTGTGTTTTGTTGAGAGGTGAGCGCATGTTTCCAGAAGTACCATACAATCATGACACCAAGCATGAACGGCACTGAAGCTATAAAGTACCACTTGATACTGGGATCACCACTAAAGGTGTCGACATTCATGCCTGAAAACCTGGTCAACAATTATAACCCCATAGTATAAAAGCAAAAGTGACTCACCGAAAAAGCCCGTAATAAATGTCAGCGGCAAAAATATGAACGTAATCCAGCTCAAGCGCCACACTGGTAAAATTAGCAAACAATATCAATGTTTGAAACCAATGAGCACATACTGCTGACACTCAACCGAATATTCTGCCTACTGTCACGAATGGAGACAGATTGATAAAGCAAGGATATCAGGTTTTTCGTCGGCTTGATCAAATCCTCAGTGATAAGATTGCCGAGCCGTTCAAAATCTCCCGGAGCACCCTCTAGCCACGGATCGTCCCTTTCCATGTCGTCTAGAACGCATTAACTGTGCAATTCGCTTTCCCAATGGAAAGAGGAATATCTCACCAGTCAGATCCCGCAGCCGCGTCTTCAGCTCTTTGATAATATCAAGATGCAAAAACATCAACTTTTCCATTTTCAACCACAGATTCGAATTGGTCCACAGTTCAGGTGCCCTTGTTTCATCCGCAGGTTGCTCGTAAATCTTATCCTCCAGGATACTCACATGGTCATACGCAAGGTCTAGTAATGTATCCCACGTCCCAGACAGCACTTTGAATATATCTTCCATGATAACTCGAGTGCAGTGGTACGCCAGATCGTCATCCGTGGCAACCAAATCGCGAGATTCAAAGGCCAAGAAGAACGGCAGCCGACGCCACCGGTCCTCCCACGTCTGACGGGGAGGAATCAAAGTGTGGTCCAGGGTGCCGGAGTGCGAGTTATCGAAGATGAGGATCGCGTTCCCGTTATCGAGGGTGTTGAGGCGTGGGATATATTCCTTTGGCGTCTTGCCGTAAACGCCGTCAATCTGCGCATCGGGCAGATAGGGGTTTGTGATGTCCGGATCGGTTGGGGGAGGCTCAGCAGCGGTCTGTTTATGCTGGATGTAACAGCTCAGCCGCTGAACGTAGACATCAAAGCCATGAACCGGATGATCTATGGATTTAGGCCCCCGAGCAAATCCGCATCGTGCGCACCGCGACGCGCGACGCAAAGCCGGGAAAGCTGCTCAGCACAAATTCTTCCTCGATAATAAACCACTAAAGTCAAAAGCAAGCGCCTGTGCAGATTTACCTTGTTCATCAAAGCAATTCAGTTCCATCATTTTGAAGCCATCATCTTCACACCGATTCATCGGATCCGGAACATTATATTGTTTAAGGTAATCAACTGAGAACGAAGTCTTACTGATCCCTCGCCACGGATCGTACTGAACTTTCCACGTTTTGCCGCTCAGGAATGGCTTCCCACCCCGTCGTTCTGGCCGTCGGTGTCTGACATATCGCCCAAAGTCTGTACCAACCAGGTCATCGCGATTGTCGATGTTGAATTTCCGTAGCAGATATCTCGCAGCCCAGTCCGCGTTCTGGACGTGGAAGACTCGAAGGACAGCCTCGCCGTTCCGCTCTGGATTGGTGTAGACTTTACGCAGGTCTTGGAGGTCGTAAATCTCCTGTGCAGCGACCTTTCGGATACTTCTTTTCGAGGCATCTGCGGACAGTCACTCAGCAAACTAGTTCCGTCGGATTTTGCGAGCTTCTCAGGTAGATTTGATGGTATGTATGTACCTTGCTTCACAAAGTCGATAATCAACACCCGTCCGCAGTGCTGGTCGATCTGAGAATACTGCTTGTGCCATTTCGGTCCGAGCTCGTGATGTGTCCGCCGTTCTAGAGAGCAAAAGCGGTTTCACGTTAGAAAATCGCAAAAGCCAAAACGGATTGAGCGTCTCTCTCTTACTATTTCGGAGGTGTTGAGGGCTATCAAGCGTCGTGGGAAATTCCTCTGCAACACGGGACGTCGGCACAGGGGACGTTTCTCCTACAATTCAAACAAACCCAGGTCAGAAAGACAAGATCGCTAGATTCAACGGGCGCGTTAGGCTTCAATAACTACCTGGAACCCCAAGCCTGGCTGAACCAAGGTTCGCCGTGTCCAGACGCGAAACTCTCGCTGGAGGAGCCCGGCGGGCCGCTGAAGTCTCACTCATCTCAGATGTAGAAACAACAATGAAATAACTGGAATGGTGATGGGAAAGACTCGTCCTCGATCTTTCTCTTTTTTCACATACTTCCTCAGGAGCGGGCTAGTAGCTCGCTAGATATATTTTGAACCGCGTCCCCCGCTATCATGGCGGTGCACCGTGTTGGTTGCTGTCGGCGAGGAACGCACACGACCCGCCACCTGACTCGCGATCACCGTTGATGATCATATCAGCCTTGCCGTCAGCTCTCTGACCAGGTCTATCAGCTGAACCGCGCGGCTCTGCTTTGTGCGTTACAGCCATGGACGGTGTATTGCGGAAGCGCTTTGATGATGATTTGTTTCTCGTGATGAAGCTCCTAGCCATACGGAGATATCACACGATCGTCTACAGAAAGCAAGATAGTCAAATTGGCGTCAAATAATTAGCTGTTATTTTTTTTGGTAATTTTAATCCTTTTCTTAAAAAGACGCCTGAGATAGTTTCGTCTCGTTCATATTGCAGCAACTTCAAAGTCTGGATTTCCATGCATAAACCTTTCGCCGTCAAATTCCAGGGAGCCTCCGGGCACATTTAACTTGAAATCCCCATATGAACAGCCATTTAAAACAAACGCGCCACCCATGTTTCCAGGATCTTGTGCCGTAAACCATGCTTATGGACTCCTAGCCTTGCTTTCCTTGAAAACTCCTAACCCGCGTGTAAACAAATTATTGGCGCATAAAGGCATAGGAACAGACGGTTGAATAAAATAAAATATCGACATTTCAGTCAGTGCGCCCTTGGGTAACCTTGGCAGCCTGAACAGCAGACATCTTCTGAATCCAGCCTTGGGTGGGATGCGGCTTCTTGACGGTACGGAGATCATCAGCGGTGAATCCGGGAATACGCATGTTGTAGTTGCGTTCAAGAACAAGCTGGATATCGCGAATGTCAAGGGTGGCAGATGGACGGAGTTTGGCGAGTCGGCAAGCCGCAACGATAACGTCGTCGACAAAGTCATCGGCCATTTGAAGGAGGAACTAGCAAAGTTTGCATTAGCCACCGCGTAACAGAGATAAATGAAAATTCAAGTAGAAGGCTAATACCTCTTCAGCATCCGGAGTCAATCCTTCTCCATCCCCCCCGCCAGTAACCTGCTTCACAAGGCCATCCAACATTTTCTTGCTCAAAAGGTGTTGACCTTCCCCTTCCAAAACATAACCCGGATGTTTCTGAATAGCTGGCTGGCCCATAACGCCTGTAGCCCCATGAGTTGGCCCACTGGTAAGAGTAGGGCGGGACGGACCCATGCTAACAGGCTCGGGAGGAGGAACGTTCAGATTCTTCGGAATCGCCATGGTAACATTGCGCGTATCGCCGCGGCTAGTAGGGTAGTTCTGTGGGTGTGCGTGCGTAGTGGCTGGCTGTGTGGTCGTCGGCGGCTGATTCACCACGTTGGAATAACTCTGTGCTGCTTGGGCCATGGCCGCTTGCTGAGACAACGGACGTGGAGGACCTTGGGTGGTTGGAACTTGAGCCGTAGAAGCCATGCTGTCCTGGATTGCTTGCTGGCCAAAGGCATTCAATGGCGTGTTCTGGGCAGCAGTCACCGGTTGCTGAGTAGGGGCGTGGGTGACTCCGGTGGTAGAAGCGGTAGTCTGGCCTGGCGCTTGAGAAGGGGTTTGCCCGGCGCGAGCAGCGACGACGGCAGAATTGATCGTATGCGGAGCCGGCGCAGTCGTAGAAGGCTGCTGAGGACGGCCATCTCCTTGAATCTGGCCTGGCAGAGACGCGTTTTGAACACCTTGGCGACTTGCCGCGAGCTGTTGTGTCTGAAGACGGAAAGTTTCTTGCTGCTCTTTGAATTTGCCCAAAAATTCGCTTCCTTCGCGCAAGAGCTTTTCCGCGTTTGTCTGGCGATTCTTGAACTCCTGAATCTCCTCTTGAGACAGATTTCCAGCACTCTGGCGCTGGGTGTACTGAGTACGTAGGTCGTTGAGTTTAACCTTGCCTAGCTCCTGCTTCTGCAATGCGAGCCCATATCGAAGCCTTGCTTCCTGCAACCAAGTCTCGGACTGGTCCTTCGCGATCGTCGGCGGGAGGATGAACATGAGGGTATCGACCTTGGCGCGAATTTGCGGGAGCAGCTGCTGGTAACTCTGCGGGATGCCCATCTGGGGCCTTGCTTGAGCGGCGGGGTTGGAACCACCTTGGGTGGTGGCGGGTCGGTTCATCTGGCCTTGTTGCTGCTGCTGCTGCTGCTGCTGCTGCGATCGCGATTGCTGTTGCTGCTGGTTTTGAGCTTGTGTTTGCGCTTGAACCGCTTGAGCCTGCGCCTGAAGGTGCTGGGCTTGTTGTTGCTGCTGCTGCGCGAGAATCTGCTGCTGACGGCTGGCTTGAAACAATCTCATGCCTCGCATGAGATTCTGAGAGATCTGGGTTAATTTCGTGTGTGCGCCGTTGTATTCGTTGGAGCCAGGAGGGTTCGAGTTGAGGATGTCCCAAAGGCCCCGCACCATAGCAGTATGTGTTTGTTTCTGTGAGTCAGAAAGATGCGGAAGCTTCTGCACTTGGTCAGTCCGGATCAGTGCAGAGTTCTGCTGCATCTGTGCAGCCACAGGCTGAGAAGCAGAGCCGGACTGGCCCTCCATTCTGTTGCTCGGCGAACGCAACCGACACGCTGCAGGCTGCGATTATGTAACCGCGTGGAGAGGAGGATTAGAGGCCCATAAACGACAGTCAAAGGATCTAAATCAGCCAAGATATGCAGTGGTGGAACAAGAGCAGCTTTGGGAAGCGATCTGGTGTCTGATGGTTTGGGAATGCCCGGAGAACAGCATCGCGCAAAGTGACGGATTGGCAGTTCACTTTCTGATCATTGCGCTAATCAGTGGTCTTGGCATTCACTCGGTTCTACTCTATGATCACAGAATGCTGTGAAGAACAAGATCGTATGCAATTTCTGACCCTTTTTGCCCTTCAAGAGTGTTTCCATGGAGCTCAACCCCCCAGACCAACTAGCACTAAGGATAACAACCTGGCCAAGCCTCCGAGCCAACCAATTGACCTTAGCAAGGCAGATAATCAACAACCTTCTGTCAACGATCGGCCCCTCGTTCGGCCCCGTATGGAGTATCTGCAGACGAGTGCCGGTGTTGATCCACGCGCTCCGGGTGGCTGGCAGCAAGCCAGAGCATTGTTGCCTTTATATCAAGTATATGCTCCTCGACACCAACCAGATGATGGGTGTAGGCGTCTTTCGTTTGTTGTTTCGCTTGTCAGGCAGTGCAGCGTGTGTAAAACATGGCGTTTCCACTGGCCAGGGACTAGTTCTCTGGAAAAAAGAACAAAGGGAGCAATCGGGTTGCATGGATGTATGAGCACTTCAGGCTAATGAAGTAATATCTCCCGAATATAAATCCTTGTCGCCTCTTCCCGCGGACGGCAGAAGAGGTTTTATCGCAAAAGGCCTCCTAGATCTCTCTCCATGCCGCTAACCCTATCCTCAAGACGGCGCTTTTGCGCCTCCAATTCTCGGATCTCGTCAAGCTCCTGTTCGATATCCTCGTTTGTTACAGTTGACAAATCCTGCGGCGCGGGTTCCGATGATTCCGTAGAATAGTAATCGTTGCTAACCGAGCGGCTCATTTGCTCCAGTTGCGCTGCCTGATCGGCAACACGCTGTTCGAAGTGGGCTACGGATTCGGATACTATCTGGTACCGGTGCCTCAAAGATGTGATTTTCTCCTGGGCTCCCGCAACCGGACTAGGAAAAAGCCAATTAGCTCGAAACCACATTCAAATATTCCGGCAAAGGAGCGAGGCCACACACTAAACATTGCAAAGCATTTCAGCGCCGCGCAGTAAAACCTCAATGTCCATTTCTCCGCGATTACTCCGGTTTGAAGACGCATTTGCGGATTTTCTGATTGCTTCCATCATCTCCCCTCCCAGCACCCGCGCAACGGCCGACTGGTTCCTGTGGTCTTTGGCAGAGTGAATCCGACTAACCATGGTTTCTCTTTCCGTCTCCGCAGGGAACATGGTACCCCGTCGAGTAGCTCGTCGGTGGGAGTGTTTCATGCCGTTCGCAGCGGGATCAGCGGAGAAGAGTGCTCGCTCATGGGCTTCAGTGTCGCGAATGAGCGTGGTGATATCGTGCGGCCCTAGCAGCGCATTGACGAACATCTTGGGCGGCGGGAAGCTGTTTCACAAGAATTAGAGACGCGGATAGATAGAAATCTAGTATCGATTAAATTCTTACGGCAATTCAGCTATGGCAGTCGCGGAGAGCGAGATCTGCTCGAGGTGACTGTGCAACAGGGTCGTCATGGCTCAAGACCGTTTCGTAGGTACGAGGATATCGGGTCCAGCAGTAGTTTCCCATGAAATTGGAGTTCGTGAGCAGCTACTGGCAACGTGCATTTCCCGCGAACACAGGAGCTTGGACAGTGCATCTCTACTGTGCCTGGGCCAAACTACAAGCAACGATGGACGATGCCAAGACGGGCGTCAATGACAGTCACTCACCACGCAAAAATCCAGCTGACCGCGAACGACGGCGAGAGATTGAACATCCCCCGTCACGCTGCCCGTATTAACTGGATCCTCAATCTCGAGAGCTGCTACCTGGTGCTTGCTGGGTCTCTCGACGAGCGTGTGTGACAGGGAGAGCGACCAGGCCGAGCAAAGGCTGGCTGGCACCACTCAAAGCCCGTCGATTCGCCTTATTGCTGACTACAACGCGCCATCGGATCAGACACACCTTGCTTCGTTTTAACCTACCAACTTCCCTTCACTCCCATCCACGTCCTGTCTATCACCTCCCTGGCAGCTACTGATCCTCCTGTGCGTCAGACTGCCCTGCTCTGTACTTTACTTTTGCTGTCATATATATTTTGTTGCTTTGTTTTGCTTCTTCCATCACCTTCGCTGGCCTTCCCCAACGCTACCTGAAGCTAGTTCCAGATTCCCGCTGCTGACTGGTATCGCTCCGAGCTACCTCCAGAGCTCAAAGATGCCTGCAGAAAAACGCACGTTGAGGTCCAACAGATCAGACGCCGAGAAGGCTCGGTCGAACTCCCAAACTTCTGGTTCCAACAAAGATAAACCTGCCCCTGCCACCCGTTCGTCCACCCGAAGCAAGGCGCCTCAGAAGCCCGGCTCTGAAAATAGAACAACAATGCCTGGCGACAAGTCGCAAACGAACGGCACTGATCCAGTTGAGAACGGTGTACATGATCCAGAAGACGTCGAGATGGGTGGCGATGGCATGAACGGCTCGAAACAGGACCAAGATGGCGACGAAGAGATGACCGTGATAGTGCCACCGTCAAAAGCCTCCAAGCGTGCCGGAGGATCTGACCAGAACTCTGGAGATGTTGCAATGGGCGGAACGGAAGACGATGGCGCGAAAGACTCGGAAACGGTTGACCCCAAGGCAAAAGCACAGTTAGGTAAGTTTCGTTTTTGCACTTTTTTGGGCTTTTATCGTGGTGCAGCTTGTACTGATATCTACCCCGAATATCAAGATATCAAGAACAATTTTACACTTTTAGAGCGAGCTGTTGCACATTTCGATCCACGATTCACCCTGCGAGTGCTTCGCGCGATTTCGTCAATGCGAAAACAACTGTCTGCCGAGTTACTCGCCCAAGTGGTCGTGGACACTTATCAGCGTTCCGACTCCACGGCATCATTCTTGCTCAAGGCCTTGGATCAGGAAGCTGCTTTTGATACCATGGTCGACGAAAGTTCAATGAACGTGGATAACGGATCCAAGAGTCCGAAATCGGGCATTCCCAAAGAGATTATACCGGAGATAGACGTTTATCTCTCCATTCTAGTCCAAATCTATCTGTATGATAGTAAACAGATTCAGCACGGCATAGAATTTTCTAATGCTCTTGTCGAAAAACTCCGAACCTTTAATCGCCGAACCTTGGACGCTTTGGCAGCTCGCGTTTATGTTTACTATTCCCTCTTCTACGAACAAATTGTTCCTCTTCCTCCGTCGCCAACCGCTGCAGTAATCACAATTCGGCAACCGCTACTATCAGCGCTACGAACTGCTGTCCTCCGGAAAGATGAAGATACTCAGGCGACCGTTACCAACCTCCTCCTTCGAAACTACCTCTCAACCTCCCATATTTCCCAAGCCGATCTATTTATATCCCATTCTGAATTTCCTCAAGATGCACCGAACAACCAAATTGCGCGATACCTCTACTATCTTGGCCGCATTCGAGCAATCCAGTTGCGGTACACAGAGGCCCATCAGCATTTAACAAGCGCCACTCGAAAATCCCCTTCAACCCATAGTGCTGCTGGATTTTACCAAGCTTCGAACAAACTTCTTACTGTTGTGGAGTTGCTGATGGGTGACATTCCGGATCGCGCAATTTTCCGCCAACCGGCTCTAGAACGGGCTATGCACCCTTACCTTCTTCTCGTTCAGGCCGTTCACGTTGGTGATTTGGATGCATTTGTCAAGGTTGTCCAGAACCACGGTGCTACGTTCCGGAAAGATGGCACGTATACTCTGATACTTCGCCTTCGCCAAAATGTTATTAAGACGGGTATCCGCATGATGTCGCTATCATATTCGCGGATTTCCCTCCGGGATATCTGCCTGCGGCTAGGTCTTGATAGCGAGGAATCTGCAGAGTATATTGTAGCCAAAGCTATTCGCGACGGTGTCATCGAAGCCACCATAGATCATGAAAACGGATACATGAAGAGTAAGGAGATTGGCGATGTATATGCCACCCAAGAACCGGGAGAGGTGTTCCATGAGCGCATCCAGGCCTGTTTGAATCTCCACGATGAAAGTGTTAAGGTATGTATGGATCTGGGTAGCTGTCTCAAAGGGACCTTTATTTTCTAACTTGGATCGTTATAGGCCATGAGGTTCCCAATGAACCAGCATCGCTTGGAGTTGAAGAATGCCCAGGAGGCCCGCGAACGCGAACGCGAACTGGCCAAGGAGATCGCCGAGGGGGACATGGACGATGATGACGCTGGTGGAGAGTTCGATGGCATTTAGTTGGAGCAAGTGAGGGAGCTCAGAGGCTTGCTGCTGTTCCTCTCGCTGCTGGCAACCGGCGTTGCTACGGATCGCATTCCCACGTCGCATTCCCCCCTTGCCTTTCGTTTCTGCACAATGTCTTATTTTTCCGGCACTACACCCGCAACCGGTATGGATCGTATAATTATCGGCAGCTTCTACATGCTAGGGGTTTCTCATTTCACGGGAGAGCAAGAGGGCTTGGGTGTATGTACAGATTGAACCGGTTCTTGTACTCCGTCTTACTGTAATCTCGCTGTCTCTCTTTTCTCTCTCTCTCTCTTTCCATTCCAGCCACCAGGTAGACCGTTAGTTCTCGCTGATGTCATAATCGAATTCCCGCTTTCCTTGAAGTCGCCGTGGTGATGGAGCTGCTGGGATGCGAGATGCTGCGGCTGGCCTCATCGCAGCCGAGACAGAATCAATCTAGCAACGCGCTGTCCTCTCTGCCTGTAGTCGTGATCATGTTCGAGACGTCAATGACCTGGTGGTTGAGGTCGGGCCAACCAGCTCGCCGCCTTTTGTAGCTTGCCTAGGCTGCTTTTCTGACAACCACGAAAAAGTTCCTCTTCCGCCAACCTCCCAACACACGCTCGAGTCCACTCAGGCCAAAATCACAGCCAACCTCTAATAGATCCCTATAGAAAAAGTTTTCTTATTTTCTTTTTTGTACTATATGCCACTGTTTCGCGCCATTGAGCTCTCACCTCCGTCATGAAAGCTCGATCAGGCCTCCGAGCCTGGAGAGGCCTCGCACCAACTTCCATATCCTCCCGACCAGCTGCCTCGATATGCTCGCAATGCCTGCTGCATACTAAACACAGGCTCTTCTACGTGCCTCCGACGCTCTCGTTTACATATCGCAGCTACCACCCGTCCCGGCGAAAAAACCAGCAATCCGTCCTTTCCGCCGCCGTGTCCACCGCACAAAACTTCATTTCCAAAACTATTCCTACCAAACCTCCGCCAGCGACAGGGAATGGAGCGGGTGGGATTTCGGAAGTCTCCGTTGATCCGCTACGCATGGTGGCTAAGGAGTTGAAATTTCTCAAGAAGAATATTCGCCAGTTGCTTGGCTCTGGGCACCCGCTTCTAGATAGAGTTGCGAAATATTATGCCCGGAGCGAAGGGAAGCAAGTGCGTCCGTTACTGGTGCTGTTGATATCCCAGGCGACGGCGCTGATGCCGCGCAGCCCACGAGATCGACAGATTCTAGACGCTGCGGGAGTGAATGCGGCCATCAGCTCGCCCGCTATCCTTGCTGATACGAATCCCGATTACAATCTTCTAACAGCGCCGTCGCTGACGGGAAATGAAACCGCGTATACCTTTGCGGAGAGTGATGAGAATATTTTGCCTTCTCAGCGGAGATTGGCGGAAATCACGGAGCTGATCCACACTGCTTCGCTTCTGCACGACGACGTTATCGATAATGCGGTCACCCGCCGGTCTGGCGTTTCGGCGAATCTCGAGTTTGGAAACAAAATGGCCGTGCTTGCTGGTGATTTCTTGCTTGGCCGCGCTTCGGTGGCATTAGCGAGACTTCGAGATCCCGAAGTTACGGAACTAATGGCTACCGTGATTGCGAATTTGGTTGAAGGCGAATTTATGCAGTTGAGGAACACGGCGCAGGACGAGAGAAATCCGGCCTGGACTGAAGATATCATCACGTATTATCTGCAGAAGACGTATCTCAAATCGGCCAGCTTGATTAGCAAATCCTGCCGCTCAGCAGCGTTGCTGGGACATGGTGCTCCTGATGTTGTGGAAGCCGCGTACTCATACGGAAGGAATCTGGGGCTGGCATTCCAGCTAGTAGATGACATGCTGGATTATACCATTAGTGGCGAGGAGTTGGGCAAGCCAGCCGGTGCAGACTTGGAGCTTGGTCTTGCAACTGCTCCTTTGTTGTTTGCATGGAAATCACACCCGGAGCTCGGTGCATTGGTAGGGAGAAAGTTCTGCCATGAAGGTGATGTTCAGTTGGTAAGTTATTGCTTTCGCTGCACGCAGACAGAGTCCTAAATTTTCAGAGTCCATTTCCACTTTCATCCAAAGATAACCTACCTAGAATTTATTTGATTAACCATTCCACCATTTTAGGCCCGCCAAATTGTTTCTCAATCCGATGGCCTTGAACAAACTCGCGCCTTAGCACAAGAATACTCTGACAAGGCTGTCCAAGCTATCAGCATCTTCCCTGACAGTGAAGCCAAACGGGGACTGATTGATACGTGCGAAAAGGTTATGATCAGACGAAAGTAGGAGGAATAATATACAAAAGAGAAGGAAAGCGAAGAAACCATATATTCCGCTTTTCTAGCGGATTCAATTCCTCGTTATCCAAGGAATTTCCTATCGAAAATACATCTCCTCGCGTCATCACCTCAAATGGGATCTTGTCAACAACATATCTACAATCTCTATTAAAGCGACATTGGAGGAACTAGAAGAGATCTCGTCAAGAGCAAAGGAAAAAGATGATTACATTGTCACTGTAAGTATTCTCTTATTCATATTCATGCTCGATTTCCCGTCTCTGTTTTTGGCAATAGAGAAATCTTGTTAGATTTACCTTTTACAATGCGCTTGTCCCATTTCTCCCTCCCCCCTGTTGACTGCTCACAGGGACCTGCTTCTATGTACTTTACCTTGGTTGGCTGTCTGATGCTCTTTTCCGTATTTCCTAGTTCTTTTTTTTATTTCAATGCTCGTTGTCCCTCCTTATGGCTTCCTGTGTGTCTTCATTAGTTCTCAACAAAAACCCAGCAGGTAGACTTGTCTGTTTTGCTGTCACCTTCTTGTATAAAACTATTATTTAGATTCAAAGCACCCCTCTAAGAACAAAATTGGTATGATGTGGAATGACGAGTTTTAAAGAGTGCTGTTTTTTATGTATCAATAGAAAGGAAAGTCAGGTATCACTGCTCAGGAAACATAATTCGAAGCGGTATCTATTATTCAGGGATACGGTTATCTTCTATCGACACGCTTCCATTGTAATTCTTGGATCTGGCACACATTCCTCCGCAAAGAGTCCAACCGGCGAATGTCTATAGTTCTAGACCTAGATATAACTCTCATTATATATATAGTTGCCCCATCGAATGACAAGAATGTCAACTCCGTGATTCTTCTAGGGATGTGAAGATTCCCGAGCGAATTGTTAGGTGCCCGATTTACCATCCTCCTGGTATCCTGCGTCAAAAACTGACGAAGAGATTATATCCCACAAAAGGCGCCGCCGCCGGAAAATAAACAAGCTGTTCGCAGATTCACTAAACAGGACTTTCTATCGTCTCTGCTAAAGTTCTCCCATCAGGGAGCTTCCTTTGCATTTAGGGTGTCGAATCAGGCTATCACATTGAGTATTCAGCAATCAGTAGCAAACGAAGCCATCAGTCGCTCTCGTAATCTCCATTCGTTTCTAGTCTCGGGAAGCTCATTTTAAAGACGGTCGAAGGTGTACCGTCGTCTCGATCCGTATCATCATCGTCAACTAGGCGCAATCCTAGTCCTCCGGCGCTGAGAGGTTGTTTTCGCGGGCTTCCGGTTTCTCGACCGCCGAATTCCTTCAATCTAGTTTCATTTGGAGAAATGGGCGATAATCTGGAGTCATTAGCGAACTGACCCAAGTCGCTCGCTTTGACTTTCAGTTTCAAGTTCTGATGCAGTTGTTGCTGCAGAAGTTGATGTTGATTCTCCTGGTCTTCCTCCACAGGGAGCTCGGTTTCCCCCTTTTGCCTTGCATACTCGGCCACCAAGCTTCTGCAATACACAGCCGCCTGACCAGTAAGCGCATAATCCGCGGGAACACTCCCCGCATTGTTTTTGGCCAGCGGCGGCGCACCCCGCTGCACCAGCAACCTGAATGTTTTCAAATTTCCCCACGCACTAGCATAATGCAAAGCCGTATTGCCTGCGTTATCATGTGCTGTGACATCCGCGCCATAATCCAGCAATGTAGCCACAGTCGTCGTATCCTCCGCAGACGTAGGATTCGATGCCGCACGCGGTCGCTGCCTGGGGGGCACTATTTTCGTGCTTTGGGGTGCGTTGCTCGGATTTGACGCTCGAGCTGCTAGCATCAACGGCGTGGCGCCGTTCTTATCCGCGCGCCCAATGGTTTGGGGGAATGAGCTGCAGAGAAATTCGACACAGCTGGCGTGAGCGTTGGCAGCTGCTAAAAGGAGAGGGGTGGAAGAGTCGGTGTTGAGGCTGATTCCGGGAGAAGTGTTGAAGCCTACCCGAGCAACGTCAGGGTCGGACGAGTCATGACCAAAGTCAACGAGGAATTTCTGTACATTGGTAGCGTAATTAGTGGCTCGTCTCTCTGCTTGAAGGAAAAGAAGCGGCAGAGCAATGCCAGAGGAGGGCTTACGACGATCTCCAGATGACCCATAATCGCGGCTAGGTGTAAGGATGTATTGCTTTTATCATCAAAATCCGGGTTCTCCAGGTAGCGGGGGTTGTTCCTGACAATCCGCTTCACCAGGAAGACATCGTTGAGAAGGATGGCCCTTCGAAGGCGGATGGGCACGGAGAGCTCAACCCTATACCCTAGTGTTAGTACATCCATAGCCAACAGCAGCACGGACTCGATGAGACTTGCATTTCATCTACATGGCCGTAATAGAGAAAGAGACCTCAAATGCAGAATCAGTAAGCTGGATGCTTTGAGTTGATCGGTGCCATGGCACGAGAGGCGAAGGTTCCCGTTGTGCTTACGGAGCGGTGATGTTTCGGGACGGTGAATGAGGTTCTCTGATGCAACCATTTTGAATGACTCCAGCAAAATGATAGTACGGCCCTCACTCAATCGCAGGATCAATTTTCCAGGATATCTTCAAGTCCATGGGGGCAATTTAATTAGTGAACATGGCATGATCGAGCCCAAGTTTCTACCGCCCGCTTCAGCGCCGACGTCGCCCATAAATTGCTGCAGATCAACGAAATCATGCGCCTCGCTCACCTCCATATTCCCAATCTCATTCCATTCACGCACGCCTCGCGCCTTCAACAAACCCTCGTATCCCGTCTCCTAACCTACAAGAAGCTCTCCGACCTCTCCGACTCCCAGCCTACCCTCGCCCCTCCCGATCCAACCATCCTCACATTCACACCGTACCCAGTCTACACCACTGGCCGACGCGACCTCCCTCCTCCGTCAGATACTTCCATTTCTCACACAACTACCAAACCTCCCTGGCTGCCCGCTCCTCTCGAGCCAATCCGCCCGATCCTCACCGCCTCCCCACCGCTCGCGGAATACCATGCCACATTACGAGGTGGCCAGACCACCTACCATGGCCCAGGACAATTAGTCGCATATACAATTCTAGACTTACGTCGTCTACGAATCGGACCGAGAGCGCATATTAGGCTACTTGAAGAGACAGTGCTAGACGTTCTAGCCAGCCATGGCGTGCAAGGGATACTGAGTGATGACCCGGGGGTATGGGTAGCTCCGTCAAGCACGAAAGCGGCGAATTGGATAGAAAACAATGCATTCGCTGCAAGGAAGATTGCGGCGGTGGGCGTACACTTACGGAGGTTTGTGAGTAGTTACGGTGTCGGACTGAACATCACTGAAGAGCCAATGTGGTATTTTCGCCAGATTGTAGCATGCGGGCTGGAAGGGAGGGATGCGACAAGCCTCGAAGGCCAAGGTGTTCAAGTAAAAGGTGGAATAGAGGAGGTTGCAAAGCGTTTCGTACAAGCATTCGTTGGACGGCTAAACGAAGGCACAGCCAGCGGGGGAGTAGGCCCCAAAATAGACGAAATATTTGAAATAGAAGAAAAAGATGTGCTTAGTTGAATATTTTCTCCGATCATATGTGCAGGGGCCCAATATTAGACCGCCGTCTCTATCGGCTCTCAAAGCGAAACAAGGGAAACCTAGCTGGGGACATAAGGGAATTCATAGAGTGGTGGTGTATGATACATTTCGCATCGCACGGGAGCAGGGCAGATAACTGTCAGCTCAAGCGAAACGAAGAGTAAGAAAAGAGAGTCTCGTTTTCACAGGGAGCGCTCTGCATTTAATGCGCAGATGCACGGCAAGATCAATGGCAAATTTTCAAACAGGAGCGTTAGGTAGCAAAGGTTTCAAAAGGTCTGGTCCAGGAGAATCGTCGGAATACAGTCGACGGGCAAAGGGTATATACAGAAGCCAACAGGTGAAATAAACGCCAGAACGGCATAGAAAAGAATTTCAGGGGCTCAGGTACCTTTAATTGTATGTTCGGAAAAAAGAAGGAAAGACTGTAACCTAACACCTTAAAAATCCGGCCACCGCGGGAATAAAAAGTCGTATGCTTGAAAGAAGGCGATGCGCAATCGAAAGATTCTGCGGACCGAACGAAGCGAATGATAGACGAGTCTCAAAACATATGCGAGATGGTGTAGATAGCGAGTTAGTTCACCGCCTCGTCTCACTGGATCACGCATTTTGGGCCGTTATCTGACTTTGCTGGGCGAACAGTGATGGCGACTCTGGATGCTTCCGTGAATGCCTCATTTACACCTCGGTTTCGCATTGCAGAACACTCTGGTTGCACGTCAGCGGTAAGATAATATAGTCACAACTTGTGCATACCTAAATATCTCAACGCTCCAATACGCTTCGCCACCTCGAGGCCTTGACTATATGTCACCAAGGCTTGAGAGTCTCCAGTCTCTTCTGCATTGTCCTTCTCGTCGACCTCTTCCCGGAGATCGCATTTGAGGGCAACAAGAACAATCTTAGCGAGTGGGCAATTCTCCGCGATTTCGGAAACCCATTTCGACTGAACGTTTTCCAGGGAGTTTGGACTATCAACCTATTTACGAAGAGGCAGTTAGAGGGAACAGAGCCGTGGTAGCGCGAGAAAATACGGATAGAATCTCACGCTGAAGCAAAGCATTATGACCTGAGTATCATCGTAGGAAAGGGCGCGCAGGCGGTCGAATTCTTCCTGTCCAGCAGTGTCCCACAGGGACAGTTCCATTTGCATCCCATCGACAAAGATATCTAGGCAAATTCGCTGACATTAGGCTCGATCCGCTGTTGTTGAAGGATGTATGTCCTACCATGAACATAATTCTCTGGAAAACACGACAGTCAGTAACCAAGGCTACAAATAAAGAGGTCAAGAGGAGCCACAAGACATACCAAACACAGTCGGCTCGCTGAATAGTGCAAAGAGCTTGTTAACCTGGTTTCCGAACGAACCAGAGGGAAATGGATCTCACTAGACAGTTGGGAAGAACCTATGAAATATCAGCATCAACATTCCCGTAGTCTTATGGACCGTGAGCTTCATGCTTACCCTCTTGTAAACACATTCAGAAGCGACGTCTTTCCGCACGCACCGTCGCCCCTGCATCCATTGTTCCCGTTGTCAGTGCATTGCAATTGTCCAACACTGTTCCCTCCACAACGATAATTCCTCAACCCACGAAAACGAAAATGAGGGATTATTTTCAACTAACAAAAGCACGAGCTTCCGTCGGACAACCTTTTCCCGCCCGCATAGCGCGAAACCTGGCATCCTGAAACCCACACGGTCGTCCGAATGAATAATCGATCAGGGGGTCGTACGGCCGAAGACGAGACAAATCGCGCAGCGACAGACGCAGGAGACCGGAGTTATGAACCAGATTGGCGAGTCAATGAATCCACTCTGGCGTTCCGCCGCGTTTGTTTCAGGGAGTTTCAAAGATGAGTAAGTCTTCAAGTGCGTTGGTTGCGGAAGCGCAGGGATGGTTCAGTGGTTTAGCGCGGAGTAAGTGATTTGGCAGAGAATATCAATGTGATGAGAGGGTTGAATAGAAAAGAGAAGTGAAGGAGAGCAAGAAGAAGAAAGGGAGCCGAAAGAGAAAAGAAGCCGTGAAGAGTGTCAGGGAACGAGGTTGAGAAGAAGTGACTTTTGGAGCCTAAGAAGTGACACTACAGAGAATTCCCCATGGCCATCACGTCATGACACCGACAACTAGATAGTCCTGATGCGACTCTCTACACAGCAGAACGGGAAAAATCAACACGAGCCTCTCGATGGCTGTACTGTACAGCCTTTGAATCCTCTAGGGCGCTGAGCTGTCACAGCGTCACCGGGTTCCATCCGCTCCTCCAGCCTAAGGGGGGAGACGTGGACACTCTATGAAGAGGGCCCGACGGGGATTGAAATGCTTGATCCAGATGCTATTTTCGACTATTTACTTGAAGCGAAATGGGGTCGTCTAGGATCTCGCCCGTCAACCGAGGACAAGCGCCCGCCATTCATGCACGCTCTCCTCTGGATGCAACACTGGTCTTAAAAGGTACACCCTGGATCATATGCGGAATTCAGGGCAGATCATCGGCGTGCCGAAGCGATGAAGTCGCCGAAAGGTGGTAATAGCTTACAGAGTACTCTGAAGAGAAATCAATAACTGAAAAAGGTATGATATTTCTTGTTTCCAAGTTGGTGTCATGTAGTCCAGCCTCTTTGCGGTAAAATTAAATCCATGCCAAATGCCAACCAGTATGCAGCAATTCAAGCCATTTCAATGGAGTTCTCAAAGCCATCCAGCGCCTATCAACGCCTTTCCAATACGTTAATCATTAGCAAAGAAAGTTAATATGCTTCCTGCTCTTTCTCTATGTTTCGTCTTCCACGGCGCAATCTATCCGACAAATCGATATCCCCAGCGCGGCGATTGAGTCCGTTAACAAAGGCTCCCTTGCCACCGTATTTACTCGATTCCGCCCGGGCAGCTTCTTCCGCTTCACGCTCTGCTCTTTCACGCGCTTCAACCGCGTTCAGGCGTGAAATGCGAGCTTGATCTAGATCATTTGCATCTTGCTGCATGGCAGCAAGCCGGGCGGCTCGTTCTTCATCGTTTGGAGCTTGGCGACGTCTTTCACCTCTGTCCTCTTGACGTTTATATGGAGGTGACCGTCTTGGGTAGTGGTAACTCTCCCTTTTATATTGAGCAGGATCGTCTCTCGATCTGTAGGGTGATCTAGAACGATGTCGAGGCCGCGGAGAATCAGACCGGTGCCTTCGATGAGGGGATGGTGATCGGTGTGATCGACGAGGAGGGCTCGTGCTCCTTGACCGAGATCGAGAGTGGCCGTCGGAGCGCCGATGTCTATGACGATGGCTACTCCGTCGGTCGTCTTCGTCGTATCTTTTGGACCTGTGTCTGGAACGACGATCATCACCATCGCGATGGCGGTGACTTCGGTGTTTCCTTTCTTTATCTGAACTTTTCTTTTCACGCGTCTCGATTCCTGCAGCTTTCAATAGCTGCCGGCGCCGTGTGGGATCGTTCATCATCGCCTCGTATGCCGCCTGCTCCTGTTTTTTTATCGCAAGCATTGGATCTTCACGTATTTTCGTAGCAGTATCTTTCATGGTGTTCGCATTCTGTAGAGCCATAAAAGAACTCTCCCCAGAAGCCTTCTCCAGCTTCGAATTCTCATTCCCCTTGATTAAGCCATCGATTCTTCGTTTTCCAAGCAAATAACCCTCCATCTCCTCCGTTGTTCCGAGCTGACCTGCAGCGGGTCCAGAGTACATCCAGTCAACCCGGTTCAATCGTTTCTTCCCACCGGCGGCTTCCTGCATTTCCTGCAATTCTTGTATCTGCCTCTCCTCCGCGCGCTCCTTCATCATTTGGTCGATGCGTTTGCGCTCCTCGAGCGCTTTCTTTTGCTCTATCCATACTCGCTCCTGGTTTTTGAGGAGGACCGGGTTCCAGCTCTTCTTTAGATTGAGATCTCCACCCATCTTGACGCTTTTCTTGTTGCTGTGATGCCTCGTTGGATGATGGGGAAGTCGAAATGGATTCGATGGTGGCGATGAGCTTCCAGGTGCCAGCCACAATTGCTTATATAATATCACTATGTGGCTGGTTAGAATTGCACTAACCAATTTAAGTTTAGCTAGCGGACGTCTCCGTAAACGCCAAGAGTCCAGCTTGCATTATGTCATCCGCTCGAGCTCGATCGGCTCAACGCTCCTTGCAGTCTGGCAATCAACGACACAATTTCGCATTTTCACATATCAGCTTCTCTTTTGGGTTTTCGGAAAGAATTGTCGTTTTGCCAAAGATGTCTGACGACGATTTTATGCAAGAGTCGGACCAAGAAGAGTGAGCTTTGCTCCCAACTCGAGCTCTATGGAATGTGTGCTGACCAGGCCAGCAGGTACGACTTTGAATACGAAGATGCGGATGATGACGAGTCTGGCGATATTGGGATCGAGAATAAATACTATAATGCGAAACAGATCAAAGGAGACAATCCAGAAGAAGCGATTGATGAATTTCTAGGCGTCCCCGCTCTAGAGCAAGATAAAGGCGAATGGTATGCTGTGCCCGTATAGCCTACTTTCGCGGGGCGCTGATGCTTTCGTAGGGGATTCAAGGGATTAAAGCAAGCAATAAAACTGGAATTCAAACTTGGCCGATATGAAGATGTTAGTAGCACGAAGCACCCCAGCAGTCGAAGGGTTTCGTTGACTTTCTCATTCAGGCCGTTGAACACTACCGAGAGCTACTTACATATGTCAAATCGGCAGTCACAAGAAATTACTCCGAAAAATCCATTAATAACATGCTAGATTACATCGAAAAGGGCGCCGAAGACGAAAAAGCATACCATTGTATGGAGAAGTTCTACTCCTTGACATTAAATTCTTTCCAGAGCACCAACAACGAGCGACTGTGGTTAAAGACGAGTATTAAATTAGCAAGACTATGGCTAGAGCGAAAAGAGTATGGGCAATTAAGCAAGAAAGTTCGTGAACTTCACAGGGCGTGTCAACGCCCAGACGGGACGGACGATCCCGCCAAAGGAACATACTCCCTAGAAGTCTACGCTTTGGAGATACAAATGTACGCAAATACCAGAAACAACAAGAGGTTAAAGGCGCTGTATCAAAAAGCGTTAAAAGTCCGCTCTGCGGTACCACATCCTAAAATCATGGGCATCATCCGCGAGTGCGGAGGGAAAATGCACCTGAGCGAGGAGAATTGGAAGGAAGCCCAGAGCGATTTTTTCGAATCTTTCCGAAACTATGATGAAGCCGGTTCTATACAACGAATTCAGGTCCTGAAATATCTCGTCCTCACCACCATGTTAATGAAATCCAATATCAATCCATTCGACTCACAAGAAACAAAACCTTACAGAAATGACCCCCGAATATCCGCCATGACTGATCTCGTGGATGCCTTTCAGCGGGACGATATCCTCGACTATGAAGCCATTCTCCAGAAAAACCAAGATCTGTTAGCCGACCCATTTATCGCCGAAAACATCGACGAAGTCAGTCGAACCATGCGCACCAAGGCCGTCATCAAACTAATCGCCCCCTACACCCGCTTCTCCCTCGACTTTGTTTCCAAACAACTTAACATCTCCGTCCCTGAGGTCCAAGAAATCCTCTCGTTCCTCATCCTGGACGGCAAATTGCAAGACGCAAAAATAGACCAAGTAACTGGTACTGTGACTATTGAACAGCACCACGACTCTGAAAGGATAGCTGCGCTTGAAACGTGGGCCAGTGAATTGAACAAAATGTGGGAAATGATATCAATCCAAGGCGATGGGTTTAGGGCTGACGATGGCGCACGCATGATGAGCTCCATGATGGAACTAGGCGGCTTCGGAATCGGTCCTGGCGGTCCAGGTTTTGGGTCGTTACGGGGCTTTGGGGGTGGACCGCATCATGGTCGATTGAGGCACGCAGGTATGAAAGGAAAAGCGGGAGGGAGAGGAAACCGGTGAAGCCTGAATTGAACTACATCAGATCCCAACACTACATGAGTCTGCTACATGATGCATATGTAGCTGAGTGGATATAATGCAGCATTCGTCTCCCTATCCGCGCCTTTCCTTTTGTCCTTCCCCCGCATATCATTCTCCATCCGCAAGTCCCTCATCACTTCAGCAGCTTGCCATCCAGAGTGTCACAAAACCCGGGTTTATCGGCGTTTGATCTAAAATCAAAGGGAAATTCCAAATACCTCAAAGCCGCCCGAGCAACCATCAGATCGTCAACCCAACCTCCTCCTCCTCTTTGTGACAGGGCAAACCAAATCGTGTACTCCGTAGTGTACTGCCTTGCCTAGGGCTATTTGCCGCGTCAACCTCTCTTCCATGCGTCCTGTCTCACGCAAACGGGAGCGAGCCCGTATTTCCTGTTCCTGGCGAACCGTCGGCCATCCCGCGGTCATTCCTCGGCAAAGGGGTAGATAACGGATGCGGCCTTTCAGACGTGTTACTTGTGTCGACTATTCCGCTATTTCTTCATATTGCCGCAAATATGTTGACGCGCAACTTGTCTTCAGTTGATAGAAAATGCTCTTTGGCCTGTCGGCACCCTTAGCTACGAAGCCTTTATCCCTGGTCTTCCTACCGATATCACGAGCCTAGACTCTATGCTAAGTAGCACACTGAAAATGGAAAAATCCTGCTCCAAGGCAGTGTCATAGTCAGTTGACTCCATAAGACTATAATGCGGAATAATAGGAATAATGATAATACTAAGTGTATGATTTCAAGGGTCCAAGTGCCATATTGGTAGTAGTACAAGAGGCCTGAAGTTAGTGCAATTCAGTAGAGGAATGTAAAATGCTCCATAGGACGAAGCAATGATCCTCCAGTTTGTGGAGCCCCGTTCATAGATAGAGGATAGCCTGCACAAATGTGTCAACTTTCCAAGAGCTGTACATGCTGCTTGATCCTCTGCAGCCTTTGTGGCAGGAGTACACTAGGCTGTCGCAAACAGGAAACCCAAAGCCCAAAAAGAAATGGATGTTTGCTTTAACTTCAGAAGAGCATCCCTTCAATAGGAATCTTTCCTTTGCAGTCTTCACAAGCATCTGCCGTTTGCTTTCCCGCCTCGAGTGCATGATGTGCATGTGATATGCATACCTGTTTGAATGGATTTCTGATCGTATATGCACCATGAAGTTGTAATATGCACGGGTATGATCTTCGTTTGCGGGTAGATGTCAAGAACTCAAACGCTCTGGTTTCAAGAGCTGGTGGACATCTAAAATTCTCTCACTCTCAAATAAGGTAAGTCAGCAGAGCAGCAATCATATTGTAAATTAGTAAATTGTCACACTGCCAGTGATACTTCTCACTCTGATGCAAGTTTCTCATGCTGTGTAACGAAAAGCCACACTCAAAATTGGCCTGGGGCTTCTCCGTTCAGATGTGGTATTGATACATGTGAACCTGCGGTGAGATGTCCATCACAACACCTGGAGTGAGCAATGCCATATGTATGTACATACATACTTGACTGTGTTTCGTCATCTGCGTGGTCGTGGGCTGCGTAACCTGTCTGAGGAGGTGGATTGTTGAATACATCATGTCATGCATGTATATTCACAAGGCGTACCCTGTAGAGCCTTACGGAGCAATCGGGCAACATTATCAAGAGATGGCAAGGATGTACTGTCGAAAATCTTTCCCGACCGTTGTATCGCTGAAGTGAAGGTCATACTGGCTCCCTGGACTTCAAGGACACCCAACTGTGTGACATTGGCGTCACACAAACTATGCAGATTCAATCAAGCGGGGAAGGCGTCTTAATATCACAACATGCACAAGGAGTGTTAGGCAAGATCTAGAGTAGTGAATGGGCGAACTCTCCTTTGTCGGGTATCCGATGGGAGCACTAAAGTACGGAGTAGAAGCAAGGTGATGGACAGGAGCGGCAAACCAACCGATGTGGACGTATATCCTGTGAGTAGCCTCCTCCACCCTGTTGAAACGGCAAACACAAAGCCAGTCTCTGCAGCATTCAAGCAAACAAAATCTGACCCAATGAGCAAGCTGACCGTTCTAACGTCCAATCAGGCTGAATTTCAATTGTTAGTGGCGCAGACACTCAGGAACCATTGGATATCTGCCACGCTGAATATGTTGTGCTTCAATGGATGCATTGAATATCCTTCCAGCTGGTTTGCCAGCAAAGCCCGGGGACAACATAATACGAGAATTCCGTCCAACGCCGCGTAGGAACTCTTGAGCCTTCCCGATAATCAGTGCTATTAATTCTAGCAAACTGCGGAAACAATTTGTTCCCAAGTCCGCTGGTAAGGACCGGTACTAGGTAGCAGAACGAAATGGTAAAGTCATGTTCAATGTTGAGATTGTGCCGACAGAAAAATAAACCCGTAGGCAAGGAGTGAACCTTGGAAGCAAAACAAAGGTCTGAAAAATGTGATACTTATGCTCGGGCTCAAGATCCGAACTGCGTTTGCAACCCATGTACTCGGAAAATGGTGTGAAGGCCCGAATCAAACCTGGTTTGATCGTGAAACTGCGGACATGAAGACGGAGAAAGCAATGAAGCAACATGGTCAAGGTTTAGCTACCGAAATCATAGGGCAGAAATAACGGAATGAAAACCCGCACGCGGTGTTGTCGCCTGATTTTACCATGATTCAGGCGTCTGCATGGATTGACCAGGGAGGTCAGCGCTTACTAGGCGCCCGAAAACCAGGCAAAATGCCAGGAGAATTAACGGCCAGAGATCCCAAAAGCGGATTTGAATCTCCCGATGGCAACACTGGACGAAGCGGGCGTTCCCCAAAAGCGGTTCCTCGCCTTGGTGAATCTGTACTGTGAAGTCAGGCGGTGACCAGGATAATCAGTATCTTGCCACGATTTGGTACTCTGTGTAGAAGAGTCAACAGTATTAGAGCCCCCAGGTTAGGGACAGAGCTTGCATGTCTCACCCTTGCATGATTCACATAAATTCCCATGCCGAACGATTGAGATGGTGTACAACATAATTTTTCTAGGCTCCATCTATTCTCGCAATGTCCATGCGCGATATAACTTGAAACTCCTCCGTCAGCTGATGGAGCAATTGCTGTAGCTGTCCGCACGGGATAAGGGCCTGTTGCAAGACTTGATTTTGGGAAAAGGACGGAAAACGAGGCGCGTGCAACGCATTTCTCACCGCCGCATTTTCAGTAACATAGTGACTTTGGCGCAGGCTCTCTTCGAACCCAAGTCATGGGCAAACACATCGCAAGGAGAAAAACCTTGGCAACACTTCGCCCTGCACTTCCTGAGGTTACTGGATCCCATGAAGCAAAAATCTCGGGTTGTTGCAGGATAGGTTCCATTGCCTGGACTGTTCGCTGTCAATTCCTCAAGGCTTCAATGAACGCGATTGGCAACCGGACAATTATTCGTATCTGGTTTCATTGGGTCCAGAGGCGCATTAGTGTCTTCGGAAGCTGTATGGAAGAAGTAATAATCAAGATATGGCCGATAAACACGATAATTATCACAGCAACGGGCTGTAGGGGAGAGGGGGAGGTCCCGCTAGCTAAACCACGCCCCCTCGTTGCTTCTGCATGCACCGATCAATCAGATCCCAGGAGATGCTGGCTTTGTGCTCCGTTGCCGACCTGTAGGCCTGGACAAACAGATCAAGTCGCCAGGCTCCAGCTGCGGCCCTCGATCTCCTCCTTGGCAGCCTCCGTCACCGCGAGAAGAATATTTTTGGGTCTGTGGAGGTCAGGCTGTTCTCATTAGCCCGCACATTTCAATTTGTTTTGCCCGTGTCCAAAACGCCTTCTCGACGTGCAACATACCTCGCGTTGCGATCTTCAGGCTTGATCGATAATAATACTGGATTTATTTTCCGGCGCCATTGTTTGGATAGTTACATAGCCGTTACCCGTGGAGAACACTCAGGTCGCCTTTCCGAAGACGCTGCTGTGACCATGATTGCAACCTGCAGTTGATGTGAAGCAACAACATCAACGACAACGGGTTACGGCATTAGACACGCGGAATCTCCATAGCCCTAAGATTGCGTCTGTTGCACCCGCATCCATCGTAATTTGCCTGGGAGAGAGCAAAGTAGGTATTCCCATTTCATTCTTAACCTCGCTGCTGGCGCTCTTTGCTTTTGTTTGTTCGGCACGCCTGCACGTCGGCTATTCCAATCCTCATCCGTTCTTTTAAAGGCCTCTGGGCCGTCAATCTCTTCCTCTCCTAACGTGGCCTGTCTCCTGTGCCTGAAGACCCTTGGTTGCTGTCGTTGTTGTTGCTGTTTGTTGAAGTGGTCGAGGAAGCTTTTCTCCTGAACGGCAACAATGACGTCCGTCATGGGCTCTGTGCTGGACCACAGCAATCGTTTCTATCCTCACTACTATCTTTCTCCCAACCAGTATGAACAGCTGAATTTACAGGCGTATGAGATCTTTCCCAAGTCGATTTCCGAGCTCCATCCTCCTTTCATCTACTGCCCGTATTACTTTGAAGACTTCGACCCAACCGTGATAATGGACTCTATCTCTCCACTCGACGACATGGAGCAGTTCCAGGAGCTTTCCAACGACTACCAGCCAGACTTACAAGTGAGATATATGGGCGGCTTGTACCTGGGAAGACGTGAATTGCATTGCTAATGCAGACTAGGGACCTTTAGTTGGTCCGAAGCAGTCAACCGATGCCCTCGTCACTGAGTACGCGCAGGGTCATCCAATATTTGTTGCGAAGACATCTGTATGTGAGCGCGAATCTGGCGCACTTGGCCCGTATGTCTGACTGAGCAACAGGCCCTTGCTGCGACGCATTCTTTCTACCGAATTATGAAGGGAGATGGCAATTGTGGCTGGCGAGGTACGCGAGGGTGGTTGATATTGTGCTCACGAACGATTATCTGAAGCTCACTTTTAACTCAGCTGTCGCATTTGGTTACTTCGAGAACCTCCTTCACCTTCGTGATCCGAGCAAAGTCGCCCAAGAAACAGCCAGGCTTAAGAGTTTCAACGACTTGTTGAACTCAGTCGGCTACCAGGAGGACCTGTATGAGATGTTCGTTGACGCAACCATTGACCTGCTGGCAGATATCTCAAAAGCAATTGAAACTGGAAATTATGATGACAGCTTTCTTTTGAATGCCTTTAATGAGGAGTACAATTCAACTTCTATAATCCAACACTTTAGGGTTAGTCGCCTGGTTCCCACGGACTCACTGTTTTTGACTAACTTGTTTCAGTTGATGACAAGCGCCTGGATGAGATTGAATAGCAACAGATACCAGTCATTCCTTCCAGAGCCTCTGGAGCATTACTGTGAGCGGATCATTGAGACTGTGAGAACGGAAATCGACGAGATTGGTCTCCAAGGCTTAGTCGATGGTGTCATTGCAAACTCAGGATTTGCTGTCCAAATTGCCTACCTAGATAGGAGCCAGGGCGGCGAAGTCAACTTCCATATTCTCACACCAGAACGTCCTCATCTCGCCACTATAAGGCTACTCTATCGACCGTACGCTTCAGTACCCCCTTTTTAATGTTGACCTGACTCACTGACAAACGTTTTAGCGGCCACTATGATCTCCTGTACGGGGCCGAACCCTCAGGTTCACACCCTAACGTGCCGGTTAACTACCAAGTCGGAGTCTCTTACACTTATCCCCCTTGGTATCCAACCAGATTACAGTTCGAGTTTAACTCCTCTCTGATGGCTGTTCCTGCTCTCTCGCTTGAAGCACAAGATGCCACTTCTCCTTTGACATCTTCCCCTGCTTCGAATTTATATACACCGGTACGAACTAGCTCCCTGTTTCATCCACCCTTGATTTCCCCGCGTCCATACGATCTGCCCAAATGCCTGCCATTTAGCCCCCTGCCACCTCCTCCAGACAGATCCAATGAGCTACCCATCCGGATGAACCCCTTGGTCCGTGAGCCAATGAATACTATCCCCCTAAGCTCTATCCCTTTCAAAAAGTAAGTATCTGATTGACACTCTGCCCTACGCATTTACTCATCACGCGCTAATAATCCTGCAGCTCCCAGCATAACCAGGCACACTTCCAGAACCCAGATTTCCAGCCATCGCAATGGGACTACACCAAAGAGTACAAATAGGCAGTCATATCGGTAGCACGATGACTACGTCACACAAGCCAGCGACGTAACGTGTAATGTGATACGACCTTTTGCTTTTGACCCACCAGCCGCCCTCTCCTCTTCAGTTTGGCCATCAACGGCGTCCATACTGAACTTGTTGCCAAATAATCATCCCAACCCGGCTGCTAGGCTTTGACTTTCGCACCTCTATTTCCTTCTTCCTCGTCTTCTGCTGTCGCGTCTAAACTCCTACTGTTACTGTGTTTGTACCGCATCCCAGTTCTTATGTGCGCTGTTAAGTTACTGATTACAATGCTCCATTTACTATTGTCCCTAGTTTGATACTATGCGGGACTTTTTATTCACTGCCGGCTGGTATCGCAAGGCTCTATGATATGCCGGCTTAGCAAACTATTTTTTCTTTAGATGATCTCGTGATCAAGGATCTTTATCAAGCTCGTTGCTGTTGATGGCTTGTTTGTGAAGCACTGCTTGCTTACGATTTCGGTAGCTCACAGTATAACTAATTATTTTTACAGAACGCAATGTCACAGCGCAGCATCCCTCCTCTGGACCATTATCTTCTGCATTATAAAACTTAAGAGTGTACATCATCGTTTGCAGTGTAGTATAATTGCGGCAAGTGGGCGACTTGTCATACCTCGATATGCGTATATCTCGCAGTACCACTGATGGGGACTTTCTACTGTTAAACTTTTGTACTCTGATAGTTTGGATATTATACATATACGGTGATTTTTGGGGGGAGAACGCGGCTACACATTTAAAACACTTTTGAAAAGAATGTGAGAGCTTGATTGAATTGGCATGTTTTTGATCCTGCTCCAGGACATGCGGAGCCGCTGGAATGCTCGCCAAGTGACCCTTCTTGATATTTTCACCGTTATCATCACTATGTCCGAACACCATTAGGCAATCTCTGCCCGTCTCTAATCTGCCGCTCCTCCTCGTCCGAGACCACGGCCCAGTCTCGCACTCCACCTTTCCAATCAGCGATGCGGCCTTCTTTCACCTGCACGGTCACTACCCTCACCTCGTCGTCCACTACCGGGACCTCAACACCGGTATCCCGCGCCCGCTGGCCGAAAACACCCAACTCCGCAGGCTCCGCCGCAAACGTATTATTCTCCAGGTGCTGCTCCCTGCACCACTTTTCCTCTTCGCTGCCTGCTTCCAAGAAGCGCGCGGTACCGATTATGGTGGTACTGATGCTGCTCATGGCGCTGGTGTTAATGTTGAGCAGGAGGGTGGCGAGGCTGGATTGGGTGGCTTCGGGGGGCGGGGAGCCTTCGCGGGCGGGATTGCGGGTACGTGTTGGAGGGCGGTGGGAGACCCAGTCGTGTACGAGGAGAGAGACGCGGGGGTTGGAGAGGAGGTTGAGGGTCTTCTTGGAGGAAGGGTTTGTGGTCATGATGATTGTTGGGTGGGGGGAGAAGGGGGTGCTGGGGAGGTAGGTGTAGGACATCAGGGAGATGTGGGGGGGTGAGGTTATCGCATGTTGCGAGGTGGAGCTGCCGGATGGCGAGTTAGCTGAAAATAGAAGGGAATGGGTGAGCTACGGAGCGTACAAATCGGGAATTTTTGAGACAGGAGACGACTTCGGGAGGTAAGGCGGTGGAGTAGTGAGGGTGGGTGGTGGTGGCAGATGGTTCGTAGCTCAAAGGGGGATTGTGCGCGGACATGATGCTGGTGAGAATGTATTAATTAGACTGCAATTGAGCAAGTTGGATAAAAAATGCAGCAGCCTGAAGCTGTCTGAAGCTGTCTGTCTCTTGGTTCAGACGGACAGATAAGAGCCCCACCGATCCCGAGCGCGTCACATGACCTGTGGCTGGTGAGCCCTAGCCTGACGTCATACGAGGCTAGTTAGTGGCATCACGTGCAGCTAGCCAGAAACGGAATAGCCTCGCCTCGATTTCCCCGCATTTCCCGTCGGAGAACAAGTGTGGCTTGGTTTCAGTCCATCTTGGCTGGGATTACCTAATGCAACCACCTCTGCCAATTCACCTCGCTGCGGCAAAAGCTCTCCGCTTCTCTCTGCGTGTACTTCCAGAGTACCTGGTCGCTCAACCCATCTCGTTGCCGGCTGAAGCGATCACTCTCCGCTCTTTGCAATTGATCTGTATTCCAGCCTTGTCCTTTTGTGCCTCATTGTCTGTTGCAGCATCTGAGGTCGGCCGTTTCCCGACATCATCCCAAACCCTGGTCGCTCTGATTGAAACTGCCTGAACTACCCATCTGGCAGTTCCCCTAGTTCCCCTGGTTATTCGCTTTCCCGGACTGCTGCACCGAAGCTCTCGCTGCCCCTCACTTCTCCTGTCGCATGTGCCACTACTTCTCTTAGCTATAGCTATCCCGTCGTCAACTGGCCTAGTGCTGCTGTTTTCCTTTCTTCACGCACGCAAAACCTCAACTTCATCTCCTTCTGTTACTTGTTCTTTTTTCCTTTCACTGTTCAATACCCTTCATTGAGTTCATTCTTCAATTTTTCCGTCTCATTCGCTTTGCTGTTCGGCCTGCAACTTCTGCTTCCGTCCCATAATCCATTCGCCTCCATAGCCCCGCCGCCCAACAATCTGTCTCCCTCATCCATCATGCTGGCGACGCGTCTGCTTCGGCCCAGCGCCGCCCCTTCTCTCGTTTCCCGTTCCTTCGCTACCTCCAGCCTTTGCTTCAGAACCCCGTCCATCAGGGACATCACCCCAGACAATGCTGCCACATTCAATGCGCGCCAGAAGGAGTTTCGTGACAATCTCGAAGCTGCACGGAAGAAAAAACTAGAGCAAGAGAGTCAGTCGATTAATAATTCTGTTTCTCCTTCTTCTTCTTCTACTACTACCACTACTACTACTTCTTCCTCTCCTGCTGCCCTCGACAAAGACGGCACGAGCGGCGCTCGTTCTGTAGTTGATGCTGCCGAGCGTTTGGATGGCCAGGCCTTGGGCTCACTTTCCACTCACCGAATTCTAGGAGAAAAGCGTCAATCCGAGCTTAATACCCAAACCAAGCGTGGTCCGCTCTCTAGCCTTATCTATGGAACGAAAGAAGGCCAGCAGTTGGACAGAGATATCGAGAGATCGTTTTCCGAAGTGCTTGCACGCGGCAAGTACGTCCATTCGATCGTCTTCCATAAAGTCAAACCCGATAAAGTCGACGAATACGTGAAGCTGGTTGGAGAATGGTATCCCAAGATGGCAGCAATCGAGGCCAATCGTGTGAACCTTGTCGGAAGCTGGCGTACTCAGGTCGGAGATAATGACACTTTCGGTACGGTGCTCTTTTGTCATACTACCCACCACGTTTGCTAATGATTTGATGTTCTGCCAGTTCACATTTGGGAGTATCAGCGCTACTCTGGATACCATGCATCGCTCCATAACATATCAAAGCAACCCGAGTTTTCCAAGTTCGATCGGCATCTCAAATCCCTCATCGATAGCAAGAGTACATCTTTGATGCAAGAATTCTCGTTCTGGCCTACGACTCCGCCTCGCCGTCTCGGCGGTATATTCGAGCTCCGTTCCTACACCTTGCACCCGGGAAACCTCTTGGAGTGGGAGAGCCATTGGCGCAAGGGACTAGCTGCCAGACGCGTGGTTATGGAAGGAGTGGGCGCATGGTTCGTGCAGATTGGCGACCTCAACACGGTTCATCATCTCTGGCAATTTGCAGACCTTGAAGAGCGTAAGAAGCGACGCGAGGAATCCTGGAACATTGAGGGTTGGGCCGATACGGTGCACAAAACGGTCCCGTTAATCCAGACAATGAAGAGCCGAATTCTTATCCCCATGCCGTGGAGTCCAGTGGGGTAATTAGTCCGTCTTGGCCAGTGCTTTACGGAGTACTTCTTCGGCTCAACACTTAACAGCGGATATGATGTCATATCATTGAGGATCACACAGATATTGTCGTGGAACAAGAATATGATTATTCGAAGCGGGATGTCTACGAGCGTATGGAGGGATTTCATAATTTTCCTGTGAGGATGGCCATATCAGCCCATCTTCAGAAGCTCTGGGAGACGGGCGTATTGTGCACAGGAGCAGAAGGTGCAGGCGGCGACAGGTCCTTCTATTATGGTGTATACCTAGTTCAGTACAGCACTCAGATAGCTCTTTCCAAAGCCAGAGAATTGCAATCACCATAACAAACTGCCTGTCCGGGATGTTTATTGATTCCTTCCTGTTCAGTGTGCCATGGAGGGAAGGTTCAACCGAGCCCGTGTCGGCCAATCAGAACACAGGGTTCGGGAATTGCACCCCATCTGATCCTTTTTGTTGTTCACAAGCAAAAAAAAAAGTGAGAAATGAGACGAAAGAACACCGGTCATCCACCATCTTCTGTTGAGGGGTTCTGGCATGGATCATCGTCTATGGAGTTTGACATGCTTCTTCTGCCAGTAGAACAATTTCCCCTCTTCCTGTCCATCCAGATGCCAACAATATAAATCCCCTACTCTTTGTCTTTTTTTCCTGTGCATCTTTCCGTTTCTCGCTCTCGGCCCATTTTATAACCCTCCGTAAGTCGCCTGGATCTCGGACTAGAGCCGCGATAAAACGCAACTTGACGTGTTGGAATAAAGTACTCTGGGAGGACCTATCTCAGTTGTCCACCATGGTGTACATTCGACAATGGGACCTCGAGGCCTTGCGCCAGTATAAATACTCCGGGCTGGACAAGTCGCTGGTCTCGAGATACATCATGAAGCCGTTCTATACACACGTGGTCATCAAGTTCTTTCCAATGTCAATGGCGTGAGTTCTAACCATCATTCTCATACTTTTCCTACATTTGTCTACGCCGAGCAATGGAGGAACTAGGGTCCTGGCTTGGACATTGCTTGGGTTCGTATCTACATATGGTTGAGAATGTATGAGCTCTAACGACATTGGCATCTGTGAGGTTTATAGGCCGAATCTTGTAAGTCTGACTGAGTCGCTGGAGCTATCCGGGTCTGCTGTTCTACTCTACGGTAACTGACTGCGCATAGATTACATTGACTGGTTTCTCATTCGTGGTTATCAACTTCCTCACTTTGATGTGGTATAATCCCGGCTTAGACAGCGATTGCCCGCCGTGGGTGTATCTGAGCTGGGCTCTTGGCCTGTTTTTATATCAGACCTTTGATGCCGTAGATGGAACGCAAGCGTACGTGGCCTCTTTTGCTCCCCAGGTTTCAAATGTTGTCGCTAATTGGGCGTTTAGACGGAGAACCCGCCAGAGCGGGCCATTGGGAGAGTTATTTGACCATGGTAAATATATGTAATCATGACTATTAGTGGCTGGGACTGACCAGGGCCTTTCAATGTTTGTAGGAGTCGATGCGTGCAACACTGCCCTTGAGGTCCTGATTTTCGCCGGCACTATGAATCTGGGCCAGACGTGGGCCACCGTTCTGGCGCTTTTTGGCTGTGAGTCGGCCTATTAAAGTACTTGATGCGATTGCGTACTGATATCTCTAGCGGCGCTTACATTTTATGTTCAAACGTGGGATGAGTACTACACTCAGGTCCTGACGTTGGGCATAATATCTGGTCCGGTCGAGGGGATTCTGACTCTCTGTGTTGTGTACGTATTCACAGCCGTCAAGGGAGGTGGCAGCTTCTGGCATAAACCTATGCTACCGACAATGGGCATTGCTCAACCTAGCCTGATTCCGGACCATTTCTACAACCTCCCGTTTACTTCCTGGTATATAATATACGGCGGATTTGTTCTTCTCTTCAGCACCGTTGCCAGCGTTACGCACGTCCTCGACGTTCGACGGCAGCGAGGCCTGAGCACTGTCACACCACTATTTGGTCTTCTTCCTGTCGCCGTCACCTGGGTCCTCATTGCGGCGTATCTACACCTCAATCCCGTGATTCTAAATTTCCATCTCGTTCCGTTCGCCTTGTTTGTCGGGATCATCAACGCCTATTCCGTTGGTCGGATGATTATCGCGCATCTGGTAAAAACGGACTTCCCCTATCAAAATATTCTCTTGATCCCGCTCCTCTTTGCAGTGTTTGACAGTGCAGCGCCCCGGATGGGTTTACCGTGGCCAGGATACCTTGGCGAGAGCAACAATCAAGTTGCGTTTGTCTTCGGGTGTTTAGGTCTGGGGCTAGGTGTTTATGGGAGCTTTGTGGTGAGTATCATTAACCTTCAGACCTGAAATCCCTATGGTAGCAATCTCTGACCTATATTGGTAGTATGATGTGATCACGACGATTTGCGATTACCTTGACATTTGGTGCTTGACGATTAAGCACCCATTCAATGAGAAGACGATCGAGACAACGGCAAAAAATCATCCGTGCAACGGAGACAAGATTCAAACAAACACTTCGAAAGGTAAAAGAGAGTGATGTATTCGAACTATGACCTCTCTCGACACCCTATTATTGCTAAAGGTCTGCCATTGTTGTTCCTGTGACCCGAACGCGGCATCTCCCCAAACGTAAATTCCTCTCGATTCTGCTCAGCCGGTAGGCGTATGACCAGATGTGGATATTCCAATCCGCCAAAATTCACTGTTTAACTGTAATTTTCTATCCAAGAGCTCAGCCCAGCCGAGTGTATAAACCATTCCCGCCTGTTATCCTAACTATTCTCCGGATTTATTGTTTTAGTACCTTTTTAATACACTTTGTCCTTAGTATTCTCAGCGTGTACAGGGAGCTTCTATTCTCAGTGACATAAAATTCAAGGTTCTATTAAAATATTGTCTTTAACTATATTCTATAAATGTCGAAATTTATGGACAAAATCCAGTCTTCTCCTCCCCATCCACCACAGTCAGTTCACGAAGCATTGTTCCCATGTGTCTCCGTAGGAATCATAGTATGGAAACAAATTTCGCATAATCTCCGTCCTCTCGCAACCATTGGATGCTGACAAATAGCTGCTTCCACATGGCACATGCGGCACATTTCAATAACATCACTTTCGCTGTCAGAACTGGTATGGACATCGGTCCTTGTCGACGATCTATTCCTACTACCACGGGCAGTATCTCTGTTGGTGCGCCGTGGGCGCTCAGCATCAACATCATGGGCACTTGAACGCCGGAACGGCTGTCGAGTATCGTCAGAACGGCGAGTGCTGCCGTAATAAACGCGACTGGAGCGCGCACGCTGGGTTTCAGTTGCGGTTTCGGTTTCGGGGTCGGGAGCAGGGATGGTGTTTGACTCCGGCTGGGTGCTGGAAGCGGTGTCGGCTGGTGGGGAGAGGAGGGCGCCGGAGGCGACGATGGGTGGGATCATGTCAATGGAGGCGTAGGGCGCGCTATTTGGGTTTGCGGAGGGGGAGATGTGGATGTATATGTGTGCTGGAGGGGGTTGGGGGAGCTGGTTTAGAGAGGGTTGTGTTTGCGGGTTTTTGGGGGAGGGGAAGGGGGATTTTGAGCTCACTGCCTTGATCGTGAGGTTGAGGGTAGCATTGGATTGGCGGTTGGTCTGGAGAGATATAGTAAACAAGGGGTCCGCTATTCTGTGAGGGTCGTGGACCAGCTTGGCTGGCGTTCCAGGGCTGTGATGTTGAGTTGGTCATTATACTGAGGATTGGAGACAAGTTTCCTTCAAAACTTCGTGGCAGCTTTTCAAAAGGGGAAGAATAGGGAAATGTTTATCAAAAGTCTCGAGCAAGAGATACTCAACAAGGTAGATCGCAATTGAACGCGCATCGGCGTTGAAACCCGAAAAGTATTAGGGCTCCTTATACAGTACCAGGAGTGGCAGTATACGTTTCGACACCCAACATTCTCGGGTTAAATTCGTAAAATAGAGAAACAATTCACAGAGAGGTAAGATTCCACACGCAGTCTAGGATATACCAAGAGACTGTGTTGTATCAAGGCGAGAATCATTTTCAATGGCGATTCACGGCTCATCCGGACAAGGTGAAGCGTACGGATCTCCAGGGGGAGGGTAGCTCCAAGATGAAAGTGGACTGAAGCAGCAGAGCGTTTTCTGTCTCATTAGTGCACCCCAAGGGTATTCGACGCAATAGACGGCCTTCATCGATGTTGGCTAATATATTCAACACCGTTGTGATGCTTGATGTTTTCAATGCGTTCTGGAAGAGCCCTGTTGCTGATTAATCACACCAGTCACAGCCCCACCAATGAGCCTGCTCCCATTGGCTACGCTTCGACCGGCTAAACCTATTGCGGCTAGATAAGCGAGTGCCACAGAAGAAGGCAAAGTTTGGAGTTTTTGCCTCCACGAAACCTCTCCGCTCGACTTTCGCCAGTTCCCACGAGACCTCTTCCTTCACCACCGTCGACTGACCTATCTCGCGATACGCCCTTCAAGCCAAGTCTACTCGCAGATAAAGCCTCTCTAAGTCAACATGGTGAGTTTTGATAAATTCTTGATTGATGGCGATGTAGCCAGCAGTGGATCCGTGTTCCTCTGTGGTGGAATGAAGTTGCTGGCTTGATCATCCGAATTCGACGGCTGGGATGGTATATTGGTGCTGATGGCGTTTTTTCCCTCTCAATAGGTTCTCGCGGTCGATCTCCTCAACCCTACGCCTCAGGCCGAGGCTCGCAAGCACAAGCTCAAGGTACGCTTGTCTATCGAATTCGCCGACATTTGGAAGTGATCCAACAACTGACACGCGAACCTGCTCAATTAGACTCTGGTGCCTGCTCCCCGATCCTTCTTCATGGACGTCAAGTGCCCTGGCTGCTACGCAATCACCACCGTCTTCTCACACGCTCAGACCGTCGTCATCTGCGCTGGATGCTCGACAGTCCTTTGCCAGCCCACCGGTGGCAAGGCCAGATTGACTGAGGGATGCTCGTTCAGGAGAAAGTAAAGGCCAAAAAATCAAACGAAAAACTGAGGAATCTTTGTCATGCATAGCTCGAATACCAGATAACGATTTGATCAAAAGCAAACATGGCGTTCTAAACCTCTTCCTCGATGTACCTCCCAATCCTCCTTATCTCTCGACTACTTCTCTCGCCTGAACCCTACCAACTACTCTTTCTACAGATAGAAGATGGAATGAATCGTCATCGTTTTCTTTCATACTGTGTTGCGCTGGAGCAGAAAACTTGGGACAACGTGATTTTGTTGGACGGTGTTTATTCTTCTCGACAACGCACATGGGAAGCCAAGGCGGTGGAGTTCCGGATATCTGGTGACTAATTCACCCACCTGTCGTCTCGTTCTTTTACGCTTGCATCGGTTCGTTTCATCTTGCATACCTGCGGAAATTCGTTTTGATATTCGACACATGAAGAAAGGAGAGACGGATGGAGCATCCGTTCCGACCTCGAGCTTTTCGATATGCCAGTCGTGAATTCGGATGTGACTCAGTTGAGGATACCTCTCTGCCTGGCCTTGTACAAAGCACAGCAAGTCTGAATTTATCACGCGGTTCTGGTTGGCCCACGGCTAGAATCGCGGGAGATTCGTGTATGCTAAGAGTAGCGTTATGTATCAAGCGAGCTAGCTGTTTCCTCATCTCGGAGATTTCGTAATTGTCCTGCACGAACCCTGTAACAATAATTCCGCTGCTGATCACCCGAATCGTGATGCGCAGGCTGCAGATTCCCCTGAAGAGCTCCAACATTCATTCCATACCACGATGAATGTGAGGGACAAGTTGCCCAATTATTCACAATCTTACTTTATTTTCGAATTCTATCTAGAGGATCCCTTAGCGGGACTGAGCTGCATGCTGCACCTCCACAGCATTATAAAGGGCTTCAATTGGCCTCCCCAGTCACAGCCTCAGCGTGGACTTCTGAGGTGCAACTGAGGTTTCTTTCTTTTTATTACACCGGCTCCTTCATCGCCAGAAAACCACACCGCATATTGGCCGGTCTGCTCCACTACTGATATTGGGCCTTCGGTTACTTCGGTTCGCGAGATTTGGCGTCGTGATCAGTGACAATGAGCGGAAAGTCAATCACACTTTCCGTAATAATGAGCAGAAGGTGCAAGCGGGGGTCAATTTGTTGAGGGTATAAATACTGGGCTCTGCTTCCCGTTGAGTCTCTCGGTTCTCAAGACCAACCGCGAGATTCACGACCAAGAACAGCTCCTCTGATTTCACCACTGTCATCTTCAAGACTCTATCACAATGCCTGATAATAACAACGGTAGCTACACTTACAAGTCCTCCGGGACCAACAGCCAGGTTTCCCCCCTTCACTACTCATCACAGCCTGAGAGACGTCTCTTAACTCGTAAGAATCCAGGGCAACCACTACTGCGCCCGCGACTACGGCTCTGGAGCAGCCAACAGCAATTCCTATCACTATTCCAACACGTGAGTATCGTTTTCCAATATTTGATTTCGCTGAATGCCTGCTGAACCATGCTGTCACAGCAACGGATCCTACTATTACAGCAACCCCAATGGTAGCACCTACTACAACAACGGCCAGGGAAGCTCAACCTATACCTCCCCAAGCGGCAATGTTAGCAAGAAATGAGCCCTGGTCGAAGTAGCTGAGCCGGTCCTTGCTAGCATGAGTCGGTCTTGTCAATCTACCGGTCGATACCATCTTGCCAACGGCACATTTGGTATCGTGCTTGAATGACATGTCTTGAAATTCGGCGATGGGAGGAGCCTGTATTTCTACTTGGGGGATACGTTCGAGATGTTTCTAGCCTTGAGATGCTAGAAATCCTAAAGAATATGACATTTATCCCCCTTCCATAACCTATCACAATCACTCTTCAGGCCATATGCCGCAACGCATTGTAATTGAATGGCGCGATAAAAACTACATCTCTACTTCTATCAAGCTCAAGTGATTCCTAGGTTTGTACTCTGTATATAGGTCTGATCACACGGACGTACTCAAGGGGACAATTGCAGGCCCAAATCCTTCTGGTGGTTGCCGGCGATAAAATCATTGGTTATCACACTCATATGCATTACTATGATATTCAATAACCGAAACGATACCTGACTGTAAAGTGATCAAGAAGCGTAGCTAGACGAAGCCATACTTAATGCGCTGGAATGCATTGTTGATCGCCGAGGCAAGCGCAATTCGGCGGCCCCGGACTAGTTCGATATGGATATATATATTCGGACCGCGTCTCGTTCAATGCCGGGCACTCGAAAACTTCTCCCCATTATCTTCATAGGCTCAGTCTTTCGGTAATTATACCCCCAAAGCCATTTCTTCCTATTCCCAATCCCAAATTCCTGCCTGTGAGCCCTTCTCGACCCCGCCTACCCCTATTCGCGCCGACATCAACCATGGCGACGCAAAAACCCCTTCTCAAAATCCTTATGCTCCATGGCTTCACCCAATCCGGAGCCCTCTTCCGAGCCAAAACTCGTGCTCTCGAAAAACATCTCCAAAAATCCTTTCCCCTCCACACCCTCGTCCTCTCCTACCCCTCCGGCCCCATCCGCCTCGACCCCGCCGATATACCAAACTTCCGCCCGTCATCGCTCGAATCAGACGACCAGTCCGCGCAGGAACTATGCGCCTGGTGGCGCCGTGCCGATGGGATTGATCCCCCGGAATATCTCCAGTTTGACCGCGGCCTGGAGGCCATCGCGAACGTGCTACGGGATGAGGGGCCGTTTGATGGAGTGATTGGATTCTCGCAGGGTGCTGCGTTCGCGGGGATGTTGGCTGGCTTGCTGGAGCCGCGGAGAGAAGAGGCATTTGAGTATTTCTCGAAACCGGAGAATAATAGCTCGCCGGTGACCCGTGCTTCGGGTAGCTTTGCTCAGCCTGCATACGTCACGGCTGCTCCGGCTGCGACGCAAGTCATGGGCACTGTTTCGGGCATTCCATTTCCGAAATCCTTTGCGGAGCTCGATCACGCACCGTTCAAGTTTGCCATTTGCTACTCTGGTTTCCGCGCGCCTGGCGCGCGGTATCGCGCTTTCTACGAACGTCCCGCCATCAGTACCCCGATCCTACATGTCCTAGGCAGTTTAGATGCGATTGTGGATGAGGGTAGAAGTCGATTCCTGATCGAATCGTGCGTGGGAGATCCAGAAAAGGAAGGCAAAGTGATATGGCATCCCGGAGGCCATTTTCTACCCTGCCAACGGCCGTATTTGGACGGTGCAGTGAAGTTTATCAGGGAGTGTTTGGAGATGGGAGATGGGAGAAGCAGCGGCGGTAAGTCGGCAGACGATGTCCCGGTGGAGGATATGGCCATGCCGTTCTAATTTTCACTCCCTTGTCTTTTCTAGAACTAGGAGGCTTCCCTGCTGCCAGGATATAAAGAGGTGAACTGAAGTACAGACATGATCGGACGAATTTTAGATCGACGAGCATAGACAAAATCATAGACCTACTCATTCTTGCATAGAGAAGCTTTGGATATCTTTAGGAGCTAACTGATAGCGCATATTCTTAATCAAATCTATCCTCAGAGCCAGTTCATCCCAGGTCTTGACGCAAAATGGACCATCAAGGATGTAGTATACAATCGCTACCGTCTAGATTTCAAACGCCCTCAATGAGCCTTTGCCCTTCCTGACTTTGAAGGTAAGATACGAGCCATCATTTCCTCCTTGGTGATCAAATGGTCAATGCGCTCCAGCAATCCCAACAAACTCTGCATATTACCGCTCCACTCGTTCAAAACATCGTCTGCATCTCGTGGTTTAGCGAAACTTACAATTCTCGCTGGTCGATCGATTCTGGCATAGATCGTCTTTGACGTAACCAAGTCGCTAATGTACTTCTCCGTTTCCGCTTGGTTAAGGTCGAGGAGCTCGGTCAAACGGTCAGTCTCAATGCGGGTGTAATATTTAGCAATGACGCGGATATTGTGCTCAATAACTCGCTTGCGGAAGTCTTGCCATCTTCGATATGGCTTGTCATCCATAGACTGACACGGTTGGGCATCAAACACATCGGTGCTGCAGAGGTGAGGGCCAAATTGCTCGGCTACCATGGGCCAGCGCATGAGCTCGTCGGTTGTGAATAGTTTAATCAATTGAGCCTCAACGGAAACGAGAGAGTTTCGTGAGTCAGCTTTGATTCGGTGGAGAAGATCGGACTGCTCATTGTCATAAGGGGATAAAACAACATAATAAATGATGCGTTGTAAGGTCTGACATCCAGTTAGTCCCACGAAACAAGCACGCGACACTTGCTAACTTACCGCTCGAAGATAATTTGGACTTTCTTCTACAGACTCTGTATCAAGCACTTGTCGGTAGTACTTGCAAACCTCCAGATATTCATTCTCATGGTTTGCCAAGATAATTTGCTGTTCATAATATCGCAACTTGAGCTCCGACACATCCCCTTCCTTCTCTGGAGGTGGTTCATCGGGCTTTCGTTGACGTTCGCGTTCTTCTTCTTCCTTTTTCTGCTTCTCGATTTCTTCAGGCGTCTTCTTGGGTTTACGCGCGAAATATCTTGTGTTAATCTTGCGACTGAGAATTTTGGCCTGTGTCCAATCCCCCCTAGCTATGCACAGTGCAACCTGTTCGAGAATAAACTCTGTTTTCTCTTTTCTAGCCATTGAGCCGAACGTTTCCACTTGAAGTTCGCATAGAATGTCTGCAGCAGCAACGATGTCGCCTTGGGACTTTTTGATTTCTGATAAAATACGTGTCACGCGAGCTCTCTCGACTTCGACGAAGATCTGATGGAGCCTTTGATGAGCAATGAATCCGTTGATCGCAAACACGGAAATTCAAATTTACCTTTCCCTCCGTGACATTTCTCAAAGTTTCAATCAACGACATTTTGGCATCCATATTTGGCGTCTCATCTAGGAATCCCATCGCCACTTGTACCATTTCGTCGTCGCCTGTTTGAGCTGGCCATGTTTTCTCCGATAGAGCAACAACTTGCTCGTTCAACAGGGGACAATAACCAGCATCCTTGCATAGCGGGCAAAACCGCAACCAAAAGCCTAGAAGTCGAAGGGAGATCGGACGACTATATAGTAGAGCATGTTAGCTAGTGTTTAGTGGCTTCATGCCTACGAGTATCGCACCTGTCTAGCTTGCTTCTCGAGAGCCAGTAGCTTGTCAATCGCCCCCGTTAAGTTCGTCTAGAAAATCACGAGAGATCAGCGCAAATTCTTAAATCCAGCATTAGTACAAATCCAAACCTTCGCAATCTCCTGGGCTTCCGGAATTTGTTTGTCGACATCTTTCGTAAAGTCCTTGTCGGGCTTGAACAGGGTCCCGTCCGACATAATGGGCGCGAGTGCTTTCAAGTTGAGGCTTTCTTCTGCTCAAATGGAACAGAGTGAGCGTCTAGAATAGCCTGCGTAGTATAAGACGAAAAGAAGGCTATACTGCGATGCTTCCCTTAAAGCAATGTGATGTTTGAGAAACTGGATAGATAGCCAACAGCTGTTCTAGGTGAGGTCAACTGCTGAGGCTCTGGAGCTCAATGCACTAGATTATGTAATTTGTTCTATCCCATAATAGACTAGCGTGTATTAGTCATAGCCGCGCGGGTGCGCTTAAATATTACCTTAGAGTTTACTAGCGCCCGGTTCCGAAATGTCGCCCATCAAGCACGCAATCACGCAATCGATTTCAGCGTCAAGATTTATAACACAGAATATATAAAGGCAAAATGACAGACCCTCCGAAAATGGCCTCATTTTGCCTTCTGATTTCCCAGTGGTTTGAGCCGGGTTGATAGGTAGCTAATAGCAAGTGTTGATTTACTTCGTCGGCTCGATGCATCTGAATTCCGACTTTTAAGAAGGATACGGATGAGTTGGGCATAAGATATTATATGGAACGATACCCCTGTGTTGGAAACTTTTTTAGCAATATAAAAAGATTGGGCTTTGCTGTTGACGTATTTGCCTTGCCTGACCTGCTTCCACTGCTGCAGCTAGAGATGAAGAATCTCTCCCCCAAGCCGCCAGGGCCGCAACCATTGCTTACGGCGCTGAATGTGGAATCGCAGATCCACTTGGTTATCGGTTCAAATCCATTGGCCGCAGCACGATGTACCAAGTGCCTTGATTCAGGTTCGACGCCCATTATAATTGCGCCTCCCAGTGAAGATATAAATTCTTCTTTCCTCCAAAAGCTTCAAAATGGGAACGTTCGATGGGTACAACGACAATTCAAAGATGATGATCTATCAACTTTGGGAAGAGAGGAGGTAGATCATTATGTCGATGCGGTATTCGTTACATTGGGGCCTAATAACCCATTGAGTAAGTAGCTTGACTGATTCTCTGCATATGAAGAGTATCTAATCTAGTCATAGGCATTCACATATCCAAGCTTTGCCGGCGTCTACGGATTCCAGTGAATGTTGTGGATGCACCCGAGCTTTGCTCTTTTACCCTACTTTCTACATATTCCGATGGTCCGCTTCGAATTGGTATCACAACCTCTGGAAGGGGATGCAAACTTGCCTCCCGGTTGCGACGGGAGATTGCGTCTTGCCTGCCATCTGGGCTTGGTAACGCAATTGAAATACTAGGAAACGTCAGGAAGCGGATTTGGGAGGAAGATGTCTACACGGAATCCAGCGCAGGGTTTCATTTCGAGGCTGATGATGACGATTCAGCAGCTCAAAAACATACATTCAACTCATTAATGCTTCCCGAGGATCCTGAATCTGCAAAGACCAGAAGAATGCGATGGCTCTCTCAAATATGTGAATACTGGCCCCTTCGTCGACTAGCAAGCATCACGGATGCGGACGTGGAAAAGATCCTGGCCGCATACAAACAAGCCAAAGCTGAACATATTAACGACGTGAAACTTGAACTTGGGGGAAAGAACGGGCAAGTCATCCTGGCTGGATCAGGGCCTGGCCATCCGGACCTCGTCACACGCGCGACATATCGAGCCATCATGTCTGCAGATCTTATCTTATCTGATAAACTGGTCCCAGCTCCAGTGCTTGACCTCATTCCCCGAAGAACAGAAGTGCGCATCGCACGCAAATTTCCAGGAAATGCAGATAAAGCCCAGAATGAATTGCTTGAAATGGCATTGGAAGGGTTGCGCGCCGGCAAGAGAGTTCTACGTCTCAAACAAGGTGATCCGTATTTATATGGTCGTGGAGCAGAAGAATACGAATTCTTCAGATCAAAGGGCTATACACCCATCGTGCTCCCAGGAATAACAAGTGCATTGAGTGCACCATTGTTTGCGGGCATATCCGCGACTCATCGTGGAGTTGCTGATCAGGTTCTTATCTGCACAGGAACAGGTCGGCACGGGGCTGCACCAGAGCCGCCCAGTTATATTCCTTCCCAGACCGTAGTGTTCCTTATGGCACTACACCGACTTCCATCCCTTTTGGAGTCCTTGACTACGCTTGGTCCTGAAGATAAGGGTTCAAGGCACCCTTGGCCAAGAGATACTCCGTGTGCAGTCATTGAGAGGGCCTCATGTGCAGATCAGAGGGTTATCAGGTCCACACTAGAACATGTTTGCGCAGCTATTGAGGCAGAGGGCTCAAGACCCCCTGGCCTACTCGTCGTTGGCAAGAGCTGTGAGGTCCTTCATCGTACTGACCAGCCTTGGGTTGTTGAAGAGGGCTTCAAGGGGCTAGACGACATAGGATTAAGTGATGGACTGGAGGTTATTGACGAATTGGGTCGTGAATCTTGATTCGTTTTTTTATTTTCTTTTTTTAAGTGATGTATGGAGTGCTGAGCTAGTTATCCGAGCTTCGTCTACTCTGTAGGGCTGCAGAAATTTACAGAAACTTCTTGATTCTAAATTCATAGGAACCATTTGATCGCGGTTGGTAAGAATTCATGCCTGTCCCAACCTTTTTTCGGTTGCTCTAATAATGTAACTATTATGTGCAAGTAGTGGTGGTTGTTCCAATTTTGTCACACTGTCATCCATCCGGCTTCAAGCTCTAGCCAATTTCATGTCGAATATCATCATTGACTCCTCGCATCGATTCCATGCGATGCTAAATGCACAGCACCCAGTTCAACACCATCAATCTGCTGAGCTGCTCAGTATCACAGCTACCTTGAATTTCATCCCACTCCGGGGACTATTACAAGGGAGCGACATAGCACCAAGGCAAGAACACAGATAACTAGTATTGTTAACCCGACATTTGACAGTAAATCTACATGTCGTTGTTGCTTTTACATGGTTTTCATACTAATATGTACCAGAATTCCCAGCGCAATGGCTCCGCTCCAGCTGAACGATCTAAAAACTGCTGTTTCTGTGATAGCACAGCGACTTGATTCAATGAATATCGACTATGCCATCATGGGCGGTGCTGCCGCTTGTTTATTGTCAGGCGACTCAACTAGAAGGACTGACGATGTGGACTTTGTGATTCAGGTTGACGACCGTGGAATCACTGCAGATCGGCTCACTGCTCAACTTCTCAAGTCTTTTCCATCTGATTTTGAGGGAGTTAGCCAGTTCGGGCACATAATCCCAGCGTACAAACTCCGCCTCCCAGACGGTGCGGTTCATCTGGTGGAGCTGGAGGTATTTGACTATCAGAGCTGGCCGCAGCGTCCTCAATACAACCTTAAAACAGCCACACGTAAAGAATTGAATATCAATGGGCAAATGATTAAAGTATTTAGCCCGGAGTGGCTTTTACGAGAGAAGATCCTGTCTCAATATCAACGCCAGGGTAGCCCAAAAGAACGATCTGATATTCAAGATATCGCAAATATGCTACCGTTAGTTACTCCTGGCAAACCGGAACTCGATTTTGAGAAGAACCACGATCTGCAAGCCGCATTGGCGAACCTTGTGCAAAAGGTGCCAGCCTTGGCTCAGCGTTTGAAAGCAAAGATCAATTCCCCCGTGGGCTTTCAATGCTAGTACGTTTTTTCTCTTCTCCTGCCTAAACGCGGCTACTTACTAGGTCATAGAATTCACCAAGGATATGACATCGCAAACCCAGTTATAAGTATGCGACACGTCTCTTGGAATTGGGATGCCCTTGATCGTGCGTTTGAAACCTGCTATTTTTTCCCCCTCTATTTCGTCCGCGCTACCACAAGCGGACCTGCGACTCTATGTTCCGAATAGCATCTTGCGACATATGCATGCATTGAACAAGGAATAATCTTCAGATATGATTGAATCAGGATGGTTGAAGGCTGCATGAAAGGAACCCAGACACGCGTAGCCCAAATATACCTCTTCTAGCATTTGTTCAGGGACTTGAAGAAGAGGTCGCGTTTAAAACGGCGGGAGTGAGCCTAGCTTCTCTAGTAAGTCTCTAAGCCACAGTTAACTTGGTGATCACCATCTCGTACCACAACTATGCTCGCCTATACGGCTCTAATGGTCAGTGGATTCGCGACCTTGCGACAACAGGAGCGCACAAGTAACTGCTCCGTAGTTCAATGCGAGGTGTCCCCAAGGGACAATAAAGCGTGGCTGGAGACCCACGCCTAGTTTCATATAGATCTGTCTTTCATTGCGGGCGCCTGAGCATGCTTGCTGTGGAAGTATCATCTGGTGCATCCTTGATGGGTTTGAAGCATCAGTACGGAGCACGGAGTACAGGATTACCAAAACTGTCAATGTTACCGTATCGAAAATTACCGCTAACCCCTATCCGGAGCCGTCCCTTATCAGCCACCTATCAATCATTCATCGGCGCTCTTCATCAGCTTGACAAGATAATGTCCTTCTGACACGGGTTTACGACTGTCTTCGTCATGGCTAGCTCATCGGGCCCCGCTAAGCCCTATATCTCGAGAGGCCAAGTCCTCCAAAGGCATGTCTCTATACTCAAATCCCCCTGGACTTACCTGGAAGCCAGCTAACTCCCACCGTAGTCCGCCGTTAACTGTGAAGATCCAAAACTTCATTTATTCCGTCTACACCTTTCTTGGTCTTTATCTTGTCAGCTTATTCTCAGTAAGTATCACGCTTTGGGTGAATTCCTTTCTATTTCTAATCGCTATCGCTACTAGATGGATCCGTATACTTCTGCCCAAAACTCCAAATTTAACGTCGTAACGCCGCGAAACCGAAATACACGACCATCGGGGCGGCAGAGCGGTAAGAGCAGTAGTGGCGGCGGAGGAGGTGGTGGTGGTGGTGGAGGTGGTGGAGGCGGCGGCGGTGGCAGATGGGGTTGGGGAAGTGGCGGCAGCGGATCTGACGCGCCGTCGAAGCGGATTGGTAGGGTAGATGATGTTCGAGGCCCTGAATGTGGGAGCTGCGGTTGATGGGCTATGAAGATTCAACGTGGAACAGTGGGTTGTTGGTAGGATGAGTTCGGAACTGGGGCCACGCCGTACCACAACCACGACAGCGGCCTTTATGTGCGTTCCCTGGAAATCTAAGAAGTATGAGCTGGTTCGATTCGAGCATCGCCAATTAGGGATGGATTGGTTTGATTATGGCAAAATTCTCTGTTGTTGCAGTCATTTTTCACCATTATGGACAGGTTTTTCCAGTCGTCTTCCTCCTCCCTGCCGAGGGCGGTCTGTCATTGTGAGGAAAGTACCCCAGACCCACCTGATTCTTTCAAATATCGAGCTACGAGATATCTTGGGCTATAAAATGGCCCTAGGTTAAACCGCGATTTTCGAAAATAACCTCAACTGACTGGGACCCCGTTTCCCCTCGATGTCTTTCCGGTCTTTATGCGCGACCGAATAATACGATGCACCTATGTTTGCTTTTACCTGCAGTGCTGGCCGATTGTTAATCGAATACGGAGTACAACTACTGGGAAACGGCTACATTGTCTATAAATACTGGAGCCCATGCATAGTGTCCCATTCATTCGAACAACATGATATCCCGGCGTTTCGGGATATAATCCAACTTAGGATGGGGAATATTTACCTCGTATATGTGCCTTTGGCATGTAGATTTCTACCTTGATATGTAATGCCGCATTATACCAAACTCGGGTACAATCCTGCATGATACAAATTCCCACGTTTACTCAATGTCCTCCAGAGACATTCAAAAGAGAGTTCGATGCCCCTTCTTCAGGAAATTGAAATTGAACATTTCTTCCCTCACCCACGCCAGAATACCCTTTATTTGAGTACAATCTTGCGCTGGCTTTCGTTAGTACTCAGCTTTCACTTATGGACGTCTTTCCAAGCTCCCAAAGGCTACACTTGTTAAGTAACCGATTGGCTGTTTGGTATATCGAACGCAAATCCAAGATTTCTGGAGAGAAAACAACAAGACTTGCTGAATCCGTGAGAATCCCCAGGGTGTCTAACCAGCGCCGAAACGGCCCCTAGGTTCGTCCCGAGAGAGAGTGCATCAAGACAGCAACCCAAGCGATGACATTACTTCCGACATTGTCATGGTGAGATTGTGTTTCCACTCCGTTCTTATTTGCTCATGGCTAATTATCGAGCAGATCGCATGGGGCATAACCGGGATTCTCAGTGTCTATAACGCAAACGTAAAACGCTAGTTACTATAGCATGGGTCGGTACTTTGCAGAGCTCAAGCACACCACTAGAACTCCATAAGAGCAACAAAAGATTCCGTTTCTTGGGTTCCCTTTCGGTTCTACATCCCATCTCAAAATCGGGATCACTGAACACCTGTATGATAATCTCTACGGAAAACAAGGCTCCGAGATGCAAGATGTTGCAAGGTCCGCTTCTAGAAGTGGGCTGAATCCTCTACGAATACCGGTTACAGCACTCTCTCCATTCAGCATTATCTTCGAAATCGCGGTCTTAAGGGGCGGTTTTGGCAACAGACGGGCACGGCATCATGTCCCTGTGAATGAGTATCTTGGGTTTATGCTTTTTGACGTGTAGTAACAATATCAACTGAATCAATCAGCATCGTCGATTGGTGTCTCAGTTGCTATGCACTTTCAACTTTCGCGGCGGCTTTGTTTTGTTGACATCCGCTGTGCTTCAAGATCTGCACAAACAGGAGAAGTAGATGAGCACAAAGGAATGGGCCCCGGGCTTCCCTTCATGGTATATATACTAGAAGCAATCAAAGACCCTTGTTTAGTTCTGGTGGCAAGGCATCAATGGCTTCAAATTTGAGAATTTGGGCAACATGAAACAATCCTGAATCAGCAGTTCAGGGCGAGTCCAGCTGTTTTGTTCCACTGACTCCCATCGATTCTCTAGTAGTTAGTAGAGGGTGACGGAATGACGAGATCCCTCGTCCAATGCGTCGATTCCACCCCGGTACATACATAGCTCCTCTCTCAGGCCCCGCATCCACTCAGAACATCGACCAGCAGAACACAGTTTTGTCGCCTCAAGCTTGGAATAACTAATTTATTACTCGAAAAACGATCAAAATCTGACATGCCGTACACAAATGAAACTTTTGCTTCTCGCATCTCAGAAATAAAGGCTGAGTTGCCGGCTCAAATTTCGAGTCGGACCCGTCATCCTCCCGACGCTGGTTCGGTCGCTCAATTGATTGACCACACTCAGCTCTCCCTTTCCGCTACAGGGTCTCAAATTGATACCCTATGCGACGAAGCGATCAAATACAATTTCGCAACCGTTTGCGTTCGGCGCAATTATGTCTCTCGAGCCGCTCAGAATCTCAAGGGAGCCCCGCCCAGGGTCGCCTGTGTGGTGGGGTTCCATGAAGGAACGCATCCAACGGACGAGAAGGTAGCTGAAGCAAAAGAGGCCGTGCAATACGGGGCAAGTGAATTAGATATGGTGCTTAACTACCATTTGCTCAGAGAGAAGCGTTATGCGGACGTGTTTGACGACATACACGCAGTGCGACTTGCCGCAAAAGATATAGTGCTTAAAGTTATCCTGGAGACGTCGCAGCTGAGTGAAGACGAAATTGTTGCGGGATGTGTGATATCGATTACCGCCGGTGCAGACTATGTGAAAACTAGTACGGGATTCAAGGGGCCCGGTGCGAGGGTTGAGAATGTTGCACTAATGTCTGCTGTGTGTGGCATCATGGGAGGAAGGACCAAAGTGAAAGCTAGCGGCGGTATAAGGACGGCTGAAGATTGCGTCAGGATGATTCGAGCTGGAGCCGAGAGAATAGGTGCAAGCGCGGGGGTGCAGATTGTTAATGAGCTGCTACATGGAAAGCGAGAAGCTGAAGAGGAGTCGAAATCAACAGACTACTGATGAATTATAACTGCTTTTTACAATACTCGCAACTGCACATGCACTTTACTGAACAGCCATGTTCCAGGGACAAGCATTTAGTTAAGCATCAGGGCTGCCCATACAATGTAGGGCTCAACCTACCACGTGACATGGTTTTAATCCCGCCGGTCTTGGAACTCTTGGAAGCGGGAGATTCTCGACGCTCGGGATATCCATTCGTTCCGTGCGGAGACTAAGTCACCATTCGCTCCAGTTTCAAAGGTTCTGCCTCCTGTCAATTACCCTTTTATCTTGCGGAGTCCCCAAATTCCTCTCCACAGCATCATTTTTTCAGAACGATGCATAAGTCAAAGGTTAGCGAATGTCCTTACATGGTGTAGATCATTTGCGGCTAACTTGAGCTCTAGAAGCGGAAAGTCTCGCACGACTCGAACACGGAGATGAATGGGGATGCATCTGAGACGTCGAAGCCAACGGCCGTATTCAAACCCCAAGGTCCACGAGCCCATACGCTGAGCATAGCTCTTCCGGGTAGCATTATTGCAAAGTATTTTTCCCTTTCAATGCCCATCCTTTTTCGATCTCAGGCACGGCTTATGCTTGGCATTTTCTGACTCTCTTCCCGCCGCGCAGTGCAAAATCGCATGACCAAAAGACCTACCTTGCCGGCTACATTGCTCGTGCCCTGGCAGTATTTTGCGTCGACGAGATCGTGATATTCGACGACGAGCCTCGTGCGCAGGGACATGAAAATAAACAACCTTTCGAAAATGAATACACGGCGTTCTCTGACCCATCCCATTTCCTGGCGCATGTACTCTCCTACCTGGAGACGCCGCCGCATCTACGGAGGGATCTATTTCCCATGCACCCCAACCTGAGGACGGCGGGGACCTTGCCGAGCTTGGATATGCCACATCATCTGAGGGCAAATGAATGGTGCGAATATCGGGAAGGAGTTACGATTCCGGGGGAGAATTATGGCTCAGAGGAAAGTACCTCTAACAAAAAGAAAAATAAGAGATCCAACAAAGGCGAGAATGGTTCTGAGACATTGACGCTCGCAAACGCTGGGTTCTCGCACCCCGTCCGCATTTCCAACTTGTCCATTCCACCCCACACCCGTCTAACCCTCAAATTCAAAACCGAAAACCCTTCCGACGGCGCGGACCCTGTGGCACCATCTGCCCCACGCGAAGAAGCGGGGTATTACTGGGGTTACTCTATCCGCCGCTGCTCCTCGCTCTCTTCCGTGCTCACGGAATGCCCGTTTGACGGCGGGTATGACCTGTCCTTCGGTACGTCAGAACGTGGCACACCCCTCGCTACCGTCCTGCAATGTCCGGAGGAAATCCCGCAGTACAGGCATCTCCTGCTTGTTTTCGGAGGTGTGGCAGGGTTGGAGACGGCCGTGAAAGCCGATAAGGAGTTAGCCGACAAAGGGATCGGGCCGGGAAATGTGGGAGAATTGTTCGATTACTGGGTCAATGTGCTGCCGGGACAGGGGAGTAGGACTATTCGGACCGAAGAAGCGGTCTGGCTGGGATTGATGGGGCTGAGGGAGGTTGCCGTGAGCAAGGGGAGGTGACTGGGAATTGAAACGATCTGCGGCGCATGCCGGAATCATGTTGATGGAGTATGGTTGATGTGTCCGCCCCGGGAAGGGGCATTGATGATACCCGATTACATATCGCATGCATTGTGAGAAACACATGAACTGGGGCCGACCATGGACGTTCTAGAAGGATTCTAGGATGCATCCATGCGTATAGGGCTGGCCGGGAATTTTGAATACATAAGCTCCGCTGCGCATTGCCTGTTCGTTTGGTGCCACTGGACATTCAAATCGATCACTTTTGCTTTTCTAGTCAAATCCCCCGGTTCGACCAATTAACTCCTCTCGCCCGAGAAAGGAACCACCGCTCCCAAAAATTAGATATGAACATATGTCCTGTACAACCTCTTCCAGTTACAGTCCTTCTCAGTCCTCGCTGCTCAGCTCGTCACCATCGCTTGTGTCATCACCATCGTCATCTTCTATCTCTCTCATGGCCACATCACCGTTCTTCCCCTTTTTCTCCGCCTTAAACCACGCCTCTCTCCGTTTCAATCCCTTCTCATCTTTTGCGGCTTGCTTCTTGAGCTTCAATTGCTGCGCTCTGTCCTGTTTGTCAAGGAGGTCATTGTTGAGATCTTCTAGACCGGCGAGGTGCTCCCGGAGCTTGACAATTTGGGCCATATTAGCGTGACGCGCAGATTCCTGAAGGGAAAGCTGGCGTTTGAGTGCATGAACCTCATCTTCAAGGGAAAAAATGCGAGAATAGTGGTCAGATTGTGATAACTCGCCACGAGTTTCGTTTTGGGCCTGCGTGACCGACGAGGTTACTGGGCCTGTACGGAGAGTTTGTAGTTCAGCGAGGCCTTCGGATATAAGGCTAGATGGAAAGAATTGGTGGGAAAGGGCCTCGCTGAATTCATCTATGGTGGGCGTTGCATTGCTGGCTGATATAGGCCGGGTGAGGTGCGCAGTCAACGAGTAGCTTGGAGGAACAGTATCCCCAAGAGACTGCGTATTCAGAAGCTCGGGATCATACCTCGGCTTGACAATGTTGTGAATGGCTAATCGCCGGCCAACTTTAGGCAGGCCCGTTGGCTGAAGCATGTGTATATCTGTGACCGGATAATTGAATGTCGTGATGGTTGACGCGAATCTACCTTTAGCAATATCCCAAGCCACCACTGAACCCCCACGGTGACCTGAGAGCAGGTTAGTCGCATCATATGATAGTGTAAGGCATTCTACCGCCCCAAGTGCCGGAGAAGGTGGAAGCCAACGATCGTTGGCAGAAAGCTGACAGGGAGTTTGTTGTTGGTTGGTATCGTAAAGAATATTTTGGATCGAAGAGCCTTTGAAGAAGTCGACAAGTTGTATGCTCCCATCGTCATATCCAATGTAAAAGGCTCGATCCGCCGGATCAATTGTAATGCGGAGAGGGTCTCCGGGTAACAGAAAGGTGCGTAATATTTTACCGGTTCGGTACTCCCAGACAATAGCCGTCCGGTCTTTTGAAGTGGATATGGCAATATTGCTCCTATTGATGCTATGGCCAACGGCGATGTCTGTGATTGGAGCGGAGTGGTTGGAGATGGTACGAACGGGCGAATTGGAGGGAGAAAGACTCTGGCCAGCAGAATGAGGTTTCGAGAACGAAACTAGGCCAGGCAAAGACCACACATGTACGCTTCCATCTTCAGAGCCGGAGATGATAAAATTGTTCGTTGGATCTACAACCAGGGAGGTGACGGGTTGCAAGTGCGCAGCAGGGGTAGAAACCTGCCGCCCTGTACATATCTGATACAAGCGTCAGCAAGGCTTTTCCTTGATATAATCATAGGTTCAGGCTGTATCTAACCTCCCACAGGATCAACCTCCCACCCTCGGTTCCCAGTACTAGCACTGCAGCCCCTTCGTTCTCTCCTCCCGTAATGGCGAGACTCCGTATTTTCTCCGGGAAAGGAACCGTAGCTTCTTGATTTTCCCGCTCCCGGCTATACACATGAACCACAGCTTTGCCGGCCTGTGCAGCAAATATGTGAGAAGCACTAATAGCCAAACAGTTGGGATCTGTGGAGCTCTTCTTCAACGTCGTGCGAATGGAGGCATTCGGCTGGAACTCGTAGCTGCAGATGCCGACATCCTTCAGGGCCGACGAGGAGGCTGTGGATGGAGCATTGGACGTCAAAAGTGACGCAATGAAGCTCTCAGAGAGCATTGCAGCCCCTGGATGGAAGTGCTATAGACTTCGGCAATGCTATGGGGTTTAACGAAGGCCGTCAACCTCAAGCTGTTCGGCATCAAAAAGCTTCGAGACTCGTTATGGAGTTTGCATTGTTTGCACGCACTAAACCTGCGCCGGGAAGTTTAGTTATTTTCCGGAGTTGCGACGGAAAAGAAATCTTCAGGCGAATTGCAGAAAGCCATTCGATGTCTTTTTTTTCAATTCGCAGGTTTGGAGTGAGTGCTCTTAACGCTCAATCTATCTGATATTCAAATTTGTTGCCTGCAAGAATCCCGGGAACAACGATTTTCCGGGCGCATCGAATCGGAGTTCTGCAATTACGACGAATATTTGTGACGAGAAAGGATTTGACAGTCGGGACGCAAATATACACAGCCGTCAAGTTTCGCTGGTCATCGGATTGTACGCTTTCAAACGTGAATCATGGCCGTTTGCGCCAGAGGACTCAGGTGCCTAGGCACTCCTGCCGTTTCGCTCCGTCTCGCTGCATCCCGATCATACGCAACCACGACACCCCCAGACCCAGCTATCCCAAACACCCCCGGTGCGGCTGCCACATCTTCTCCCGCAAAGCGACCCCGAACCTCCTTTCAAGACAAGCTCAATGCCGGCCCGTCATTCTCAGACTTTCTCTCCGACAAGGACGATGCCCGAATTTTGGATCCCGCCGAAGCGTACGCCCTCAAGACAGCCCTGGTAGGACCCAAGGGTAAAAAGAAGGAATACACCCGCCTACCGCCGTGGCTTAAAACCTCTATTCCGGATTCGAACAACTACAAGCGCATCAAGAATGATTTGCGTGGCCTCAATCTGCACACCGTGTGTGAAGAAGCCCGATGTCCTAACATCTCTGAGTGTTGGGGCGGAGGTTCCAAGTCGGCCGCTACCGCTACGATCATGCTTATGGGAGATACGTGTACAAGAGGATGTCGATTCTGCAGCGTAAAGACTTCCAAAGCGCCCCCACCACTAGATCCGCATGAGCCCGAAAATACTGCAGAGGCGCTGTCGAGATGGGGATTGGGATACGTGGTGATGACGAGTGTGGACCGTGACGACTTACCCGATGGGGGCGCAAGACACTGGGCGGAAACAGTCATGAAAATAAAACAAAAGGCGCCAAACATATTGGTCGAGTGTCTCACGGGAGACTTCGATGGTAACCTCGAAATGGTAGCCCTAGTGGCCAAGTCTGGCCTAGATGTCTATGCGCATAACGTCGAGACCGTAGAAGCATTGACCCCGCAGGTCCGTGACCGTCGCGCAGGTTTCCAGAAGAGTATACGAGTGCTGAAGGCGGCGAAGGCAGCGCAGCCATCGCTCATCACCAAGACCTCGATGATGCTTGGCCTGGGTGAAACGGAGGAGCAGATGTGGGACGCGCTTCGTCAGTTGCGAGCGGCTGACATCGACGTTGTGACGTTTGGACAATACATGCGGCCCACCAAACGGCATATGCCTGTGCATGAATACGTGCGGCCAGACGTGTTTGAATTTTGGAAAGAAAAAGCATTGGAAATGGGATTTTTGTACTGTGCGAGTGGGCCATTGGTACGAAGCAGCTATAAGGCTGGCGAAGCGTTTATTGAGAACGTGCTGAAGAAGCGAAGAGCTGAGTCCACAGGGCCAGGCAGTGCGAGTGTCCAAGACGTGGCGACCGGCGATCTAGTCAGATGATTTTCAGGCCTCTTCGTAAAACTTCTTTTTTTGGATACGGATGGCGTTTCGGGGTCTCAGGCACTGGCCTATTTTTTTCTTTTTTCTTAAGACTCCTACTTCAACACAAGTATTATCGGTTTGCATCAAACCAAATTCAGCCCGCAATGTTTCATGGTCAAAGAAAATTTATTAAATCATAATGATACACATGAACTGCCTTCAGAAGGTATCATGTTTCATTGTTCTGTTTGATTTTCTGAACCCTACCCTTGTGCATTGCGAGGTTCCAGGACCGGGATGACCATGGAAAAACCGGCAAAACATATTAAGACAAGACATTTGCAGTTGCTGATCGACCCCGGATTTCCCACTCGCTTTCACTCCTTAATCAGCTCCTTAATGTCTCTTTCGCTGAGACCCAGCAGATAGAGTATATCAACTAAACTTTCTCCATTCAGTCGCGTCGGCGCTTCCATTTGGACCTTGCTCTTGGCACGCCAGGCCACTCCCAACCCCGCCTCATTCAACATGAGCAGGTCATTGGCACCGTCTCCGACTGCTAATGTCTGAGATATCCGTATCCCATTATCAGCGGAGATCGTCCGGAGCAGGTTTCTCTTCTGCGTAGCATCGATAATTGGATGGTCGGGGGACAGTGTGCCTGTCAGCGTGTGGGTGGAGTCGTCGGAAACGAGCTTGAAATCGTAAATAGTCAGCCCAATAAAGCGTCCAGGCTGCAGAAAAACGTTTTGATCAACCTACATGGTTTGCAAACGCATAGTCGAGGCTTAGCTCCTCAGCCAACCATTCCGCTAATGGCTGAAATCCGCCACTTAAAACTGCCATCTTGAATCCCAGCCTTTTCAAGGCACGGCAAAGTTCACGGGCGCCAGGGGCGATCGTAATGATCGATTTGAGTTTCTCAAATACATCGGCTGGAACTCCTTTCAGCAAGCTGACTCTTGCCTTTAGAGATGCCGAGAAATCCAGTTCGCCGTTCATGGCGCGTGCAGTGATTTCCTATTGACCCTTGTCAGCCCCAATATCAAAATATGAGACAGAAGCATTACAGAAGACGTACTGAAACTTCCTTCTCCACACCGATGAACCGAGCTATCTCGTCAATAACCTCCTGTTTGATCAAGGTGCTATCCATATCAAACACAGCTAGCCGCTTGTGACGCCTGAAGACAGACTCCTGCTGGAGCACGACTTCAACGTTCCATTCGCGCTCAAATCTCCAAATACACTCATGTTTACGCATGTCGGTAAAAGTCAGATATTCCGGGCTTGGAGGAGGGCAAATCGTGACTTCTACCACCCGAGGATGATCTTCACGATCGAGACACCGATGCGAGCTGCTCATCCGGTGGTACGGGGTGGAGAGCTCCTCCATTGTCTGCAGGAAATTGGTAAGGCATAATTGTGACACATATGGCCCGTACAGATGATCCAATGGCTCTGGCTCTTGCGGTGGAGGCTCTCGTGGGAGCTCATCAACAATCTGGGTTGGCGCAGAACCTTCTGGTACAGACGGAGCCGGTAAATCATTGAGAGACGGCGATGGTTTGGTAGAGTCCGGGTGAATATGGGGATGCACGGGCTGAGCGGCCTTGTAGAAAATAGTCGCAACCAGCTTTGGCGTGTCTGCTGGCAAGGAGCTGAGCGAATTACTGAAAATCGAATGGACTATACCACTTTCTTTGACTCGAGATTCCTTGGGCCTTGCCGTTGCTCCATCGAAAACGAGTGGGGCCGTGAACACAGGGCCGGCGCTTCGTACTTGCAAATCGATACCATCGGAGGCACCCGAGGCAGATGGCTTGTATTGCTGGTGGTCAAGGATAAACGAGCCACCGATAGCGAGCTATGCCGTAATACGGGGCGTCCCTCGCGGAAGGAAAGAGCAGTGCTCGCCATGCTCGCGAAAAGGAGACTGCGGATAAGTTCGGCGGGGTTTGACAGTGCAGCAGACACGCGAGGGAAGCGGATAGCCTGGGAAAGTCGGCGTTTGGACAGACAATGGATCTCCCTCCAAAATCAGGGCTTCCCGACTCTCTAGTAGCAGTAGTCCCCTAAGAGCGCCAATCCCCCCCGATCGAAAAGAAGAAAAGAGGGACATGCATGTCGTCCGGGAAGCTTGTCGGTCCAAGCATGTCACCCTGCGGCTTGGCATGCGCGACTCGCGCCCTTACATAAGCCACCCCCACGTGCCAGCCCCCGCTCCGCCCCGGCGAAAAGATCTTCCTTTGCCACAGCTGAGTCATCGCGCCCGCCACGCGCGTTAGCTAAGCGTGCCGACCGAGCCACTTTCGGCAGGGCCCCTGGTTCCCGGTCTCGGGATCGCCTTGACTAGACAACGTCGATCGTCACAGACGGTTACATTTGTTCTCGACGGTTATCAGCCTGCTGATTCTCTCTCGAGCACCCAGCGTCCTCTGGTGCCGAAATTGCTGATCCGCCCTCCGACGATGAAGCCGAGACGGTTCTTGGCTGTGCTGGTCAGACGCATTGGCAGTGTCAGGGATGCCGACGCTTGACCACGCCTCCCTGCAACACGTCTTCCTCACCTCTCGTTCTTCCCACTCCTGTCAGCAATATCACCCAGTGGTCCATTTATTTCACTTCGCAAGGGGGCTATGGAGCTGGGGAAACCAGAGACAGGGCATGGTCGCAATCTACTGCAGAATCTTCTTTTTGGGTTCCTCAATCACGCTAAAAATTGCGTGATTTTCACTGGCCATGACCACATCAAGCCCTGCTCCCCCCAACGCACTGTGCATCCTGCCAGGCAAGAATGTTTCGAGCATGGTGTGTAAGGATTCAGGGGATTGTGTAAGATTACTGTTGCCCAGCAAGGTGTCCTTGCAGGAGGTCCCCATCCGAGCAACCCAAGTCACAGATTGCGTGATTGGTAATCATTCAATCCCTCTTCCCTGATATCTTCAATCGACGTCGGAATCATTGAAGAAGAGGGCTCTTCCTTTCTTCTTGTCCGTCGAGAAATTTGTTTTCCTCTGCTTTTGTTTTGGTGCCCAACATTCCCCATTTTTCTATCATTGCTATTTCAGTCTTCAGAGGCCCTTCTCCACTCCTTTTCCTCTTTTCTCAGGAAGCTATACAAACCCTTCTTTAATAAGTCAGAACCAGAGGGCTTGCTCCTTTGGTTCACCCCTCACACCGCCAAAATTCAGTCCAACGCCCCAACCTCGCTTATTGCGTCCTACCCCTTTAGCAGGTTATTCAACTTCTTCTCATCAGCAGTTGGATTCATCATGCCTGCCACTATCCAATCCAACTATACATCGGATGCCGAGACCTGTGATCAGGATCAGGAATCTGGATATGCCAGTGGTGACTCCAGCCAGGTCGCTCTGCCGGACCTTGTATTCACGAAGCCGCACTTGAAGTTTTTGAACAGACAGCTGCAATTCCTCGAACCACAAGGTATGGCCACTTTTCCCCTCCACGACTATCTGCCGATAGTTGGCTTATGTGCTAATTTGCTATATAGATGTCTTGAGATGGTGCATCACTAGTCTTCCAGGCCTCTACCAAACCACTGCCTTTGGGCTCACTGGCCTGGTCACTCTCGATATGCTCTCCAAACTTGATGTTCCTCGACCACAAGTTGTAGACCTGATCTTCCTCGACACATTACACCATTTCCAGGAGACCCTCAATCTGGTTGAGCGTGTCCGAAAGCGATATCCGAATGTTAACATCCACGTCTACAAACCAGATGGCGTGGAGACTGCTGCTGAATTCGCCGCGAAATACGGAGACAAATTGTGGGAGACCAACGATCAGTTGTATGACTGGGCTGCCAAAGTCGAACCAGCCCAACGCGCATACCGGGAGCTCCAAGTCAGCGCTGTGCTGACCGGCCGCCGAAAGAGTCAGGGTGGAAAGCGTGGAGACTTGAACATTGTTGAAGTTGATGAGGCTGGCCTTATTAAAATCAACCCCCTCGCCAACTGGGGCTTTGCTGAGGTGAAGGCCTACGTTGACACTCACAACGTGCCATACAATGAGCTTCTCGATCGGGGATACAAGAGCGTTGGAGACTGGCACTCGACGCAGCCGGTGAAGGAGGGTGAGGACGAGCGTGCTGGCCGGTGGAAGGGTCAGGCCAAGACCGAATGCGGCATCCACAACCCCCGATCGAAATATGCCCAGTTCCTTCGCGAGCAGGAGATGAAGCAACAGGAAGAGGCCCTGCAGCAGGCTCTCAAGAGTGCCTAAATCTGTTATTCGAAAACCGCGTTTAACCTTCTGGCCTTTCTCTTTTTGTGATGTCTTTCTTACACTGTTTATACTATGATGATGTGCTTCACTTGTTGGAATTGGCGTTATAGATTTCCTTGTTGTTTCTCGACATTTTTTTTTTAACTGCGACTACCCCTGAGTGATGTACTCAAATGTTTCTTGTCAAATAGATCTACATTCTCATCGTGTTACTTAACTAGTCGAATTGTAGCATGAAATAAAATATTCGGCGCTTATCTACAGCAGTAACTAGTCTAGATCTCCAGCCGTTTTCCAGCACCTTTCCATCGATATCCGACGGAGATATGATCTTCATCTCGTGAGATCAAACCCCACAGTTGTCACTATGACGCGGCAGTTCGACGACGTTGCTGGTCCAGCGCTCGAGATTCAGCAGCAGCCAGAGCTGGTTCTCACAGTTGCTGCTTCAGCAGTCAGCGCCCAGACCACATCCTTCGTATGGGCGTCGTATCAGCAGCAGTTTCATTGCTGGGAGGTCAGATTATACGGGCGTCTCAGATCCTCGGCAGTAATAAATTGGCATGAGAAACTAAAATGGCCTCTCATTTGCGAGTTTTTTTCTCGAAATTGATAAGAAAGGTCAAACAAAAGAGTTCAGGATCGTAGCAGTCTGAGTTGAACTAGCCTCAACCAACCATGAGCGCAAACCATGACAGCCTGGATGCCGATCACGCAATTTTTCTTCAGGGTGACGGTAGACCGTGGGCCATGCATGCATCTCGAGGTCTGCGCGAGTCGAGTTAGTTTCGTCGATCCGCGTGGAAATAAGAAACGTTCCTGAAACTTAACTAGTTAGCTACAACGCTGCCCATCCGGCATCTGTGCGCTCTATGGGCAGGGGTGCGCGAGACGCTTCCAATCTGCCGCCGGTTTGATGAAGTCGGGTTGCCTGTCGTGTTCGATTTTGCCTTTTTCTTCGGCTCCTGTATGCAACTGAGCCCCCCGTCAGCCAGCTCGAAACCGTTACCTTGAGCGGTGTAAGTTACTCCTGCTCGGCCCTTCTTTTCGTTTCTGAAATTGGCGGTGCTGCTTTCAATTTTCTTTTTCCTGCGGCTGGCCTTGGGGATCGTCGGCCGTGCCTGTCTTGGGTTGTTTTGACCGGGTTACATCATATCTTCTCCAAGCTGAAGCAAAGCCGATTCAATTACACTGTTGTCCCCTTGTTCCTTGACGGAATCGATGGACGCAGACTGATACTACTTTGTGCCTGGGGTTCGAATGAACGAGGAACCTAGTTAGATCCCTTAGCTCAAACCGCGTGCATTGATGAGATGCTTCGTTCTCATGGGGAAGCGTATCCACCACAGGGTCCGGATGAGAAAAGGCAATAGTGTCATCAGGGTCTGTTTTATGGAGAGCCTGCCATGGATCCGTCTTGCGCCCTCTCCAGAGCTTTTCCCTCGAGAACTTATATCATAGCTTGCGCCTGCTTTGTTTCTGCTCTTCTTTTTTCCTTTTCTTCTCCAACTTTCTCAACGGTGCCTCGGTCTCTCCTCGCTTCATAGATCCCGCTCTTCGCTTCTTCTCCAATCTCACCTTTGTTCGCGAAAAAACAGTCGATTTTATCCAGCAGCCATGGCCAACCCACCTCACGGCGGTGTCCTCAAGGACTTGCTCGCTAGAGATGCTCCCCGACACGCTGAGCTTGCAGCTGAGGCTGAGACCTTGCCCGCTCTCGTCCTCAACGAGAGACAGCTTTGTGATTTGGAGTTGATCCTCAATGGAGGCTTCAGCCCTCTGGAAGGTATGTCTCTATCTCTCTCAGCTTCGCGTTGACGGGCGCATCTTATTGCGCCACATGTTTCGCCGTTTCGATGACGCCTTGCATCGACAAGAAAATACGAAGCTAATGGTGGGGGCTTGCTCTTGAATAGGGTTTATGAACGAGAAGGACTATAATGGGTACGACCATACTTCCATCCGCCCGCAGCACCCTGTCCGTTGCATTGTCTGACTGGTGTTCTTTCTAGCGTCGTTGAGAATGTTCGCCTTGCAGACGGAAACCTCTTCAGTATCCCCATCACTTTGGATGCTTCGAAGGAAACAATTGACAGCCTCGGTCTCCAACCCGGTTCGCGCGTTACCTTGAGAGACTTCCGAGATGACCGCAACTTGGCCATCCTCACCCTCGATGATATCTACAGACCTGACAAGTGAGTCATTCCGTGAAGCTATTGTTGGTAGTTACAAGCAAGACACTAAGACCATTTTCTTCTCCAATTAGGCTCAAGGAAGCCAAGGAAGTCTTTGGCGGAGATGTCGAACACCCTGCCATCGTCTACCTCAACAACACGGCTAAGGAATACTACCTCGGAGGAAAGGTCGAGGCTGTCAACAAGCTGAACCACTACGACTATGTTGGCCTTCGATGTGAGTGCCGCAATGAGCTAGGAGCTTGTATAGTATTTTGCTAACTGTTCGCAGTCACCCCCGCAGAATTGCGCCTTCATTTCGACAAACTCGGCTGGACCAGAGTTGTCGCTTTCCAAACTAGGTATGCCCTTCGTCTGTCTCAGAAATACCGAACAAAGGTGCTAACTAAGCCTTAGAAACCCCATGCACAGAGCTCACCGTGAATTGACCGTTCGCGCTGCTCGTGCTCGACAGGCCAACGTCCTCATCCATCCCGTCGTTGGTTTAACCAAGCCTGGTGACATCGACCACTTCACCCGTGTCAGAGTGTACGAGGCTCTCTTGCCCCGCTACCCCAACGGAATGGCCGTCCTTGGCTTGCTTCCTCTTGCCATGCGTATGGGTGGTCCCCGTGAGGCAATCTGGCACGCAATCATCCGCAAGAACCACGGTACCACACACTTTATCGTTGGCCGTGACCATGCCGGCCCTGGAAAGAACTCAGCAGGTGCCGAGTTTTACGGCCCATATGACGCCCAGCACGCTGTTGAAAAATACAGACACGAGTTAGGCATTGAGGTCGTTGAGTTCCAGCAACTCACGTATCTCCCTGATACCGACGAGTACAAGCCCAGAGATGAAATCCCAGCAGGTGTCAAGACCCTTGATATCAGTGGAACCGAGCTCCGCAAGCGCCTACGAACTGGTGCCCATATCCCCGAATGGTTCTCCTACCCAGAGGTCGTCAAGGTCCTCCGCGAGTCCAACCCACCCCGCTCCAAGCAAGGTTTCACTGTGTTCCTCACTGGTTACCAGAACAGCGGCAAGTCCGCCGTTGCTCGTGCCCTTCAGGTCACTCTTAATCAGCAGGGTGGTCGCTCTGTCTCTCTCCTTCTCGGCGACACTGTGAGACACGAACTTTCCGCTGAATTGGGCTTCTCTCGCGAGGATCGTCACAAGAACATCCAACGTATTGCCTTCGTTGCTGCAGAGCTTACCAAGTCTGGTGCTGCCGTTATCGCTGCTCCCATTGCTCCTCACGAGGAGAGCAGAAAGCAAGCACGTGACACCATTTCCGCTGTTGGAACTTTCATCCTCGTCCACGTCGCAACCCCACTTGAATACTGCGAGAAGACCGACAAGCGAGGCGTCTATGCTCGTGCCCGACGAGGTGAAATCAAGGGCTTCACTGGTGTCGATGACACTTATGAGACTCCTGAGAAGCCCGACCTCGTCGTCGACCTCGAGAAGCAGACTGTCCGCAGCGCCGTCCACGAGATCGTCCTTATGCTCGAAAGCCAGAGCTTCTTGGACAAATTTTAGAGCGTTTGATGTCTGCAAGTGTCCCGTAAGTATGATTTGACGGGATTGCTGCAATGTTACGGCTGAGTACCCCGATAGAAAGTCTTGTACACAATTGCTTCGCATGATGATTACGTGCTTAGAATGTTTGGATTTTGTTGTATATGAGTTTATCGAGCCAAATTTCATCTGACTGTTTCATGGATAACAATTATTCCCTACCTCAACCACCCCATGTCTCAACTGTAAACTTGGCGCGTGAGTGGCATTAGCAAGCTGCCCGGTCCGCCTTACGCCATACGCTCCACAGCTCTAAGCCAATAGCGGTTAGTTCCAGCAGCTCTCGGATTTTTGATCATCCGAAAGCTTCGACCCGATGGTCCGTGCACACGGGGTGCAAACAATGCAAACTTGCAAAACCTCATCTTGACGTCTCAACCTCAGTCTCAACATTGAAGGAGCGAGTCTGAGGGATGTCTCCCATTCCAACGCGATGATGTCCACACACCTATTTCTGCGCCGGATACCACGTCTTATTCGGCCATTGAGGCCCCCTAGCAGCTATGCCTCCCGTCCGAAACCTCGTCCGTTTACCAGCAACTCCCAACTTCTCCTCCTCTCTTCACCAGTAAATCGACCGCAGCTACCGTTCCTCCATTCACCTAGCACTCGTCCCATCCCGGCTTATTCCAACCGCGGCTTAAATCCCCGTCTTTTGAGCACAGAGCGTCGCAAGACTATCACAGATGGCATTAAAATCGCCGTCACAGTATACATTATCATGGGGTTGATATGGGTGGTTAAATTGGGTTACCAGCAGGAGAAAATTGAACGGATATTTCCCACACCGCCAGATTTTACGCTGTACAGTCGATGGCTTTTGCGGTCCGCCAGAGCATTGCAGAACCCGCAGTCAATAGGGCTGGCGTTGACATCGTGGTCGAAAGTTGGGGAGTTTTACACAGAGTTGTTGGAGCGATTGGAGAATCCGGAAATTGATGGGAAGGGTTTGAAGGAGCAGACTGAGGGTGGATTGGTGGTGGATGGCGTTGGCAAGATTGGATACGACATTGAGGGGATGAGTGAGTCGTGGAAGATGGGCTATTTCCAGGCCCTCATGGGCGCTGCTGAGACTGCAGAAAAGCTGGAAGGGTGGATGTACGATGAAAAACTGGATGCTGCTGCGCCAGCGGAGTATGTTGTTGGCCCGTCGAATCCTAACCCGAAGCCGAAGCCTGCGTCTATCAAACACATGCTTAACGAGGAGGATAGTCGACCAGCGTATGAATCTCCGGAGGTGTTTTACATGAAGATTCTTACGACGAAGGGGTTCCAGACCAACCAGCGACTTGATGCGGCTCTCGCTTACGCGGATTGGCTCGACTTCAAGGGCTGGAACGAAACGGCCGATGACATGTATAGGTGGGCGATGGACATCGCCGCATCAGGGCTCCCCGTGGACCCAAGTGCAGTCGTTGATATGAAGACCGGAATTTTGAAAGACGTTGGAAACAAACATGTTACTGAGAACATCCTACGTGCGACAACCGCGCTTGGCGTGCATAAGGTCCGCCGAGGCGACTTGGCCCCGGCACTCTCCATATTCTTATCTGTGCTCAGAGCTCGCCGGAACCTCCCTGAAGCACCTATCTCTCATGAAAACCAAATCCCTCCCCAAGATGAGTCCCCGTTATCCGAGCTATTCGAGATTCTGTCATCCTACGTCGTTCCACCTCCCTATCCCTATGCCACCCTTACCGGGAATGAACGGCCTCTCCGATCTGCGTCTGAGGCCTGCGACGAAGCCGGCCTGATGGTTTACATTGGCGAAATCATTTTCGCTTCGTCTTCACAAGAAAATGGCTTGTCGTGGACGCGTGACGCGGTTGACCTCGCAGAAATCTCGTTATTGCGGTTAGATGGGACCGACAACGGACCTCGGAGCTACGGGATGAAATACTCCAATGACGATGAGAAATGCCACGACTGTCTGCGCACCGGTCTGGATAACTGGAAGAAGATGGTGAAGAAGCTTGTCGTGCAGGCAGAACAGGAAGAATTGGATTGCATCAGCACCGCAAAAGATGGTTGGTTTAGCAGCCGCTCGAAACAAGTGAAGGAGAAACAGATGCAGAGGAGGCGATGGGAGGCAGAAGAAATGATTATTGAAGACCGATCGAAGAGGATTCAGAAGTTTATCGGGGATCCGTTACTGGCTGGGCTAGCACCAAACACGACGATGATGCTGTTTAGCTGATTGTATAAAATTTCGCCCCCTCCATTTATTTGGCGTCTCTTAGGCGGCGTTTCTGTGTTGGGCATGATTCAGAGACTTAGTTTTGCTCTCTATGGCTGTTATTTGGCAATGCATTTCAGTTGTGAACTAGCTTGCAGGATCATCACTCAAACAACAGCGTTTCTCCTGTCTCTGTGAGTTCCAGACTCTGGGGGCAGGACGTACCTTGCATTTGGTCTCCACCACTGGCGATGATCAATACTCATGGCTCGCCCTGGATGTTGCAGTCTATTATCGGGAGGCGTATTGCCAAATTCCCCTCTAATTTCCAAAAAGATCGATCGTAAACACGTTGAACGATGTCCGTGAGCGCTTAGTCAGCCGATAAACTCATCTGGAGCCGAGCTTTGATGCGACACCGTATCAAACATGGTGATCAACGTCTGCCTGCATTGGGGTATCCCTGGCAATAACGGTCACCAGGTCTTATCTCAGTGACTGGGATTATGAAAGATTGTCCCTCAGGTCAGCGCTAGACCCTTGGAGCTAGGTGGATCGTCGCTTGCATTTTCCCCCGGTACCCCCCGTCCCGTTGCCATTTGCGATGACTGTCAAGTGTGTTTGCAAACTAACGGTTGAGTCCAAACAGGCTCTCTTTTGAGCCAATCTCAGATGTACTGCTGAAAAGGCCGTTGCAACCTACCATGGGGTGAGCGGCTCGTTTGTTACAGATTTCCAGGGGGCCTTTTTCGCAACGGGCAGTGGGAAGCGGACGACCTTTAGACCCCAGGACTTCTCTCGCCGCTGGGAGGTGGGGGCGGAAGTGCATACCTCCAAGGTCCCCGATACATTCCTTGTTGGTGCTTCGGGAGACCGAGCAAGCCTGGTATGAGGCTCTTTGCAGTTCGTTGCTTTTTGTGTTCCTCTCGATACGACTTAAAACCCGGGGTGCCATACATGACTCGCAGACCGAAACGGATAGGAACGGAAAACGCGTCTTGATACGCTGTTTATCGCGCTTGGGAGCCTTCTTTTATCTCGATGAACGAGATTCGTTTTCCCGTTATCGAGTCCCGATCCGAATGCAGCTCGTAAGAGTGCATTGAACCCCCTGTTTCGGTCGCCAGGGATGTTGCCCAATCCAGCTTATTGCCAAACCTAGGAACGAACAATCGACATTGTGAAAAGCTCATCTTCATCTTGACTAGCGTGGAGAGCCAAACGCTAGTCGGATGGTGGCGGCTAGCTGTCGATCACTCTGATTTCCCCAGGAAACCGTCAGGCCCAATAGGAATCCTTCCGGATTTCATGTCTGATTGCTTTTTCCATGAGGAGCAACATGGACCATCATGATGCTCCAAAATCAAGATGGAGCGTACAAACATCGTTAGAAAAGGATGGTCCCTTTGTTGTCGGATGCATCGGCAAGTGAGGAGGTACACACATATGGTCCTCTAACGATATGCATTATTTGGAATCAACTACTGACCAACAAGTTGCATTGAGATGAAGGAGGGTAACAAATCTCGGAGGTTTTTCCATGACACACGAAAATTCGCAATGATCGGAGCCGGCTTATGACCGATGGTCCTCTGCAAGCATGGTATCAGGGGTTCCGAGCAACGTGGACGCTCTCAATCAAGGATCGGTATCTCCTACCAATTGGCAACCGTTTACACGGCTTCTTGTGTCTGTTCGGCGGAAAGCCTTATCAAGGTTTCCGGGGGCCAAACCCCACAATTTTCATATTAATATGAAACTGGAAAATTGTTCCTTTCTGGAACCCGGTGAATTCAAATCTTGTGGAAGCGAGTTTTGCTAACCCATGGGTGACAGCTGGGGCCAGAGGCCCTTGCACATCAAGGCCATGTGTTTCTTGGTTGGTAGAACATGAAGTTTTGGCCCTGCGTCCATACATATTCGGCCCGCAGGGGAGGTTGAAAGTGATACCCAACCATGTCAAATTGCAAGTGACTGCACGTTGCCGACTCCGTTTTATACCATGGATTGACGAGCATGCATTACAGGCATTCCAGGTTTTCATAACCAAAACGTGGAGATAATTTCTGGAGAACCCTGAAACGAGCTTTCTAGAAAATATGTCGTTGATGAAACCATGCGCACTGAATGTGCTTTTCAAGGATGATGCTTACTAGCCGTCCCTTCCATGTGCAAGCCACCCTCTTGCGAATCAAGCTTTGCTTTGTGGCTCTCCCCCGAACTATCAAATAATGCACGTTTTCCCAACTTAAGTCTTCTTGGCTGCTTCATCAATGTATGCTCCTCAACGGGAAACGGTCAAAGTAGCAGATCTCCAAGAAACACGGATTGAGAATTATGCCCATCCCTTGCATGGATGAGCTTTGGGTATTTGCCACTATTGTGCAAACAGCTGCAGGCTCGGTCAACTGCCGTGAATGGTAGCTCTGGGGATACGTTCAAAGAGGGAAAACCAATACTACCTCAGAAGGATAGTTGGAGTTGGCATGGTGCACGGATTCGACAACATACTTGATGCCCGATCTGTGCGTCATTTTCAACAATTCGAGCGACAAATGGAGCGTGTCTGTGTCGAGTACTCAGGGCTTGGGGGAACTTGAATCGAAGCGCCAGCGCCAGCGCCAGCGTCGGCTTGAGGTAGAGGCTCAATGTTTCTTGTCGTTGGTTGATTTGATGGGGCGATGGTGCCGTTTGCCCCGCCCGTTTTGAAGCGGGTGGGCATTTTTATATTCGCACCCGCAACGATTTGTGGATTTGTGTATACAATCTCAAACTTGCCTTCGAGCCGGCGATGGTATGTATGTAAGTATACACATCAATCTTTAGGATAGGTATTCTGAAGTATTGAGAGTATACAAAACAGCCATACTACTGCCTCATTTTGCCAAGCCTTCCAATGATATCCTAACCATTCATGGTTAGGCATTTCCTGAAAAGGAAACGGTGTTCGTGACGGGAACGTCAGTCAAGAGTGAAGCTCAACTGGCTCAACTACTCCTTCTCAACAACCATATGGCCAAATTCTATAAAAATAATATATATATATATATATATATAATACTATATAGAATTGAAGCTCTGTTCTTCTATAAGAACTTACTATGTCATTTGCTATAATCAACCTATGAAGTGTGGGCTTCTGACAACTACATCATGGCCTCACAGATGGGCTTATTTCTCAGCCACCATGGAATCTAAGTCTTATACTTGAGGGATATGCTTTTTATACCCAACAGATGCAAGCTAAATCTTTATTTCATCGGAATCTGATGAATATATAATGTGGACGATGTCTAAATCTTAGGTGGTTCAAAATGGCATTTGTATGGAGACTCGAGAGGTCCAACCCTCTCTTACAAAAGTTGCAAAACTGACTCAGAGTGGCCTGTACCATTGAGGTGTCTCAAACCAAGCTCACAGTTCAAAGATATGACTGCTCGGGAATCACAAGGGCAGCAGTCCTCCAAACCATCACCGTTGAGAAATGTGAGCAAAACAGCCCTGTTTGTATAGTCAGTTCTTTGATCATTCCCTTCATTAACCCCTTTCTTCAAACTACGGCCAGGAACCAGACTGACATCATATTTAAAGACCCCGAGTTAGAGGAGAGGATGAATATTGTTTGGAAATATTTTTAAACCTCTTCTTTCAGGGGGCATAACCATAGAGTGGCGACCCGGCAGCCACCGGTGAGAATCGACACTTTTAAGTCGGTCCCTTGTATAATGACCGGCACCAGATCGACCCCAGCTCAGATCACGACCCAGAGATAGAGGGGCGCGCGACTCAGGGGGGCTCATCAAAAGCTACTTCCATTATGTCACTTCGTACCAACTCCCCATAAGTGACTCTTAACAAATCTTGAAGGAGTTCCTCCACCCTCAACACTATCAAACAAGACAGAAGGGGGTGACATGTCACCTGTGGACTCCGACAAGGCTCCTGAGATAATAAAGGCTAGAGTTGGGAGTTTTGAAGACAAAGGCCTTTCAAAAAGTGCCTTGAAATTAGTTAGTATGCTCTCCTAATTATCCTTTTGCATTTTAGCTAACATAGCATAGACACAAGAAAGAGAAGGATGCTGCATTGTGCAGCAGATTCCATTCATTGATGTAGCTCACATGTTTCCGTTCTCATTGCGGAACATGAACGTTGCGACACCGCTGTTCACCACTTTGCGATATCTTTGGAAATCTTTCGTACAGGTGTTATAGTTATGACGCCATCGTATATCACCTCGGCGGAGAAAGTCTGCCTCATAGAACGGCTAGTTTTCTCGAACAGGTGATAACGCATGGCTTCTGGCCAGCCGTTCGGAACTCCGTGAGGCTCCACGGAGAGGATCTCGCTGCCTCCCCTGCGTTCTTTTGCGTCTGTGGTGCCCCCGTCGTCACCCCCATCCCGCCAGCTGAAAGCCCTGCTAGGTTCGGGTCCGTTCTCCAGGCGGGCGAAGAGGAGGCGGCCCATGAAGGGCAAGAATACGTCCCGGACGTTTAATTTTTCGTGATTTGACCTTCGGGCCGGTGGGTGGGTGGATCTTTTTTAAAATAGTTAATACCGATGGGAGTATTCTTGATTCCTTCCCAAATCGGGATTCCGAACTCGTACGTTAGAGTAGTTATGTGGGTGACCTTCTCTATGGATTTCTGGATGAACGTTGATCTCATGAGCTTTTATACGTGGGTTTTACGTTCTTGGCATGGAAGCTATGTACTATCCAGATTGGATGAATGGTAATCCATTTTTCTGGTATGCTTGCAATTGAAGTTATCCTTTGAATAGAGAACATAATCCACCATTGTATCCCCAAAATGTGATTAATTTCAAGCTCAAGCAAGCTTCGCATCTTTCACAATGTGGGCATCAATTGGCATCCTTTTAAAACCAAACAAGTCCACATCTCTCTTATCTTCCAACGACCGTACTCACTGGTGCCGTATACACTTTTCGTCCGCTCATGTAGTATATGACAAGGCTCGCAATCGCAACGACAACATACATTACGACGCCCCAATTGAAGTTTTTTGCCGTAACATGGCTTTCATTGGGCCAGAAGCTCCAAAAGAGAGCAAAAACAACGTACAAACAGGAAATTGCATTGACGATAGGGCCTCCTCTTTTCCCCAAGCTCCAGGCAGCTGGAGGCATTCGCTCTGGGTGATAGACGCGCTGGTAGAGAACGGCCCCGATAGAAAACGCATAGGTGGCCATGAGCGAACCGGCGTAAAGGGAAATGATGGCGTTGAAGGCGACATCGGCTGCGATGTAGATCAACGACATCAGACTGGAAATGAGACAAGTCACTAGGATTGAATTGACTGGTAGACGTTTTGTTTCATGAACCGCTGCTAGCCATTTGGCGAAGGGGAGCCCGTGGTCACGAGCAAAGGAGAATGTTTGCCGTGATGCTGCGGCGCTGAAAGAAACGTTACTTGAGACGATAAGTATCAGAATCATACTTGCAAGGATGGTAACGCCCGTAGGTGGTAGGGCACCTCCGAAGACATATAGAAAGGGAAATAATGTTGGATTGTTGATAGCTGCGATAACAGAAGGGAGGGCGAAAAGGTAGGTAACAAGGAGAATTAAGCCCATGGCACAGTTTATGAAATAGCCCCAAGCCATGGCCCGTGGAACGTGCCGTGATGCGTCTCTGACTTCCTCTGCCATGTGTGCGGCGGCGTCGGATGCTAGAAAATGGAATTAGCATCAAGATATAGTCAAATTAGCATAATTTGAAATTTTGTACGTACTTAATGAGCCATACATTGCAGTTATCTGGCCAACCATGAGACTGAGGCCTATTGTCGGCCATCCCCCATGATCAGCAAACACGGTGAATACTGTCTCTGCGGAATTGAGAGGAGCCAATGCCCAGAGAACAATGATAACTGCCAGGAAAACTAAGATGTGTAGAACTAGGAGAATGTTCTGGATCATGGGCATTGCTTGGGCAAACCAGACATTGATAAGATAGGCAAAGACGGCCATAGCACAGACGAGCAGGACGCCCTGCCAACGGGTTGGCTCATAGCCAGGGCGGTTCAGGATGATCAAGCCTTGGATGAGAGTACCGGCTAAGAATGGGCCCGCTGCTGCTCCGGCTTGCCATGCTAGAACTGACATCCATCCTATCACCTCTGGATTAGAATCAGAATTCAGTCACTATCAACGAAAGTGACCCTGACTTACCCGTGATATAACTCAGAGATTTTTGATATCGCGGAGAGGCAAATTCAGAGACCCAATGATACTGTCCACCGGAAATCGGTGCCCTGTTTGATTGGAATCCATCTTTAGCAAACCAGCCGTACATAAAACAACGGGCTTTTTGAACTAACATTGACGCCATTTCCGCCATGGAGCAGATGCAAAAGCCAAACCCGATAAAAGTCCATAAATAGGACCAAAATAGACCAGCAGCTCCGCCGTCTTTCAGCCCTTGATGTTGGGAGCTAAAGGCTAAATTAGCAAGTCGAAAAGGCCAACAGATCAGCTAAATATCAAAAAACGGCCCGCAAAACACGTACAGTAACATGAACTCCCAAGTGGCTCCGACCACTATAGAGAAGCTCAGCGCAGCCACGGGCCGGTAGGTCCTCTACTGGAAGTTAGAGAAGCATGCTCTATTTAGTACGGCAAGATAATCGAGCAGGGAAAGACGGTACGTAAAGACTGGACGAACCACAAACTCCTGATCCTTGCCCATACGCATCATATCCCTATGGTCGTTTCGTGTATGTCCCTGGAAGGGGGAGACAAAGTCATAGCCATCAGTAGTCTCCAAACGCTCCAGGCCATATTCGTCCTGAAGTTCTATTGAATGACGAAGGTGCGACGGTTTGGCTTCTTCATCCACGGATGAAGCCGGTGATGAAGCCATTTTGACAAGACCCGAACACTCTCGCAGCAAAAGCTTTCGCAACCTCCGTTCCGCTTGATGCGATCTAACTAGCGGTCCGACAACATAATGGCAAGCTAGTGTAGGCCGTTTTTTTTTTTTTGATAACGGAGGGCCCCGTGAGAACACAGGCGCAGTTGCAGAGAGGAGCGGTTTTTGAAAGAGACGCGACGAAAAGGATCGAGATAGACGCGGATTTGGAATGAATGTGCCTCCAATAGCTCAATACCGGGAAATTTTGAGCAGATCGATCTACTCCGCAAGATCTCCGTCAATCTTGGAGAAGTCAAGATGGCCGCGCACACCACTTGTCAAACGTCGTGAGCAGAATTTGCGCTCAAAACACCCCTAGTCCGAGATTCAAGCATTTGCTGGACGCGATCTGCGCCTATGGAAGCGGACGAAATAGGGAGCCAGGAAGCCCACCGTCGTCAGTGGGCGTCAAGAGAGGCTGTCTTGCTGGGTCGTTTGATCGCCAGCTGCACAGCAACTGGCGGAGCCTGCGAGTTGCTCTTCCGTCGAGGCAACGAGATTTACCCGTTGGAGGGCCGGCGAATGACCTTCTCAAGCCATCGTAACTGGTGCTGATCGTTGGAAAGGGACCAATATCCCGACTTTGTGCGACGGCAAAGGACGCCACAAACCCGGAAGCCCGCGTCAGTCCAGATATCGCCGCCTTGGGCGACATGAAGGACACGAGAGCCGTGACGACTGGTCTGCAGCCGATCGACCCATCATGTCGGAGATCGAAGCTGGAAGGTCGAGCGTCTTCAGGAGTGAGTTGCATGTTCAGTTTGGGCGCGACAGCCGGCAAAAAGAAAATCAGCGGCGATGATCTGGTTGAACCAACGACACCTCGCCAGCAGCAAGCCGACAGTTCACAAGACACCACCGCAGGAAAAACGAACGAGAGCGTTGGAACTATTATTTGCAGCTCTCCGGACTCGAGATATACCAAGGATCCTCTCGGGCTTGAGCCCACAATCTATTCGATGCCGGGGTCTGACGGATGCGATCGCCCAAGGGATACCCGAATGCGGCCCATCCAAAGCAGCCATTGTCCATTCTAACGGGCGGCGTGTCCCTGCGATTCGTGATCTCGAGGTGCTGCCGGCTGTCCGGCTGGTGGTTACGATCTCTTCAAGTGATCTGGCAGCGGGCTTGGTTGAATCCATTGCTGATCGTCGCGGAGAGCGTATATTGCAGAAGAAAACATGACTGGCTTCTTAAAGACCAACGGGCTTTTACCCAGTGGATTGGCCGTTTCTTTCATGGACTGCGCAACTCGGTTATGCAGCTTGCTTCTCTTTCATTCTCCTGCCTTACAGTTCATCCAAAGATCAAGCACCATGCATTCCAAACGCCCGTTGCAGCGATGGAGAGCGCTACGCTGACTGTCAATCACTGAGAGACAGACCTCATGGGAGCCCAGGTTTCCTTGGGACTGCCAAACGCATTGTGTGACCTTGGTTATTATTATCTTCGCTTTTTCACTTCCCGCCCGGCATGTCCGTACGAGGTGGTATGAATACTCTGGTCTGACCTGACCAAAAGCTCCAACTCCCACTCGGCCAGAGAATTCGCCTTTTTCTCCAAGTTTCGTTGGCCTGCTGGATTCACTATGATTCATGGAGGCTCGCACGACGAAATCCCTTCCCGAGGGCGTTCTGCCCCCGCTCACAGTCAATAACAGCAAAGACCGCGGCGGTTTAATCATCGTTGTATCAGCTATCGCCCTGAGCGTCGCGCTGGTTTTACTCGGGATTCGCGCCTATATTCAAAGAATCAGGAGGACGATCAAATTGGATGATGTCCTCCTTCTCGCCGCTACTGTGAGGGCCGCCCTGGAGTTACAACCTGAAGCGTCGTGCTGACCACGATTTCAGCTTCTATTTTGCGTCCAGTCAGCATTCGTCTTCCTACAAGTACACAACGGATGGGGTAAAATGCATGAACTCCTACCACTTCACAGTCATGACCAAATGTTCAAGGTTTGAATTTGCCTTTGACTTAAAATAGGACGGTGTTGGCTAACTATTGTAGACGGCGTACATTGCCGACATCCTATATATAGCTACGCTCTACATTTCTAAGTGCTCGGGCTCTTTTTTCTACCTGCGTATATCGCCTAGCAAGATACTCCTACGTGCTGTCTGGGCGATTGTCTCCATTGCAACACTATGGACGGCTGTTTCAGTGTTGCTTCTTGGACTTCGATGTGATGTGAATCATCCGTGGACTAACATCACGGCAAAATGCAGCGGTCTCGTGAGAAACTCCCATATCGTCGTTCCGAGTCTCCTCGATTAACTAATGGATTCTTCAGTTTGCTCGTTGGGCACTCGTGGGTGGAATGGATATGTTTATTGAATTGGCCATAGCCGGCACATCAATAATCCTCGTCCATGACATTCAAATATCCAAAAAACAAAAAGTCCAAGTCATATTGTCATTGAGCTCTCGCATATTGTCAGTAATGATCTGCACCTCTTCTTCACGGTCCCCCCCCTAACCGCACAACAGAGTCTTTATACCCGCAATCCTCCATCTTTATTACCTCCACCGACAGCAGCGCTCTAGTGAGCCTGCATACTTCGGCACTTACACCACAATTTGCGCTCAAGTTCAGTTAGGATACATTCTCGTAGCCAACACCATCCCCTGCCTAAAACCCTTCATAGCCGCCTATGAAGGAGCAAACGCTAAACTGACCTTTCGAGGACAATCCACCAGCCCGCGCGACTCAAAGGTGCCGTCACAAGACGAAGAAAATTGCCCGGGGGTAAAACAGGCTGACAACAAGGACTATCGCAACAGTCGAGCGTTGGACTTGTCTGATCATCCAGCATTCCAACAAGATCGAAGAAAAAGTTCGGGACAATTGCCATTGCGCTCTTCGAGAGCGCTTCCTGGGAACCAGTCACGAGAGACAAGGGTCGGAAGCCCAAGGATCGTTTTTTTCGGGCAACCTCCCAAGGCCAGCGGTGCAACTGACCGAGAATCAAAGCTCGCCTTAGTAACGGGGATTATGGAACCTGGAAACAAAAGCTGAGGAAGCAAGGATAGTGAACGGCGAAGTACTTGATGTGATTCTGTGTATATATATTGTTCTAATCCTGTACCTATAAGCTAACCTGCTCCATTAGTGGAAACAAACCTCCATTTTCCCAGGTGACTCTCCAAGAAAAGGCTGGTAGTACGGAAAAACTATGTAGTACGTCTGAGACACTGAAAGCCTCCAAAGCGGAGCTGACTACTGCGGTAGTGAGAAAGGAGCGATGTATGGCAAGCTCATATATACAAACGTGCAACTGTACAGATTTACAAAGGATAGTCGAGGAATCGAAGGGAGCAGGAGGAGTAGAAATGCATGGAGGCAACAGAATACACGGAATATAAATACGCTGGGTGAAATAGCGCTGCCAAAACATAATGTAAACGGGCGAAACCCCGGAAGGAAGGAATAGAGGAAGAAAAGGTAGAAGAAACAATCAAAAAGGTCACTGAACTGTGGGAAACAGATCGCGGCAGTTCCACAAATATATATCCAGATACACGAATGAAAAACAAAAAATTAGAATGGGACAAACTCCAAACGGTTGAGAGCCCTCCCCGCAACATCCAGGCCCTTTTCCGAGGTCAACCGTCAGCTGGATGATTTGCAGCTAGAAAATTTTTTTATCAACAGTGCAGATTAGAGACTTGTTTTCCGTGTGCTCTCCTTATCGTCGTCTCTCCCAGTTTTCCCAACAATCGTACCGTCTTGCAGCTGGATCGTATAATTTCTGAAATTCAACGCAAAGGAATGTCCGCCGTAGCTCCAATCCATGGGCATCTGCGTCGCAATATCAAAGTCACTACTGGCAATTTTCAAAAGCCCTTGAATGGCATCGTGGGCATTGGTGGCACTGCGAAACTCTCCGGTTCTCTCAAAAATAAATAGGACTGCAATGCGAGCGAAATCTATGACTTCCGCTGGTAAAGGCTGGTTCCCGTCTGAGGACGTGGTCGGCTTGTTTGGCTGAACATTAAGCGGAACGGTACCTGTTTCTCTAGGGAGGGAAGGATCATTGCGACGAGCAATAGGTACATGATTACGACTGTGATATCTGCGATAATCATCGTCCGATGTGTCAGAGAAGTACGAGAGCAAACGACGTCTCTTGTTGGATCCGTTGAAGGTAACCAGCGCGTTCTCGCTAGTACACGATAAGTCTTCCTGGTTGAACAAGCCCAAAATCCTGGAGGCATTCAGGGGAATGCTGAAGTTGGACTGGGATTGGTCGAAGAGCCGCGGAAGCGCATGGCCCACAGTCGCGTTTTGATAGTCGCTGTTGATATTTGCGATCGTGCAGCTGCTATCGCCAGGGACAGAGCACCTGGGGCCACGGAACCCGTCCACGCACACACATCCGCATTCAGGCTCGCGGCCGATGCTGACGCCGCCATTCAAACAAGGATGTAATGCCTCACAGCTAGCAGGCGAAACGGTGGGCCTGTCCGGGTTATCGCTATTTTGTTCCCGAGGAAGAACGATCAGGGCAACAGGTATGATTACCGCGGAAGAAATGAGGAGAAATAAAACGACGATAATTAGAATGAATGCACAACGAGACAGCCCGCAGCAGCGTTGTGGTCTTGTCGGCTGCTCCGTTGTAGTATTGGCAAGCGCCGCATTTGGGTTCGCCCGGTTTTCATACGCCCCCGAGCCTCGAGAGCCAGCAGTTGGTGTACCAATGGCACCAGGAGGAGGGAAAGACGCCAGGATGTCGGATATAGACCCAGAATTGCGACCGCGTCCTTTGTTTGCATCACCACCGCTGTTAAGCATATCAAGCATACCAAGTCTGCTAGCCGTTCTTCCACGGTCCAAGTTGGAAGCTAGTTTGGTGGCACGTCTGATAAGATCTGGAAGACTGGTAAGGCTCCCTCTCGCCTCTGCTTCCCGAACCGCATCAATATCAAGCGGAGGCGGCCGTTTTACGTCGAGCCGACTCCGGTTCGACTTAGAAACAACGCGGTTATCATGATTCAGAAGCTCAAGTTCCTTCAGTTCTTTTTCCGAAAGTGTACCCAAAATCTGCGTTTTCGAGATTGGGAGTTTTTCCAAGTCATCCAAGGTGTCTTCAGAAGAAGCAGAATCGGAGCTGAAACGGTTTTGGTTGAAAGCTCTTTGTTGATTCCCAGTTGGCGACCGTGTGTCCGTAGTGTTGGGGGTCATTCCTCCAACTGCATATGCACCGACATCAGCGTTGTTGAATCTAATATCTTCGCCGCGACCTTCAGGCCTCAAACGTCTTCCTTCGGTCTCAGAAGTTTGACTGTTTTGAGGTTTGTTAATGGTGCGAAGAGATGGTTTGCCTCGTTTTCCCACGCTGGCTTGACGTACGAGTCCCTCATCATCATCTGCGGCATGGGCGCCTAACGATTCCCTTGAAGAAGTGGGAAAATCTCCATCAAGCGGCGCAGTTCCCCAGCTAGAGGGAATAACTTTACTTGAAGCATAGGAAATCGGTTTTCTTGGGGAGCTTTCGGGGAATTCTTCCTGAATGGGGGAGATATTGGGATTATTTGCATAAAAAGAATTCGCACCACGTCGAGCGGACGGAGGACCGAGATACTGATTCCTTTGTAAATACCCCCTGTCAGGAGGGAACTCGGGAGAGCTGAATGGATCTGAAAACGAATCTGGGGACATCGTCTGGTCGGAAACCGGTGTCAAATCCTGCGCGTATGCCCGAGGGTCTTCATATTGGTACCCCATGACCCCAGGTGGTTGGTTATAAGCCGTATTCGATGTGTATTCTTGCATTCTCGACGGGTCGAGTGGTGCAGGAACGTTGCGAGGGTCTGGTCGTGGAGGTCGTTGAGGTCTAGGAGGAGCCATATCATCAGGATACCTGCTTATTTCGATCACTCCGGTGTTATCATCAGGCAGAGGCCATGGTGCCATCTGAGAAGGCGCCATATTCGGGCCTCTGACTCCTTGTTCATCTGGCGAGAATGCGGCCGGAACTGGGGGTGGTTGCCTCGCAGGAAGACGGGTTGGGGCCTGAGGTCCTCGACCGCGTCCTACATCAGCATATACATTTGGTGGTAAGCCAGCTTTCATCATCTCCCTCGCGCGCCGTACAGAACCCTTTCCGCCATGGCTTGCACCTTCATACTGCCCGTCATTCATTTCGACTCAGGAGAAGTACCGACGGATAAGCACCTATTCAACACAATATCCGTCTCACGATTACCAATGGAAACGTAGGCTGCTTGATGAGTGTCGGTTTGGTATATATGGCATATCGAATCTTAAATAGTTTGGTAAAGGAGCTGATCATTCCTGGATCAACCAGGCGCCACACAATGAATGGAAAGCTGCAAAAAGCTGGTTCCACAGAAAAAAGCTGTCTGCAAAGACGTGATCCACGAGTGTCCACGATCGCAACACGGCTTCAATAGTTTGTTAATGGTCCTTTTCGACACAATTCAAAATTTGGCGAAAAAGGCAGCCAGCATACAACAGCTGCACTGCTTAGTTACGTCGAATAGAAGGCGAAAAGAATCGATTCGTCCAGCAGATACGCTGGTTGCTTCTGGGTACCAAGTCAGCAGGTCGGCCACCAACGAAGCTGTAGACATTGTTGAGGACCAACTTGTCGAGGACAGACATCTGGTGCCGGCTTATACCAGCATCCCATAATCATATGATACATTCCGCAATCAGACAAGACTGGGCTAAGATAGGGTACATTTTGGCTTGAAATCCAAATATGATGTGAATGAAATTGCATGAACGTACCAGGAAAGAATGAGCGACTTTTGTTATAAGTGTAAAACGAGCGACTTGGGCGAGAGAATGAACGGGTATCGAAATTCACATACCCTCCAGCGTCAAACCTTTGACGTCTCAGAGTTGCTGCAGAGGCATACAGGTGATTCCGTGCTGGTCTTGTCTCAACAAGAACCAATTGGCTTCAGAACGCAAATCTCGACAGGCCGGGCCGAGAGTTCGTAGAGAGAGGCAAAAAGAGCGTCGAGCTCTGATGAAGAAAAGGAAGAGCTGGATGGAGGAAAAATGAATCTGACCAGATGCCAATGAGGAGTTTGGCAGAAAGACCAGCCTGTCGAAGAGGCGATCAGGGCGGCATCAAGCCAATGTTCTCATCGGCTTCTAGTATCGACTTCCACCCTTCCCTCATTTGCGCTGAAACCGACTTTCCCAGGATGTGCGAACCGGTTCCATTGCTGGAGACGGCCATTATTGGTGGAAGAACGCAGCCCATTCCTGTTGCTTGCTAGCCTCTCTCAACCCCGGTTGAGACTTGGGATCCACGCCAGCCGGAAGTGGAAGAGCGCGTTCGGAGTTGAAACAGAGCCCAGAACACCAGGGACCAGGCGGATTGGATGTGGATGCGGATTTTTAGCAAGGTCGCTTGCAAGCACTTGAAGAGTCTTGTCTCGTGGTCTCCTAGCTCCGGTTAGCCATCTTGTTGTTGCTAGTTGTCCTTGAACTTCATCCCGAGCTGGCTCTTTTTCTGCAAGCAAGCAAAAATGCAGCTTCATTATCGGGTTGTTGGCCAAACTCGAGCCATTCTTTGTCGCTGGCGTGGATTCGAGAATTCCAAATGTCTTACTCGGAATGAAATGTGTGGGGAATCCGGGCCTTTTCAGAATGGTTCAGGGTTCTATGAATCTTCGTTGCATCCAGCCTTGACGCGTCCTCCAGCCTCCAGGCCTCATGACAGTCAAACACTCGATGGCCTTGGAGTTTGGAGAAGACCAGAAGTGAATCCTCCTCGCCAGACGTTGGAATAAGAATCCAAAGCTGCTGCAGAGAACAATGCTAGAACGAAGTCAGGTGATGGCCCTTATTTGAGCCTCAGCATCAATATCATTTCGAGATTTGATTGCAAACCACGATGAAAAGGAGCATCCTGGCTGGCTGCATCCACGACCTTGTTGCATCTTGAATTGACCTTCTTATTCTACCATTCGGAGTGCTCCTGCTTTACTGTGGGTGGGCGGCGGACGAGGAGTCCTTCCTCCAGCAGTTCCCGTCGAAATGACTCTTCCTGACAATAAGAAGATCCTTCGTCTTCTTATTATTTGTTCAGATCCGAATGGCTAAAGTGCTACTTTCATGGTTCTCCTCAGGCGAGCCGAAACGAGAGTGAATCTCGCCAGATGCTGGAATTATTATTACCATAGTAGTAAAGCTTCTACCCGGATCTGATCGTCTATTGCGGACATGCAACATTGGCCGCATTGGTTTCAAGGTATGGACATCCATCTTCTTCAGCAGTCCTTAATAATTTCAGACGTTGCTCCGCGTCCCCTGCTTCACGGTTCCTGCGGGTATTAACGGCTGGGTACTGAATAGACGATTACCTCGTGCAGGAAAGATTACGGAGATTATCGCCATACCCGATCCAGAGAACAATCAACCCTTCTCTTCTGACGCAACAACCCATCCCTCCAGTTGAGCTCCCATTTCTCGTTGTGTGAGCGGATTTGAGTGAGGCTTTGAGACAAGGAGAAGGACTACTGAGGTACACCCTGGATAACAGTATCGATCACTTTCCCGTTTCGCGGGTCCCTTCGAGGAATCCCTACTTGGCGGTGCAATTATGGCTGAATACGGTGATTCCCGGTTGCGAAGCGCTTCGAGTTCCCCATCCAAAATCTCCGGGGAACGATGCATTGTCTGATCGATCTTCGCGAAGTTGGACCTCCTCGACTCCGACTACTCCCCTTTCAACTCATGTGATGGATCAATCTGTCAGTAAATCTCAGCCAAGTTTCCAACCTTGGGAAAGCGGTGAAACGAGTGCAGAAGCAGACATTTGGACTACCTTCGTCTCATTACCCAGTATCGCTGCATCGCTGGAGCGTATGGGTTCTTAAATATATGAGTCCCTCATATCCTCATTTTAGTCAGTCTATTGCGGTATCAAGGACAGGAACCTGCTCGAACCCGACAAGATGTGACGAAAGAGGTTGGCCAGCAGATTTCGGGATCTCATGAGATAGTAAAGGCTTGGGTTCGCATTAAGAAATCTCCTGGTTTTCGAGAAAAAAACTTATTAACGGAGATCGTACCCTTCAGGTTTCATCCAAGCGTACCAGAGAATGCAAAAGGATGATCTGCCGCCCAATGTTGAAGCCCTCTGTATTATTTTCCGCGTGGAATCTGGATCAAGCAAATCATAATCGTCCCATTTGCCAAATAAGAAAAGGAGACATGTCAACTTCGGAGTTCCACAATATACTTCCCATGTTGGTAACTGATATCTCGCCCTTTTGATACTTTCATAGGCTGCTCGGTTTTGCTTACATACCCGAAGGTAGCATAAGGTGCCGAAATATGCGGTCTTTAGGCGTTTTGTTTCAGGTATGAGCTCGTTTTTATCGTTGGATGTTGGGAAAAGAAGAAGTCCTGGCCTCGAGACTCGTAACACTGGCCGCGCCCTGAAACATTTACAAGGATGTAAATGTATCTGAATCTCCGTGAAATTGACCATGTCTCCTGGGAACACGTTCCTCAGAAGTTTCACGATTTCATTACAACGAGAGCGAAATTTTCGCTCATACTGAAGGGCACGGTGCATATTACTCAATGGTATGGTAGGAAACATTTTCGGCATTTCGAAACGAGCCAGTGAAGGAGAAACAGTCCATGGGATTATAAGTTTCCCATTCAATTATTACTTATTAGTTATTAATCGAGCAGAAGGTATGTACAGCTAAGAAAAGAAGAGAAAGTCGGCAAGCTACGTAGATCTGATAGATTGACACCTACGCTTGCTTAATGATATTCCAGAGTCGCGGGGAAGAGCTCCATGTGCTCTTATAACGCTAGCACAGCGAAGGTAACAAAACCCATCAGGAAACTCAGATTGCTTCCGGAAAGGACTCGGTGAGCGCTTCCCTCAAAGGTTGGTGGAGAGGACGGCACCTGCGGCTCTGAAGGATTTTCAGGAGGATTTGATGTAGTAGGGGTATTATTTCCCGGGCTCATGGTCGAGGCAGAAGGGATTTCGGGGGGAGGAATCTCGACGGCAGCGCTGGACGACGAAATGATGACTGTACGGGTAACCCCCGGATAACTTGCACTTGCATCCGAACCAGGTTCGGTTGTACCTTTGGATGGGAGCGAGGGCAACGTTTCCGTAATGTGCTTGCTTTCTCCTGGACTAGGAACAGTGATAAATGAATCGGTGATAACGGGGCAGGTCGTTGTGATGGGAATCGTTTCAACTGTGGTATAAGTCGTATAGGAAGAGCTCGGGCAGTCCTGAATCGTAGTGGGACAAGCTGTAATGGTAACTGTGCGGGTCGTGAATATAGTCGATATGGTGTAACTTGGGATCGTAGGAGATGATGGTACAGATTGGCTAGCTGGGCCTGATGTCACAGGGACTGTGGATGCTGAAAAATCAGTTGAATCACAAATAGTGGTGGTATCTGTAACAGGGCCAGGGAGAGAGGTTGATGATGTTGTCACAAGAGAACCAGAGGATGTGGTCATGTCAGTTCCAGTTGAAGCAGTTGAATCACAGGATTCTGTTTCGCTCTCTGTGTGAGATCCTGTAGTTCCTGTCACTGAGGCTGAACCGTAGGTAGTTGTTTCAACAGACGAAGATGTGATTAGAGTGGTTTCGGTTGCAGTTGCAGTTGCTGAGGATGCTGTATCAGTCACTGTTGCCAGTGTGCTTTCAGATGATATAGTTGCTGTCAAGGACGTGGTTTCTGATGCTGATGTTGTTTCAGTCATGGTTTCCGATACACTGTCAGTTGTGGAAGAGGACATTGTTCCACTTGCTCCTGATGTGATTGTTTCTGATTCACAATCAGTTGTTGATATTGTTTCTGATGTTACAGACACTGAGGTTTCAGTGGCCGTAGTTGTGGTTGAATCGGTTACAGTCTCTGATTCACAATCGGTTGTTGCCGAAGTTGTCTCTGTGACTGACACTGAGGTTCCAGTGGCCATAGTTGTGGTTGAATCAGTTACAGTCTCTGATTCACAATCGGTTGTTGCTGAAGTTGTCTCTGTGACTGACACTGAGGTTTCAGTGGCCATAGTTGTGGTTGAACCTGTTATAGTCTCTGATTCGCAATCGGTTGTTGATGTTGTTTCCGATGTTACTGACACTGAGGTCTCAGTGGCCATAGTTGTGGTTGAATCTGTTATAGTCTCTGATTCACAATCGGTCGTTGCTGAAGTTGTTTCTGATGTTACAGACATTGAGGTCTCAGTGGCCATAGTTGTGGTTGAATCTGTTATAGTCTCTGATTCACAATCGGTCGTTGCTGAAGTTGTTTCTGATGTTACAGACATTGAGGTCTCAGTGGCCATAGTTGTGGTTGAATCAGTTACAGTCTCTGATTCGCAATCAGTTGTTGCCGAAGTTGTTTCTGATGTTACTGACGCTGAGGTTTCAGTGGCCATAGTGGTGGTTGATTCTGTCATGGTTTCTGATTCACAGTCAGTTGTTACTGATGATGTCTCCGTTGCTGTAGAAGCTGTTGTTTCTGAAGTTATTGACAATGTAGTCCCAGTCGCCACAGTGGTGGTGGATTCCGACAATGTCTCCCATTCGCAATCAGTTTGTCATCGATGTTGTTTCCGTGGTTATGGAAGAGGGTCGTTTCCGAGGCAGTAAGTGATGTGGTTTCTGTGGTCATAGTGGTGGTTGATTCAGACAGTGTCTCTGAATCACAATCAGTTGTCATTGATGTTGGTTTCCGTAGTTATGGACCGAAGTCCGTTTCCCGAGGCAGTTAAGTGATGATGGTCTCCGTTGCGCCATGGGTGGTGGGTTGAATTCAGAACAG